CATCCTGTAGTAACTTATTCTGAGACGCTGCAACGAATCAAGCTAACATGTTCAATAACCAATGAAACGAGCATTCAGGAACTGAAAAGAAATTGTAAATCGGTTTGACGAAAATTTGAAGAACATTCACATTTTTTCGGGACACCCTGAGCATCAGATTTTTCGAGCGATTTTGGTAAACTCTGTACACGTAAAATCTCATCAAATGAAAGAAAACAAGGAACAATAAGAAAGAAAAAAATATTTACATTGTTATTGGAAACAGAAGAACACGGCCATAATACAAAAAAAAAATGGGGGAGGTGTTATCAAAAATGGAACACTGTTCTTACAGCATTTTAGAGGCAGTATCTCAAACAATTTGATTCTTAATCTGCCTGTCGCAAAACTCAATGAAAACGCCACAATCCACTATAGTTTGGTCTTTTTGTTGCGAAGTCAGGAGTCGAGGTTTTCGGCTATGGCACATTCTTCATTTCATTTGTTTTTAATTTTTTGGTTAAAATCATTTCAGACTAGTCATTGCCATGAACTTTTAGTTCAAGAACCGGCTGCAAATTTCGACAATCATCTGATAACAGCGTGATATATGCCCCAAAGGCATGTAACAACAATGTATTTTGTCGAACGGCACATATGCTAATCACTATCCTGAGCACAATGTTTGGAAAATGACACTTTCCTGTGCGCTAATTTGCACTTTATTTCGCGATTTGATAACGAGATAAGAATATGCCATCCGATACCAATTGAAAGGTAGATCTCAAAAACCTACCATGAAACAAGGCAATTAAATTTATTGATAGCAAATAATAATAAGTCAAATTTCAGTGTAACAATCAATATTCCATAATGGAATAATTTTATATAACTCCTTACTTAATGAGTTGAAAAATATAGAAGCAGAAGAATTTAAAATCAATTTAAAGAAATATCTGCTCAGTAATCTTTAATTCCATATCTACTAATCATTCACAAAAGTCAAAACCACAGTACAGCGATTTATCTGCTGCCATTATTCCGGACATACTTCCATCATGTGATAAAGAGTTGGAATGAAAAACAAATGAAAGGGTATATTGCGGATATTCAAACGTGCAGCGATTCAAACTGATCTAACTAATTTTCGATAATATTTCGCCTGAGATGTTTATAATTCCTCTGGTGTGCCAATCTTCAATTGTTTCGTCAGACTAGCTCTCGATACGAACAAGTGAATGCGAGTTCAGCGCGTAGGGTTCTCATATTCGATGATAGATGGCGTGAACGATGGACAATTTCTTGAACCATTTCAAAAGGCGTTTCGAACCTTATTTTGAAGTTGAACTAGACTTTCAATGATGCGTTTTCCTTCTTTCGGAACCTGAAGAGTCCCGTTGATGATGCACGAATTCAAAAAAGCCCGATGAGAAGCATCCAGAGACAGGACGCAGAAGAGACAGGGCGCAACAAATAATCTTGACATAACTGTCACTACTGTCATGTTTTCAGCATATTCAAAAATTTGTTCCAATTTGAAAAAAGAAATATTATGAAATAAGAGCATTAGTGGTTTATTCAGCAGGTATTGATATTATATTATTAGTTGAGTGAGTGTATTGTGCTTTCATCATGGAATGACTGCTGTGATGTGTTAGGATAATTTGAATCCGAACATTCGATTTATTTTATGTACCAAAAGTGACTAAATAAACTATCATTATATGATTTTCTTGAGTTAGGACTTCGTGTCGTTCATGAATTAACCATTGAAAGTCGAAAATATAACGCATCGTTTCCATTTACATAAAAAATTGTGAAAATGTGAACACAAATGAGTGTGTCATGATGCCTTTAAATTTGGTTTGAAACTTAGGAAATTTAGGAAGATTCTCCCACGCCTCGCTATTTTTACAAAATAGGCGATAACGAGAGATTTCGAAACTCCTTTCAATAGGAAGTGATTACACCATATGACTTTCTATACATCCATAGTGGAAGGAGAAGATGGTGTGCCTACGCGCATATTATGTGACGTCATCTGGGATACCAATATCAGCTGCTAGTCACGACAGATTAAAATTCAGCAGTTAAATACGTTGACGTTCTGCTCCGACATCAACAACAGGAGTATCAATTTTTGCCGTTTTGTTATTCAAATCTTTGCTGCAATTTATATTTTGTGAGAAATTAAGAGTTTTGAATTCATTTTCAATTATTTCTGACTTGATATTCGACGGAAGATGTTTTGTAGGAATGGCATCTTGTTTCAAATATTTGTGATTTTTTGTCAAGAATCGTACTTTCGCAGTTGTTTGGGAACATTTTGCATGGAAATGTTTTGAAGAAATACGTGCTGTAATATGAATGTGATGATAATATGATAGGTGAATACTTTGGGATGAGGATATAAGGAATATAAGGTATAGGTACAATTATTTGAGTTCATATTCTGTTGGCAGCAAGCTCCCATCGTTTCATTGAGTCTCCATTCTTGGAAAAGCAGAAAAATTCAATATCTGTGCCTTTTGAATGTTAGTTGGAATTTCCAAAACCAGAAACGAAACAAGTAGGCATTTCGAAATTATTTCATTCAATTTTAGTACTTATATTTCATCCGAAGTTCGAGACATCAACCACGAAAACAAATAATATCAATGACAGTTCGAGCTTTCTGTCGAGCACACCATCTTCTCCTTCCACTATGTATACATCCATATTTCGCCTCTGACTAAAGATAATATCCTAAGGACCAGTATAAAACTCATGTGGTGCATGCCATTCATATCCACATGTTGAGTTTAACACTACACCTTTTTCAATTGTAATTCAGAAAGTGTAACTTGTAATTCAGAATAATTAATCGTAATTCAGAAAGCGTCAATTGTAATTGAGATTCGTCAATTGTAATTCAGAATGCATAACATGTTATTCAGATTAGTGAAATGTAATTCAGAAAGTGTAAATTGTAATTCAGAATAGTCAATTGTAATTCATAAAGCGTAATTTGTAATTGAGAAATCATCACTTATGAAGTGATACTTTCTGAATTACAAGTTATGCTTTCTGAATCACAATTGACGGTTTCTGAATTACATTCCTCTATTCTGAATTACAAGTTACACTTTCTGATTTACATTTGACTAATCTGAATTACATATTACGCATTCTGAATTACAATTTACTAATCTGAATTTTATACTTTCTGAATTTCAATTATTAACTATTCTGGATTACAACTTATACTTTCTGAATTACATCTTATACTTTCTGAATTACAATTGAAAAATGTGTAGTCCATCGGATATTATCTTTCGAGGGGGGCGACATATTCTCGGAAATATTGACGCTAACTTCAGATCAGTTTGAATCGCCGCACGTTTGGATTTTCGCAAAGGGAACATTATCACCTATTATTTGCTTTTTGCAGTGCCTTGGATTTGACTCAGATTAAGGGCTGGCACAACGGTAGGTTCTTGAGATCTACCATTGAATTGGAATCCAGGGAACCAAAATAGCGACATCATGTACGTACCAAAGATTTTTTCAATGGGAGTCAAAAACTGGTGAAAATCGGAAAAATTCATGGAATCGAAATAGCGACTTCAAGGGCGCACCAAATATTTTTCTAAGGGGGTCAAAAACTGGTAAAAATCGGAAAAATTCATGGAATCGAAATAGCTACTTCAAGGGCGTACCAAATATTTATCTAAGGAGGTCAAAAACTGGTAAAAATCGGAAAAATTCATGGAATCGAAATAGCTACTTCAAGGGCGTACCAAATATTTTTCTAAGGGGGTCAAAAACTGGTAAAAATCGGGAAAATCCATGGAATCGAAATAGCGACTTCAAGGGCGTACCAAATATTTTTCTAAGGGGGTCAAAAACTGGTAAAAATCGGGAAAATTCATGGAATCGAAATAGCGACTTCAAGGGCGTACCAAATATTTTTCTAAGGGGGTCAAAAACTGGTAAAAATCGAAAAAATTCACAAAATCGAAATAGCGACTTCAAGGGCGTACCAAATATTTTCCTAAGGGGACCAAAAACTGAAAAAAAATCTAAAAAAATGTATTGAATTGGTATCGGATGACATAATTCTTACCTCGTTATCAAATCGCGAAATTGAGTGCAAATTACAGCACACAAAAGTGCAATGTTTCAATTGTTTTGCTCAGGATACTGATTTGCACAGGGGCCGTTCGATAAAATACAATGTTTTTACATGCCTTCAAAACAAATAACAATTCGTTCAATCAGATGACGGTCGTAATTTGCAGCTGGCTCTCCTACTATTTCTCTTCGCCAGCAGATCAACAAGGGGCCTCTACAGGGCCGATCAATTTTCGCGACGAAATAATCGTTTTACCCCGCGAAAATCTCACGCCCTGTAGACCAAAGAAAATAGATCCGACGTATCCGCCGAGCGGTCCCTGCTCGGGGAGCCATTTGAGGAAAATGGGAACCGGTCGGGGGCGAACGATCTGTGTTTTGTTACTTTTTTTGTTTTTGAACAGTACAGTACTTTAACTAGCTTGGTCATATTTATGTTTGTACTTGTAACTAACCAAAATCGAAAATTCGGTACGCACGTACTACTGACCTGCGATTGCGCAGATTCATCTATCTCCACCCACATCACAAGCTACAAGGGGAATCGCTATACAAAATTGAATTAAGGGGATCGTACCGCGAAGAACGAAAGGATTTAAGGGGATAACTAAAAAACATTGATTAGATCGACGCTAAATAATTTATACAACATTCACAGGGGGGGGTGTAAACTAGTAACTTAAGAGCTAAAAGAAAAACAGACATCACTAAGTATGAACTGATAAAATAGTAAGCGAATAGATTATTCGAAACACAACTCTATACAATATTATATCAAGATAAAAAATGCTCTGGTTCGAATAAATGCACAATAATAGATGATAATAGTAATAATAATAATAATATAGTCAATGGGGAAATGGGCGTTGTGATGCGGGTGAGAGATAATTATGACAGATTTGGCTTTGCTATCTTAATTCCAAATGCGTAGGAAACTGTCCCAGGATCCTGTGCCCACCGCCATTCCGTTCTCGGTCACACCCAGACAACTCACCCTGTTGTCGTGACCTGCCAAAATACCTGAAAAACAAAAAAAAATCGAAATTCAACATTCTTCCAAAACTGGCAACATACCAAATGAACGACCGTTCAGATGGATCCTTGGTTTAAATTATAAAGGAATAATCTCTAATGAACATCAAGACTTCAAGGGAGTACTCAATTTATTTCTGAAGGGGTTCTCAAATGAGAAATATCATATTGCTTAATTTTTTTGGGAAACAAGAGATCCTTTGCTTTTTGAATGTTTTTTATTTCCTATAAATAACCCATGTTGTTATTTTCAACACGTTTATAATTTCTGAAAGAGAAACTTTGACATTCACAATATAAAGATGCGCCCGCTTATCGCCACTTCGAACGCACCCAATGTTTTTTTCTTCTCAGGGAATGATGAGAAAATAACTCAGGCAAATTGACAAATAAACAAGTTGGAAAACTTCGGAAGTCTGGAAACTATTTGACTTGCTGTCCCAATATCATTAAATAAGCGATCTCAATAATTTTTTAGAGGTTCCGAAACGAAAAAATAGCGATTCAAGGGCATACCAAATACTTTTCTAAGGGTATCAAAAACTGAAAAAAATCGGAAAAATTCAGAGAAATCGAGAAATGAACATTACGTCGACATATGATTGAAAGCGCCATTTCTATGGCCTACCCAATCATTTTCAGTGGGTTCTAGACGGAAAATCGCGATTCCATTATGGTACCATTTTTTTTCTGAGGGGGTCGAAATCAAGCGACTTCAAGGGCGTACAAAATAATTTTTCTATGGGGGTCAAAAACTGAACGAAATCTGGTAATCAAGATAGCGACTTCAAGGGCGTACCAAATAATTTTTCCAAGGGAGTCAAGATGTCAAAAACTGGAAAAATATAGAAAAAATTCAAGGAATCAAAATAGCGACTTCCAAGGACGTACCAAATATTTTTCAAAGGGAGTCAACTGTAAAAAATCGGAAAATTTCAGGGAATGAAAATAGAGACTTCAAGGGCGTACCAAATATTTTTCTAAGGGAGTCAAAAACTGAAGAAATCTGAAAAATTATCGTACCAATTTTTTTTTCTGCGAGTCGAAACCTAGCTTTGAGGGCGTACCAGATATTTTTTCTAAGGGGGTCAAAAACTGAAAAAAATCTACAAAATTCAGGGAATCAATATAACGACTTCAAGGGCGAACCAAATATTATTTCCAAGGGGGTCAGATACTGGAAAAATCAGGTAATCATAATAGCGACTTCAAGGGCGTACCACATATTTTTACTAAGGGGTCAGGTTAGGGGTCAAAAACTGAAAAAATCTAAATAAATCAGGGAACCCAAATAGCAACTTCAAGGGCGTTCCAAAATTTTTTTCAAAGGGGATCAATAACTGAAAAAAATCGTAAAAATTCAGAGAAATCGAGAAATGAACATTACGTCGACATATGATTGAAAACACCATTTCTATGGCCTACCCAATCATTTTCAGTGGGTTCGAGACGGAAAATCGCGATTCCATTATCGTACCAATTTTTTTTCTGAGGGGGTCGAAATCAAGCGACTTCAAGGGCGTACCAAATATTTTTTCCAAGGGGGTCAAAAACTGGGAAAATTCGGAAACAATCAGAGAATCAAAATATCGACTTCAAGGGCGTACCAAATATGTTTCTAAGGGGGTAAAAAACTGAAAAAATCTGAAAAAATTAGAGAATCGAAATAGAGACTTCAAGGGCGTACCAAATATTTTTCCATGGAGGACAAGAACTGAAAAAAATCTAAAACATTCAGGGAAACGAGCAACTTCAAGGGCGTACCAAATATTTTTCTAAGGGGGTCAAATACGGAGAAAAATCTGAAAAAATTAGGGAATCGAAATAGCGACTTCAAGGGCGTACCAAATATTTTTTCAAGGGGGTCAAAAACTGGAAAAAATCTAAAACATTTGGGGATTGGAATAGCGACTTCAAGGGCGTACCAAATATTTTTCTAAGGGGGTCAAATACGGAGAAAAATCTGAAAAAATTAGGGAATCGAAATGGCGACTTCAAGGGCGTACCAAATATTTTTTCAAGGGGTTCAAAAACTGGGAAAAATCGAAAACAATTAGAGAATCGAAATAACGACTTCAAGGGCGTACCAAATATTTTTCTAAGGGGGTAAAAAAAACGGAAAAAATCTGAAAAAATTAGAGAATCGAAATAGCGACTTCAAGGGCGTACCAAATATTTTTCCATGGAGGCCAAGAACTGAAAAATATCTAAAACATTCAGGGAATCGAAATAGCAACTTCAAGGGCATACCAAATATTTTTCTGGGGTCAAAAACTGGAAAAAATCTAAAACATTTGGGGATTGGAATAGAGACTTCAAGGGCGTACCAAATATTTTTCTAAGGGGGTCAAATACGGAGAAAAATCTGAAAAAATTAGGGAATCGAAATAGCGACTTCAAGGGCGTACCAAATATTTTTTCAAGGGGTTCAAAAACTGGGAAAAATCGAAAACAATTAGAGAATCGAAATAACGACTTCAAGGACGTACCAAATATTTTTCTAAGGGGGTAAAAAAAACTGAAAAAATCTGAAAAAATTAGAGAATCGAAATAGCGACTTCAAGGGCGTACCAAATATTTTTCCATGGAGGCCAAGAACTGAAAAATATCTAAAACATTCAGGGAATCGAAATAGCAACTTCAAGGGCATACCAAATATTTTTCTGAGGGGGTCAAAAACTGGAAAAAATCTAAAACATTTGGGGATTGGAATAGCGACTTCAAGGGCGTACCAAATATTTTTCTAAGGGGGTCAAATACGGAGAAAAATCTGAGAAAATTAGGGAATCGAAATAGCGACTTCAAGGTCGTATCAAATATTTCTTTCAAGGGGGTCAAAAACTGGGAAAAATCGGAAACAATCAGAGAATCAAAATAACGACTTCAAGGGCGTACCAAATATTTTTCTAAGGGGGTCAAAAACAGAAAAAAATCTGAAAAAATTTGTGAATCGAAATAGCGACTTCAAGGGCGTACCAAATATTTTTTTCATGGGGGCCAAAAACTGAAAAAATCTAAAAATTCAGGGAATCTAAATAGCAACTTCAAGGGCGTACCAAATATTTTTCTAAGGGGGTCGGAAAAGTGAAAAAAATCGAAAAAATCGAGAAATGAACAACACTCACCGGCCCTCTCCGTTTTCATCGAGTCCCACACGTTGCAATTGAAGTCGTCGTAGCCGGCCAACAGCAGCCGGCCCGACTTGCTGAACGCCACGCTCGTGATGCCGCAAATGATGTTGTCGTGACTGTACATGGCCAGCTCCTGGTCGGCGCGGATGTCGAACAGGCGGCACGTGGCGTCGTCGCTGCCCGTCGCGAAGGCGCACCCGTTCGGGAAAAAGGTGACGGCGTTGATGTCGGACTCGTGGCCGGGGAAGGTCTGCTTGCAGAGACCGTCGCGGATGTCCCACAGTTTCGCGGACGCGTCGCACGCCCCTGGAAACGACAACAATAATCAGCAAAAGAAAAGTACTTTCTTTTCTTCAGAATGTCCCACTGTCAATTCAAATATTTTTCTCTGAACGATCAACCAGATCACGATCAAAAATAGCGTTAACTGTCTATTACACTTTCTCTCAATCTACCTTTCTCTCTTCCCTATCTTTTTATCTCTCCCCTCATCCTCATCTCTATCTTTCATATCTATTTGCCATTTATAAATCTTCCATTTCACTCTTCAATTTTTCTCTTCCAGCTATTTTTTAAATTGAGATGGCGGGAGTTTTATAATTATGATCCGATTCTATTCAATGATATCTGGAAGTTTTCGGGGTCGGAGATTACGATTCTTTCGTCAAAAATCATGATGTTCAAGATGGCGGATTCAATATGGCGGACGAGTTTTGTAATTATGATCCGATGCTATTCAAAGTTGGTATCTGGGGGTTTTTGGGGTCGGAGATTATGATTCTTTCGTAAGATTTTTCCCAGTTTATTCAAATTAATATGTTTATTACAATGTATATTTTGTAAACGTTTTTGAATAAACTTATATTATTATTATTGTTATTAAATATGGCGAACGAGTTTTGTAATTATGGTTTGATTCTGATCAAAATTGGTATCTGGGAGTTTTTGAGGTCGGAGATCATGATAATTTCGTCAAAATCAGGAAATTCGAGAAGGCGGATCCAATATAGTGGACGTTTCATTATTATGGTCCGATGCTATTCAAAATTTGTATCTGGAGTTTTCCTGGTTGGAGATTGTGATTCTTACATCAAAATTTGGAAATTCAAGATGGCGGATCCAATATGGCGAACGAGTTTTGTGATTATGGACCGATTATAAACAAAATTGGTATCTGGGGTTTTTCGGGGTCAGAATTGTGATTCTTTCATCAAAATTTGGAAATTCAAGATGGCCGATCCAATATGATAGATGAGTTTTGTAATTATGATTCGAAATTTTGTAATTTGTTTTTTTTGGGGGTTTTTGGGGTAGGAGATTGATTATTTCGTCAAAATTGGAAAATTCAAGATGGTAAATCCAATATGGTCTACGAGGTAGATAGCCAAACTTGAAAGAAGTAGAAAATAAAATAAATAGTATTTTGAAAACCAAAGAAACACCACTATTATGGATGGCCAAACGAAAAAAAAGTTGAAAACAAAATAGGAAAAGGGCGTTGATAAATATTTAACTTCAAAAGATATTTTTTAGAAACAATGTATCAATGGCAAAACAACGTTTGCCGGGCCAGCTATACAGTGTGTCCCGCTTTTCATGAATACACCCTAATATCTCGATGCGATTTTCTTGAAATTTTGGTAGTGATTGTGTGTTAGAACAATGAATTATTTAGCAGAGTAGCAGTTTCATTCTCCATTGGCGTGCGATGTTGATAAGTACAAAAAAGACCCTTATTTGGGAAAAGGATATAAGGGCTTATTTTAGATAAGTATCTCTTTCAGATTCACCAAAAAAATTTCAAGAAAATCGCATCATTACCTGAGATATTTTATGGTGTATTCATGAAAAGCGGAACACACCGTATACAGTGTGTCCCACTTACCATGCTCACCATGGGTATCTTTTTAACGGTGAGAGATACGAAGTCGGTTAAATGACACCAAATGTGGAGTTTGTCAAGGCCAACTATAATGTGAAAAAATATTTTGATAAAATCTATTCGTTTTTGTTTTATACGCAAAAAACAGATTTTGATCATTTTCATCTCTCCTCCGTAACTTCTTTATTTATGAAAATATTCAAATAGGAATTTCACATTCCCATGGCAGTTTTTCAAAGTGATTTCGAAAAAAATATGAAATTTATACCAACTCTTCTAGAATTTGAGATATCAGCACCAACTTTAGTTTTTCAAATGTAGGTCATAGCTCAATATGACTTAGTTACAAATAACTTTTTTTTCTCTTTCAGATGATGTGTCGCAGTAATAGTTTTGTGTTGATAACAACGGAGTTATCGTCATTTTTACAAAAACAAAAAATTATTTGGAAGCCGCCATCTTGAATTTATAAATTTCAACAAGAAAATCATGATCTCCGACCTCAAAAACCCCCACTTACCAATTTTGAATGGAATCGGACCAAATCTTGTCCGCCATCTTGGAGCAGCCATTTTTTTTAATTTCAACAAAAATTACATAATGTATTGTCACCGAAATTATGAACACCTGCCAAATTTCAAGTTAATCGGAGTTATGGAATTTTTGTTGAAATTGAAAAGAATGGCTGCTCCAAGATGGCGGACAAGATTTGGTCCGATTCTGTTCAAAATTGGTAAGTGGGGGTTTTTGAGGTCGGAGATCATGATTTTATTGTTAAAATTCATAAATTCAAGATGGCGGCTTCCGAATAATTTTTTTGTTTTTGTATAAATGACGATAACTCCGTTGTTATCAACACAAAACTATTACTGCGACATATCATCTGTAAGAGAAAAAAAAGTTATTTGTAACTAAGTCATAGTGAGCTATGTCCTACCTTTGAAAAACTAAAGATGGTGCTGATATCTCAAATTCTAGAAGAGTTGGTATGAATTTCATATTTTTCTCGAAATCACTTTGAAAAACTGCCATAAGAATTTGAAAATCCTATTAGAATATTTTCATAAATAAAGAAGTTACGGAGGAGACATGAAAATGACCGAAATCTGTTTTTTGCGTATAAAACAAAAACGAATAGATTTTATCAAAATATTTTTTCACATAATAGTCGGCCTTGACGAACTCCACATTTGGTGTCATTTAACCGACCTCGTATCTCTCACCGTTAAAAAGATACCCATGGTGAGCATGGTAAGTGGGACACACTGTATATACCTCTTACTGTCTCTATATAATTCTCTCATCATCTCTATATCTCTCTATATATAAAAATCTTCCTCTAACCATCCATCTTTCTCTCAATATCTATCATTTTCGCCTGATATTCATCTCTTCATCTCAATTCCTATCTCCTCCCCTTGATATCCCTTTTTCTCTCCCTATTTATCTTTTTCTCTCAATATAACCCTTTCTCTTACTATCCACCTGTTTCTCTAAATATCTATCTGTTTCACTCAATATCCATCTCTTACGCCAACCATCATTCATCATAATCATCTCCGTCGACAACCCACTGACCTGAGACGAAAGTGCGCATGTCCGGCGCCAGCGACAGGGACATGACGTCACCGGTGTGGCCCAGAAAGGACGTCGTCTGCTGGCCGGTCTCGATGTCCCACAACGCGCAGCTCATGTCGCCCGAGCTCGTCACTATTTGGTTGTCGTCGAGGAAGCGACAGCAGGACAGGTAGCCCGTGTGACCGGGCAGCTCCCTGCTCACCTAAATCGAAACCGACATTGAAAAGGTCTCGGTAAAACTGCATTTATCATGCGATGTTTGTTTTTTTCGAAAATTAGGAATATTACCAATACTTTATTGTGAATTTATAAATTATTGAATAACTATTATTTATGGAGTTCCTCCGCGAGGAGGTGAAGGCATTACTAATCCCATTGTCTGCTGGAGAAAAAAATCTAGTGAGCTGGAGTATCTGGTCTGCCCAAACAAGGGAAACCATCTACATGGTTCTGTGGCCGATACAGTAGTACCGCCATACGGTCAACTCGAGGAAAAACTCATTCCAATTGTTTTCCTGTCAAACCTACATAACCTTGAAAATCATAAATGAGTTATTGTGAATTTATAAATTATTGAATAACTATTATTTATGGAGTTCCTCCGCGAGGAGGTGAAGGCATTACTAATCCCATTGTCTGCTGGAGAAAAAAATCTAGTGAGCTGGAGTATCTGGTCTGCCCAAACAAGGGAAATCACCTACAGGGTTCTGTGGCCGATACAGTAGTACCGCCATACGGTCAACTCGAGGAAACACTCATTTCAATTGTTTTCCTGTCAAACCTACATAACCTTGAAAATCATAAATGAGTTGAGCGGTGCTCTCGGCAGTCTCGGCCGGCGGCGTTTGTTCAGTCACGGTCACGGTCACTCAGTCACTCAAAAATTTAAGAAATCATTCCTTCCCAAAATGGTTGCTACAGACACTACAATAGTTACCAATTTTGTAACCTTCAACACCTAAGTAAATGAAAGGTAGAATCAGAAGTATAGATTATTAGCATTTGATCAGAGCTCCGATTATCTTACTTGTAATGATCCTGTAACACTCAATATCGAATGTACCCACTTATGTCACAAACACCAAAGAAATATCACTTGAAAATCCATGAATGGAGATGGTTTCACAATTTCTGGTAGGCACAATAAGAGGAGACAGAGTTTGTTACACATTGATAATCAGAATAATCTACTATAATACTGGGAGCACAACACAAAACTATATCTATAAACGAAAGGAATATCAGAACAATGAGAATTGAAAAAGAATATTTTCGAAAAATTACATAACAAGTCATGATGGCATGACAGCTTTAGACACTGACAACCAGTGACAACTTACATAACCACAAATTTCAAAATTTGTCTAGAAAAAAGTGACGATCATTTCGTACGATACGGTAACATCCTCTAGTGGTCCTACACTCAACTGAGCTATAGGGAAGACCAGAAGTTCCAGCTCACTAGATTTTTTCTCCATATTTAGCAGACAATGACCAATCCAAATTGCTCGCGCACTGACGTCACACGATTCACGACCATGTCTGAAGAAAAATCCATTGACATATTTTGAGATATATTTTTACTAGAAATGACTGGAAAGGCTCATTATATTTCATTTTTGTAGATTGAAATACACGGTAGTTGACAGTTATAAACCATCACATTTAATGCTTTTTTCTAAGTGTTGGATAATAGTTTGTCACAGCTTGCAGGAGAGTATGGAGGATGGTATTATGGTTCCAAAAATTCCCGATAAACTCGCGAAAAACTAATATCGGTCGATCAGGCAACTATCAACAACACATAGAAAGCCGTCCGTTTTATTTGTGTAAGAGATAATTTCAGTTGATTTATCATGTGGATTGATATGTGCTACGCATGAAAATCGAGAATAATTTCCTAGTATTATATAAAGTCTGTCTACTTAAGTCGACTACATATGGGAAAATGTTCAATTAAACTACTCAACACTAATTTCGTCGCACACCAAAATGTCGCCCCTGTTATAATGTGAATAACTTTTTTCAGTTTAGAACAATTTGAATTTGGTTCACACTGTTCGATAGCCCAGTCCTTCAGCTATAATCTCGTACTTCATTGAAACATAAGGGTTTTCACATAAAATCTCTACATGGTGTTTTCCGACACTGTGCAAAATTTCGGAATATTCAAAAGGCTCTCAAATGGTGGAAAAAAAATTTTTCTCAACTTCGACAACAGAGGCATGAAGATGATCTCATTACCTCGAGATATTTCGCGAATCAACTTCCTATCTCTCTCATTTAACAGAGTGATCTTAAAAAATCAACTTTTTGGTTTTGCAGCCATAACTTTTTTCCACGTCAACCGATTTTGGAAATCTTAGGCTCATTTTGAAGATAAAACTTCAGATGAAGAGATCTAAATATTAGAATTGACTCAAGATGGCTATCAATGATCTAGAGTTTTCTTGAAAGTGACCCAAATCTGGAACGCCCTCCAAATCTCGGTTGGGAGGAGAATTGAATGAAAATCAACTTGTTCTCGGAAAACCAATTCATTCTGGATGCGTCCATATTTTCCTTGCTCTCAGTAGTCAAGAATGTGCGTGAGAAAACACTAGTGAAACATGTTCTTGCAAAAACATCAGACCATTTCTCCTCTGTAATGCATGGCCCGTAACCAACGTTACAAGAATCACAGTAAGGGACTGACAAGTCAGGTTAGACGTCGTTTTCGAATCATAAACAGATTTTGATAGTTTCGATGCCGCATCTAACGCCCAACCAGTTGGAACTGATTCGTTCGGCGCATTATTGCGACTGAAAACTTTACGTATCTGGCAAACTGTTTTCGTGAAACTTTCACCATATTTGAAATGTGTTTTTACAATAAATAAACGTTGTTCGCTTGAATACTTTTCCATATTCTTTAATCGCATGTTATGTACGTGACAACTGTTAAAAAAATCACTTTATTAAAAAAATCAAAATCCGTTGCTCTTGTTGGTACACCATTTATGATGAGCCTCAGCTGGTCGGGTTTGTCAGTCACTCATTGTGATTCTTGTAACGTTGGTTACGGCGGGCCATGCATTACAGAGGAGAAATGATCTAACGTTTTTGCAAGAACATGTTTCAATTGTGTTTTCTCACGCACAATTCTTGACTACTGAGAGCGAGGAAAATATGGACGCATCCAGAATGAATTGTTTTTCCGAGAACAAGTTGATTTTCATTCAATTCTCCTCCCAACCGAGATTCGGAGGGCGTTCCAGATTTGGGTCACTTTCAAGAAAACTCTAGATCTTCCATAGCCATCTTGAATCAATTCTGATATTCAGATCTCTTCATCTGAAGTTTTATCTTCAAAATGAGCCTGAGATTTCCAAAATCGGTTGACGTGGAAAAAAGTTATGGCTGCATAACCAAAAAGTTGATTTTTTGAGATCACTCTGTAAATAAGAGAGATAGGAAGTTGATTCGCTAAATATCTCGAGGTAATGAGATCATCTTCATGCCTCTGTTGTCGAAGTTGAGAACAAAAAATGTTTCACCATTTGAGAGCCTTTTGAATATTCCGAAATTTTGCACAGTGTCGTAAAACACCATGTAGAGATTTTAAGTGAATACCCTCATGTTTCAATGAAGTACAAGATTATAGCTGAAGGACTGGGCTATCGAACAGTGTGAACCAAATTCAAATTGTTCTAAACTGAAAAAAGTTATTCACATTATAACAGGGGCGACATTTTGGTGTGCGACGAAATTAGTGTTGAGTAGTTTATTTACTTTAGAAAAACAGTTATTCTTCAGGAAAAGCTCTGCATACATACACAATAATTATGATGCACTTTGAAATTGAACTGACTATTCTAGAATCAAGAATAATAATTTGTTGATAACTTATACTGAGTACTTACCCTGACATTGCCCTCGCGTGTCTTTAGGCTGTAGATGGAGCAAATGTTGTCGAGGCCCCCGCAGGCCACGAAGGAGCCCGAGGGCGCGTATGCGCACGTCATCACCCAAGAAGACCTGAGAGGAATGGCGTGAACCTGAAATCAAGGTTACTTCTCGAAAAACATTGGATTATGGTTTTTTTTTTGTATCAATACCTTTTCTTCTTAAGGGATTGAAAATAAGATTATGATTTTTCAACGTGACAGTAACCCACCTAATTCTTCCTTTTTTACATCACAGAATAAATGAATTTATCCATTAGGTAATATACAGGGTGTTTCATAATTGAATGCTGATCCTCAAGGGCGATAATCCTTGGATGATTTCAAAGAGAAAAGTTCATATCAACATATATCCTAAACCTCTTAGTTATTGAGCTACAGGGTGATGAAATTTCAAGAAAAAAATGAGTTTTTCATCATAATTTTTTATCACTCTTAAATATTGTTAAGATATTTTGTATACACCTTTTCATTATTGAGGAGCATTTTTTTACGTGAAAGATATTTAAAAATTCTCACCAGTGGCGTCCGTACGGGGTTTGAACTGACAATTAAGAAAAAAATAGCACGCCACCGATTTTTCTGAGAACCAGATTTTTTTTTTCATTTCTTATTCATTTTGGAGCAAATTTGGTTCCCAGACTTACTTTCATACAACGTACCGTTTTCACGTAAAAAAATAAAAACCAAAGAATTTTGTTCCTTCAGTTCTTGGATATTGTTTTTGGTAATTCAGTAGACACCCACTATAAGTGGAAACATATTTTGTTTTGGGACGAAAATCAAACTTTTACTTCTACCAGTGATGTCCTCGTAGACCTGATATTGAATGTTTTGTTTAAAAAAACGCTGTACGCTTCTGATTTCAACACCCTGTAGCTCAAAAACTAAGAGGTTCAGGACATATGTTGATATGAACTTCTCTCCTTAAAATCATCCAAGGATCATCGCCCTTTAGGATCAGCATTCAATTATGAAACACCCTGTATATAATATAATAATAGAACATGTGAATTTAATTGGCGTCATATCAGAAATCAAAATTTATCTGACATTTTAAATGAACAGTTGGAAATTTTTCATTTTATCGTGTGCCCAATTTACTTCTCAATTTTTACATTCAACTATTTTGTTTCCTCGCTATTTTCTTGAATTTTGGTTTTCGTGAAACCCCTTAAATTTTTTGACATCACTTGTCGTTTTGTTCAAGTCCTGATGATGGTTAAATTTTGATAAATCTTTTTCTTCACAGAATTTGGTAAAAATAATCCGACGACGTCATTACTTTAGCTTCCAAATATGAAGAAATATGCAAATTTGGCTTCAAATTTCTTCTCGTAGACATTTCCACCACGGTATAGACCAGTTATGTTTTTTTTTTCATGGAAACTATGTCATTTTCATAACAATAATCTTAATATGTATATATAAAACTTGTACTGTGGCTGAAGGACCTCGGTCGATGGCCTTTTGAGCATTTATACTCAATAAAGTTGATTTTGTTGTTGTTGTTGGCTTCAAATGTACCTTACTCGATATAATTCAAGAATTTTTTTCATCTCTTGGAGCCAGTGCCGTATTTATACTCACTTACGCCGGGGGCTAACTATTACGATGCCGCCGCGCCGCCGCCAAATAATTCAAAATTCAAAGTACCCATTCACCGAATGTAAAAAATATAAAACTGTAAAATTTCCCTTCTTTCTTCTTCAGAACGTGAAGTTCCCGGATACGGTTCTGTCGGTTCTCATTCTATCTCATTTGAACTGAGAAAAAATGAAAGTATTTTAGTGCCTCTCTTGACAACTTCATACAACTTCATTTGTTTATTCATCTTCTGCCGTTTCCAGAATGCACCACTTTCTTTTTTACTCATATTTTTGAATTCCAGTTTCAATATTTACCATTACCAACGACAACCTATTGAGTACTGAATTCTGGTTTTGTTATTTGTTATTGAGTTAGACGAATCACGAAATTACCCCTACTGAGTAGAATATGGTTTTTTCATCTTCATCAAATAAAAGTATGTACCGCAGTCGCTAATTGCGCGTTTGCTTCAAAAGGCGACGAGTGAAGAGGCGACATATACTTGTCGCCTCGTCGGCGATGAATATATTGCTGCTTGCTTTTTTCTTCTTTCTCCCTACCGCCACTTAAAATTCACCGCCGGGGGCTAATAGTCCCATAGCCCCCCGCCCTAAATCCGGCACTGCCTACCTATAGGGAGGAAGCAGGCGTTGAAATATACAGGGTGTTAAGAAATAAGTGTCACAACAGAAAACTGTAGATTGCTCATGACAAAAGAAACATTTTTTTCTCTTTCGAAATTTTTCTCCGGGCTTCCGTTATCAAGATACAGGGCGTCAAACAAATATAAAAAAATCCGTTTTTTGCTACTATCTCAAGAACTGTCTGAGCTACGGAGTTAAGCCTTCCTACACACTTCATCATCAATAATGACTACTTTTAGGGCTCCTGATCAATTTCCTTGGACATGTCAGTGGAGGAGAATTCAATGCCTCGTAAGGGTTTAACCCCCCAAACATTTATGCCACTGGAGAAATTGTAATTTTCAAAGTAGATTCTGAAGCGCCAATATCTTTCACACAAAAAACGTCCTCCTGTCTGAATGCTCTAAAGTGAACAGTTTCCGAGAAAAATGGCTCTTTAAGAATAAGAACATACAAAATCCTGATGGTATCATTGGTATCCCCAAAAAACGTCTAAAAATCCACTGGAAATAAACATCTCAGAACTGTCTAATAATATGTTCAATCAAATGTCAGGGTCTTGAGTATGCTGGTCTTGATGCTGGTTTTCAAGTTGTTGAGTTTATTAAGTGTTCTAAAGTTTGTTTAATTTAACTGAACATTTTTTATTTTATGACGCCCAGTATCTTGAAAACTGAAGCCCGGAGAAAAATTTTGAAGAGGTAAGAAATGTTACTTGTATTATGAGGAATCTACAGTTTTCCGTTGACACTTATTTATTAACACCCTGTATAATAACAAAGCTGAGACATCGATAGAACATCAAAACTGCAAGCATAATTATTGTTAGGTAACCAAATTCATACCTAGGAAGCTGAAAAGAAAAAATATGATTTAGAAATTCCTTCAAATAGAATGAAAACTGCAACACTCCAGGGACGTGCCAATTTTTTCTGACGGGTCCAAATTAAAGAAAAAAAGCATAATTTCAAACATCAAGAGAATAAATTTGAGTATAATGTAGTACATGGCACAAAAGAAATAATGACCTTGTTGGTGGTGTGACTGTCCCAGACGATGAGCTTGCCGTCCTGCGAGGCGGAGACGAGGTTCCTGGAATCGGAGCCCCAGTGCATGGCGTAAATCTTGGCGAGGTGGCCGCGCAGGGTGCGCCTGGTGCGCATCTGCACCCGCCCGATCGGTTCCAGACTGGCCGTCGCCTGCACCAGCGACGTGTCGCAGGCCGCCTTCCTGGCATCCTACGATTTCCAAGAAATTTATAGTTGAATGGAAGCAAAATCACCCTCTTTGTCCTAGCGTTACCGTATGGTCACATCATTAAATTGACCGTCACTAGACTGAATTGACTATTTGAAGTATTTGCAAATGTCACTGCAGAACATGATATGTCACCGTAGAGGCTTTTCACATGCCAATATCCTGGCATCCATCAATTTCCATGAAATTTTTTACTTGAATGAAGGGGAAACAATGGGTTCTAGTGGATAAAAAAGTGGATGAAGAGTCTGACTATGAAAATGTCAAAATTGACCCTTTCAGTCCTAGGATTACCATATGGCAACATCTTCAAGTCGACCGTCACTAGACTGAATTGACGATTTCAAGTGTCTGTAAATATCACAGGGTACTGTAGTAACTTATAATGTGACCATTATGTTGTAGTTGCCATTGCAAAATCATTTTTGGAAATTTATATTCAAATGGAGGGAAACAATGGGTTCTAGCGAATAAAATGCTAGTCAGAGTCTACCCTAGAAAATGTCAAAATTATTGACATTTTCAGTCCTAGCGTTACCATATGGCAACATCATCAAATTGGCCGTCACATGGATGAATTGACTATTTAAAGTGTCTGTAAATGTCACAGGGTACAGAAGCAACTTAATATGTGACCATAATAATGCAGTTGCCATTGAAAAATCATTTTTAAAGACTTTTCACATGGCCCCTACCTGGCATCCTGCAATTTCAAATGAAATTCATACATAAATGGAGGAAAAATGGAAGGTTCTAGTGAATAACTAGCTGGTAAGAGAGCCTGGCCATGAAAATGTTGAAATTAGCCCTTTTTGTGATAGTGTTACCATATGGTTACAACATCAAATTGACCATTACTGGACTGAATGGACTATTCGGAGACTATAAATGTTACTCTTACTTCCATTTGGACTCAATGTTATCAAGAAATGATAAGATTCACACTTACTCACATCTTCTGATTATTTTAGCCTCCTTAATGACTTGGTATGACCAAAAATTTCAAGTAAATAACTGTAAATCATTTTTTAAATTGTTTCCCATGATATGACATGATCATCTACCTGATTCTTTAGATGATTTCACATTTCACATTCACCATCTAGTATCAAGTATTTGCTCTGAGAAAAGAGAAAATTCCTAATGATAATTAATTATAAATATAATTATTGGCTTACTTAATTGATCACACACTCCTATTTGAAGAAAAGTAAATATTACTGTTATGCATTACCTTGAATCAAAATGTTGCCAATAAGTTTATGGAGACCCTGTATAAATAATATGTATGATTTATTTTTTTATTATTAGCAATACTTCAAGTTGGTTTCTATATCCTATGAAATATCAGATATCCCTGGATAATTTATTTACTGACATCTTAAAAGCTCTAGAAATAATAGTGAATTGAATTCTTATCTTATGAATAAGATAAAAAACATTTGATGAACCGTAGGTAAACACAGGAAACCATTTCATTGCAAACAAAGATATATAAACAGACATCATCACCCATTACAACAGGAAATGTGACAAAAACTTTATGTTATTCACCTATCCAAATTAGTTATAGTAAATGATATTTTCAACTTACTCGAATTGCATTTTTAAGAGTTTCAGCTTCTTGCCTGAGAGAATCCAGTTCGTTCATACTGCTCAATGCAAACTATTACACCACCTGAAAGAAAATCAAGCTGAAAATCAATCAAAAAATGAACACAAAAACAATAAACTAAAAATATCCAGTGTTTCCTCTATTTTTAAAAGATTCAAGAATCAATATGTGAAATTCCCAAATAAATTATGATAAAGATAATATGTGCTGTTAGTAAACAAAGCATGTTTACAAAAGGCAGATAAATCTAGAGAAATCTTGCCAATCAATCAAATACATTGATATTCACATTATTCTAGATGAAGGAGACCTCAATCTCTGATCTACCAGACAAAAATATTTAGCAATCCCTGAAAATTATTATTTGCAATTATTCACTGATATTTACAGAGTGGTCTTCAGAAACTCCCAATACATTTGAATAGCTTATCAATATGTTCCTCTCAATGGATATTTATTTTGATTAACAAAATTAAATCATCACTTGACAAAGTTGAAAGTTACTAAAGTTCAAGACATGCCTCATGATCCTGTACCAGTGGAAATCTGAAACTGAAATATATATTATCATGGAGACCTGAATAATGAAATAAATAAATATAGGTTATTAATTACTAAGCTAAACAGACCATTAATTATGAAATTTGAACAAGACTCCAGAACAGAATATGTTTATATTATGTTCCATTATTATTCCTATTATATATTAATATGAGTAACCCTCTTTGAGAATTTTAAACTTCCCGCTCCTCCCTTGAAGTCAGAATTTTGTTTTTGGACACACCTACAACCCAAAACACATGCATATACCCCCAGTATGTCAGGTACTCCAACAATTACCACATTATTATTGAATTATACAAAAAGGAAAGCTTCCAAACACCTCGAAATAGCTGGAAATCTACCAGAAACGACAATATCCGTAGTATTGAAAATAATTTGACAGCCGCCATGACAGTCTTTGCACCTGCTGCAAAACTCATTTGAGGAAATTCCCAATTGCCATCCCTACATCCCTGTTCACGTCCAATGAGCCCCCGATTCATTACGGCCAAGTACTCCCACAGCTTTGGTACTTACTTTCCAAACCCTCGCAGCTTTCCTAAACCAATCAACCAATAAAATTATCCAATGGTTCACAGAAAATCACGACCACATCGGTTTACACATATAGAAAAAGGATTGTCCACTGCTTACAGTCATTAAGAACGTACTTGAGAACGTTTCATAGGTAACGAGGCATTACCTGAACACTTAACACATGGAAATTTCTTATTTTCACTAGGGTTTTCACCACGGATTTCTTTGGGCGCGGTGGAGACGACCGGTACCCTTCCTTCCCTTTTCTCGTAACGATTATAGACTTGATTTGTGACGTCAGTGTCGCCATACTGCTACTATTCCTCCATCTGTCATTGACTTTGGGAAGCTTTTACAGAAAACTGTAAAATACGATTTATATTCGACAATATTACAGATCGCTGTTGTATTTCATATGTGTTATATCTTGAAGATAGATGTCACTCCTATCGACGTGACAGTGCGACACCAGGTGGTGGAAAATGGTAAAAATTGGAAATAACAAATTAATTTATTAATCCTAATCAGATCCTAATCTTTTATCAGTTCAGTTTTATCTTATCTTCATTATTAGAAATACTACAACCACTATTAGTATCTTATCTATCTCTAAATGATCACTATTACAACAAACCCAGGGTGAAATAATTCCTAATTTAATATTTTATTGTTGGCATGTTAAAAATATTATAATACACAGTAAAATAAGATTTAAAATAATCACAAATATATCACTTGGAACCAAATATTTCATGGAAAGTTGTTTTCCTGTATCCCACATCACTTGCCTTCTTGTCATCAAAACTAATATACATCCTGAAAATAAGTGCAATGAGTACCTACCAATTTTTTTTGAAATTAGTCAACCTATCTCCAGTGTATATAATCAAGGCTTTTATTACCTGTCTGCATCAATCCCAAGGGCTTGAGTGATGCAATCAGTGAGTGCCTTAGAATGCCTCTTGTTTTCTTCTACTCCTAGGGCCCCAATACTCATCAATGTAGCTTGTGCAGCTGGATCATTAGTGCCTCCCCAAGACATATTGACACCTCCAGTCACTGAAGCACAGCAAAACTACAAAATATATAGGACTTCAATCATGTTCTTCCAAATCTTTTGGATTCCAGGAGGCATCACGAGAGGTTAATAACTTACATTTAATGGCTTTCCCAAGGATTTTGACAGTAATTCACTCAATTTTGCTGATAGGTCGATGGGGATTTTTTCTTGAGGAACATTAGTTTCTAAACGCAAATACGGCATGATGACTATCAACTTTTGCCTTGCTTATGATCTACGAGTTGGAGTGGTTGAATGTCGAATCACAGGATATTATTATCATTTCACGAACCACTTCAAAGGCCACTTGAATTATGAAATCATATTTCATAATTTCATATGAGGAAATTTCAAATTTTAGTTCTGTTTGTGACGATCCTAACCCTAAACTAATTTAACTACTTCAAGAGTGACAAGTGACACTGACAGTACTGACACCCGTGAAGCAAACCTGCACAAAACAGTAAGTTAACTGGTGGATTTTTCGTATGCACCAGCCATTGATTTTAGCTATATATATCTATTTCTAACTCATGTATAAAAAAAAGACAGACATATAACATACACTGAGTGCAGAAACTTTCATGTTTCACCCAATGGAACACGCTAGATCTGCACCTAGTCAATTCTGTCAATTGTCAATTTATATATTTATGAAATAAAATATTTCCCCAAAATAATCTGAAGTCTCACGTTTTTATATTATTGCTCCTGATATTATTATCAAAGAGGATTATTATTCTCACAAATGGCGAAACAAGGAAGTTTTACATCGTTTTTCAAAGGAATATATCAGGACGAATTCAAATGGTACAGTAATTGTTATTTATTCCCAATCTGAAGATATTGGAAAGGAATTACTTTTTTGCAGGTCTTTAGTAAAATCCATTGGATTGTTTGCCCTAGGAATCAGAATAGCCCAAGAATGTGCAGGAATGGAACTGTTACCTTCTCAAGCATAATTCAATATACCAACCTATGTTAATTTGTAGATATTTTAAAATTCATGTAGTGTGGGGAATGATGTTTATATTTTTCAAACATTATCCTTAAATTGTATATCATTAAGTTAATTTGTAATGAATCTAGGGAATCAAATTAATTTTCATCAGGAAGTAGGTAGGTATATCATGGAATCACTTGCAGTTAACTAGGACAAAATAAAATTCTTTTAAAAAACATTGTTTATTATTTACTTTCTATAATATAAACTCACACTGACACACTCAACACTAATAATATAATAAAAGTTTCCACATCAAATATAATGTTGAAACAAAACAATAAAATAAACTCAAAAAATATTAAGACATTAAAAAATTTGGCATAATTTGACTTAATAGTAAATATGTACAAAAATACATGAGCTGCCTTTAGCAACCATTGAAATAATCAGCTGGGAATTATTTTTAAGTAACTGTTCCAACAATAAAATTTTCCAGCTCAAATCCAAGGAAATTCCACTATCAAGATTAAGAGTTGACATAAAAAAAGACCCTAAGAAATGAAATTAGACCCTTTAGGTGGAAACCACCAAGAATCAAAAGATTCCAACTGTTCATGTTTCCTCAGAATTTTTTGATTCTCCAAACGGAAAAGACAAACTTACAGTGTGATTTTCGTTTCAATGCTCTCACCGTTTCCACTACTGCTGACCACAGTATTTCTGAGATTACGTCTCTCCAGAGATTGGGAATCTGAATTTTTTTTCGGCCTTCTTTCTTTCCTGCCCTCGTTGCTAACGTTCGTGCTCAACGTTGTGTTTCCTAGACTGGAAGATCTGGAACCAAGAACAGAAGAGAATGTCCATTCAGAAAATATACAGAGTATACCAATTGGACGTTCTTCAATTCAAAAAATCTGTAGGACGTTTCTAAACTCTAGTATCTATACTACTTCGGTAACGAGAAAGGTCTTTGAATATTATTTATATTCATGTTTTGATATATCAAAAATAAAATGAAGGTGAAAATGGCAGCTTTTTGTGGGTTGGTAGATTTCTGCATTTTGCAAAGCAGGTAATCAAAGCAAAACTATTCCCGATAGAAAATAACACGTCACCCCACCTGACGGCAGCAACTCGAATACTTCTGAGCGGTTTGATTTGATTATATAACCAATAAGCATGGACAAAAAACAAATGTGAACCAAATGAAAACAAAGTAAACACGCTGCTTTGACAGCTTTCAAGGACTCCGATAGGTGTCGTACGCTTATTTTCTATCGTGAATAAGTATAATACCAAGTGGCTTGGTAGGTTTCTGCCTATCAAACATTCATATAAAATTAATATTTGGGTTAGCATTTCATGGTTTTATGGGGTATATAATTGATTGAATCTTGGTAGGTTTTCACAGAATGCACAACGCTAAATATGCACCCAACTCCAATATCTGGTATTGTGGGTAGGGGTGATTTTTCCAGTGATTCTAAGATTAAGTTCACACACTGTTATTTTTTCGGGAATTTGTCAATATTGTGTTAGTCCCTCGGCAGGGTTATTTGCGATAGTAAGCCATAATGGGGGCAGTTTCGTCTATTGAGATTTTGAAGTGGATTATTTCCATTGTTTCCAAGACATTAGTAAATGAAATCTACTGCCGTGACTACATTTTTCCCTGAAACCAATTTACACCTGACCTTACTGATAGCTGCCAGCTGCGTTTTTAATAGGTTTGTTCTCGTTCAAAAACAGTCTGAAACCATCAGGAGCATGCGCAGTTTCACAGAACCAATGACGGCTAAATATCTAGACTGTCCGACGAGTTATACAAATGACTGTTCATTCAGCGAAAATCGCCAAAATCGCCCTGTAATGAAATATCGAATGGACGGCACGGCACGTGGCGTCATCTATTTCCTGTGTCAAATGAGCTATGGGTTGCGTGCAAGAACTCTCAGGTGACCGACACTGGAGGCAAAACATTGAAACACAACGTCACCAAACATCACTTTTCTTATTTGTTTACAAGTGATCGAAATAGTTTTCCACAATTATTTTGGCATATTATGAATTGTATTTTTCCGTTATTCATCAATTCGCTCATGCCATCACATTGTGCTGTTGTAAAATGCACAAAAACTGCAGCGGAAGATGAAGCAATCCGGATGGTACATTATGATTTTTTGAAATTTGGTTATTTCTCTGATTTCTCATCGGAATTCCTTCTGCAATAGGAGCTAATAGAAATATACCTGAAATTTCTAGAATAATGCAAGAAGATTGGATTCATGCAATCAATCGGGAGGACTGGTCCGACATGCTGACGAGCGTGTGTGTTGTAGACATTTTCAATCTATTAGCAGCATTAGCTTGTATTGCAGAAGTGGCAGAAGGCAGAAGGAATTTTAATAAGGAATGACAACATTTTATAATGATAACTATGTGAGATTACTATTTACCTGAAAAATCATATTCCCTAGTCTCTTGCTGCATTTTTTGTGCATTGTACAACAGCACAATGCGAAGGCATGCTTGAATTAATGAATAACGCAAGAAACACGATTCGTATGCCAAAGTATTGTGAAAAACTATTTCAACCTTTTGATTCCTCTGTAACCAAATAAAAAAGTGAGGTTGTGTTTCAATAATTCACAGAAGAATGAGGTTGTGTTTCAATATTTTGCCTCCAGGGTCGGTCTTCGTGCACGCGACCTATTCACAGAAGAATGAGGTTGTGTTTCAATATTTTGCCTCCAGGGTCGGTCTTCGTGCAAGCGACCTATTCCTCATAACCTGAATTATTTGTTGACAAATTTTCTCACTGTCAGTCTGTCACTCATTGTCATTCGAATTTGGAGAGGTTTGTTCAAGATATCAAGAAAAATGTGAAAAGGCCAACAAAATGCAGTGGTTAGGAGTGTTCATGCCAAATAACGCTTTTTTCATCATATGCAAAAATAATAATGCCATTCAAGTGAAAATCATCTTCGCCATTTCCTGAATAGGTAAGGACATGTTCAATAACATATATCTACTACTCATATATGAAGCATAGCTGTCCTCAAAGCGGGACCATCTTCTGTCTCTGTCTCTAAAGGTAACGAAATCGACCAATAGGCTTTAATGCCGACGTAGGGAAAAAATAATACGAAACTTGTCAAACCAATATGGCTGTTTCCATCCTTCACTTTCTGTCCTTATAGAGTCAAAAAGTACCTCTCATTTTGGTCCCATTTTTGTTGAGATATCGTATAGGCGATGGGCCATATATAGAAATCGGTTAGAGAAAAGGTTGTGTATACTTATTTTAATAATCAATATTAATGAGTAATAGGTCGCGTGCACGATGACCGACCCTGGAGGCAAAATATTGAAACACAACCTCATTCTTCTGTGAATTATTGAAACACAACCTCATTCTTCTGTGAATTATTGAAACACAACCTCACTTTTTTGTTTGGTTACAGAGGAATCAAAAGGTTGAAATAGTTTTTCACAATATTTTGGCATACCAGTCGTGTTTCTTGCGTTATTCATTAATTCAAGCATGCCTTCGCATTGTGCTGTTGTACGATGCACAAAAAATGCAGCAAGAGACTAAGGAATATAATTTTTCAGGTAAATAGTAATCTCACATAGTTAGCATTATGAAATGTTGTCATTCCTGATTAAAATTCCTTCTGCCTTCTGCCACTTCTGCAATACAAGCTAATGCTGCTAATAGATTGAAAATGTCTACAACACACACGATCGTCAGCATGTCAGACCAGTCCTACCGATTGATTGCATGAATCCAATCTTCTTGCATCATCCTAGAAATTTCAGGTATATTTCTATTAGCTGATCCTATTGCAGAAGGAATTCCGATGAGAAATCAGAGAAATAATCAAATTTCAAAAATGAAAACTATGTGAGTGACTATAGTAGGTACTTACTTTTGAATCATAATGTACCATCCGGATTTCTTCATCTTCCGCTGCAGTTTTTGTGCATTTTACAACAGCACAATGTGATGGCATTAGCGAACTGATGAATAGCGGAAAAATACGATTCATATGCCTAAATAATTGTGGAAAACTATTTCGATCACTTGTAAACAAATATGTTTTGCCTCCAGGGTCGGTCATCTGACAGTTCTTGCACGCGACCTATACTCGGGCTATAGTATACAATATTTATTAGTCAACTCAAACGTTTTCGGCTCTAGGCCATCATCAGGAGAGTATCTGAAAAGTGAATTTTCCTTTATAGGTATCATGTGTGTAAAATATTTGAGGTTAAAAGTTTGTTAATTTCGGAGAAGAAAATATGTGAATAAAATTGTAAACTCACTTGTCAAATAGTCTTACAGAAGATCTGCATTAAAAACAATGGAATTGTATCATTGTTTTTAATGCAGATCTTCTGTAAGACTATTTGACAAGTGAGTTTACAATTTTATTCACATATTTTCTTCTGCGAAATTAATAAACTTTTAACCTCAAATATTTTACACACATGATACCTATAAAGGAAAATTAACTTTTCAGATACTCTCCTGATGATGGCCTAGAGCCGAAAACGTTTGAGTTGACTAATAAATATTGTATACTGTAGCCCGAGTATTACTCATTAATATTGATTATATATAGAAATAGTACATAATTATATGTTCAATAATTTGTAATAATAATGTTATGAATCACATTTTTCATGATTGCAGATTCACCTCTGGTGGAGTATACACTGAACTGAGTGATTGGACAGTCATGTATGACTGTCAACAAGCATTTTATGGAATTGAAGATTGTGCAAGCAGCTTCTATTACTTCAAACACACACAATACACGTTTGTTAGGGAAGATATACGATATTTTTACGAACCTAGAGAAAAAAAAAAGAGCCATTTACCTGGACGTAAGGCTACTTTGGCTGTCGTTCAACTTGCTCGCAGTCGCTTTGTGGTGGTCGCGCTCCCACGCGAACGCCATCTGTTGGCCGTCGTTCAAGCCGCACACCGTAGGCGAGTCGGATGTGTGGCCGGACCTCGAGCCGGAGCTCTGCTGGCCGTGTTTGAGGGGTGTGGGGGGCACGGCCTTAAAATAAGCACCTGAAAACAAGGGTTAGGATTTTTGTTTTGTTTAAACCAGAATCGTTTTTTTATAATTTCAAAATTATTCTGTTAATTAATCCTTAATTAACAAATGAATCTTGCAATTAGTATAATTGACAGATTTATTTTGCAATTAGTCTCGTTGCAAGATTAATCGGTCAATTGAACTAGATGCGATGAAAAAATTGTAATCAATTGACAAATCGATCTTGCAATCAAACTAATTGCTGGATGAATTTGTCAATTAGACCTCAATTGCAAGATTTATTTTCCAACTAAGGCTTACATATCAAGATGAATCTCACAATTAGCTCAATCGACAAAATAATCTTCCAATTATAATTTTGAACGATTACAATTTTTTATCGCATCTAGCTTAATTAGTCGATTAATCTTTCAATCAGACTGATTGCAAAATAAATCGGTCATTTATACTAATTGATGAATTATCTGCCAATTAAGGATTAGTTGCCGGATAAATCTTGCAATTAGTTCACAAGACAACATAATCTTGCAATAATTGAGCTTAGTGCGATAAAAAATGTAATCTATCAAAATCATGACTGCAAGATTATTCTGAAAATCAAGCTAAATGCAATATTCATCTTGCAATTAGGCCTTAACTGACAAATTTATCTAGCAATTACTTTGTTTGCAAGATATATCTGTCGATAAAGCTAGATGCTTTATAAAAATTTGTCAATTGAGCTAATTGCAATATTTCACTTGCAATTAATCATTATATAATTGAAAGGTGCATCTTGCAATTAGTCGGATTGCATGATTCATCTGCCAATAAAGCCAGTTGATGAAATAAAAATTCAAAATTATCATTGCACCAGTATTCTGTCAATTGAGCTAATTGCGAGATTGATCTTGCAATTAGTTTGATTGCAACATTAATCCGTCGTGACAGAATAATCTTGCAATTAGATTAATTGCGAGAAGATTCTGTCAATTAAGCCCTAAATTCCAGCTAAATCTGCTAATTGGACTCTAATTGTAAGATAAATCTTGCTATTTATTGGACTAATTGCCAATCGAATCTGTCAATTAGGCCCTTAATGCAAGACGAATATTGCAATTAAACTAATTGTCAAATAAATATGCGGATTAGGCCCTAATTGCAAAGCGAATCTAGCAAATAACCATTTGACAGAATAATTTTTCAAGTAGACTAATTGCCAGAAGAATTTGTCAATTAGGCCCTAATTGCAAGATACATCTGCTAATCTGGCATTAATTAAGAGATACATCTGCCAATTAGGCTCTGATTGCAAGATACCTCTTGCAATAACAAATAACCGAATGAATCTGTCGATTGGGATCAAATTATTGCAAGGCGAATCTTTCAATTAGCTAATTGACATAATAATCATGCAATTATAATTTTTCTAAACGATCCGCCTCGCAAATGCAAAATTCGCTTGTCAAACAAAGTGTCACTTTTGATCCTAATAAAACAATCTACTATTATTCTTGATGACCTCTAGTACATCCTTTTCAGTTCCTAGGAGCTAAATTTCAACTTTAGCTACTAGGGACTAAAAATGTTACCTAGCAACATACCTATTTTTGTGTCAGTAATAGAAACGTCAATTCAAGAGCTAATTTTGGTATCAAAATGGACGACTTTTGTGTGTCGGTTGCAGAAAAAAGTACTTGAAAACGGAAAACTCCAACTCACCGTTGGTCGACCCGCTCTGCTTCCACACCATCAGCCGGTGGGCGATCTCGCTGAAATCTGGCCGCCTGTTTGCCTGTTCCGCCCAACATTCCACCATGAGGGCGTAACAGTAGCTGGGGCAGGCGTCCGGGCAGGGCAACAGCTTCCTCGACCTTATCATGCTTATCACCTCTTTGTTGTCGTAACCGTAATACGGCTGCAATATGGCAGTTAGGTCATCGAAAGTTTGATAAAGAAATGAAAATAAACAATCGAATTACTATACATTCACATTCCCTCATTAAAATCAAATCTGAATTTGGCAAGAGTGAGGTTTGATCTCAAGGTATTTCCAGTCTTGGAAAAAGTTTTCACTCCTTGAAACAATTTGCAAAATAGTTATTTGTTTTACTAGGCAGAAAAGTAGTATTTTTTGAATTGACTAACACAGTAGCTTCGTCGAAGCAAAACATGTTGTGTGTTTAAATATTGTGTGGAAATCTATTGTGTGGTTCTTGGTCACGGATATTCTACTCTTTACATAAAATATATTTTCATTATTCCTTCCAAATCCAATGGGCGTGTACACCTTAGTAGAACTTTTAACTCAAACCATGTTTATAATGATCCTTTTATACATAAATAATGATTGACGACATAATTCGATCGAAAAATTAACTGGAATGTTTTATTTTTGGACATAAATAATAGTTCCTGCTGAAAACGGACCCTCTTATGACGTAGAAACCTCATCTCGCCATAGTTAAAAAAAAATACAAAACGCCCGACGGAGACTGAGGCAACTGATATATCAATTCTTTCAACTGTGATCTCGCGCTAATTCAGTCTGTCAGAAATGATGTATCATTCTGACATAGTTGGAATAGTTTTGTTTCAGTATTAGGGTTTTGACGTCACGTCATCGCCTCGTTTTCAGAGGTCCGAAAAATCGGGGATTTCAATAATTTTTTATGAAACGTAGGTGAGCTACACACACTGGCACAATTAGGGGAACGGGCAAAATTTACACTAAGTTTGACATCAATTTTCTTTCGAACCGATCGCTCGATTCAAATTTTTTTCTTCACGAAATGTAGCTTCATTCTTCACGAATACATCTGAGAAATAATTACCTTCAAACGATGAGTCTTTCCATCATATACAAGGGTGTAAAGAAAGTACGGATTTTTCGGTATTTTTTTAGACATCCTGTGGACAGAACCACTGATAATTGAAACGATTTCTCAACACCAAATTTTAGCCCAATCTATTCCGAATATTTTCGTTTTTTATTCATCTTGATATCTCAATTATTCAAGAAAATACAGAGTTTCAAAGGAAAGGTGGATATTGGTATCAATTTTACACCTCAAAACTCAAATTGGATCTGAAAATGTGTCGTTTCTTGACTAACCTAACCTAACCATGACTAAACCTCTGCCATAGGAGACAGAAGCAGTAAAATCGAATTGTTCATTTTGTTCACTTCGGCGATATAGTCTTTCCCTGCCATCTATTGAATTGGTGCAGATGCGGCTCTCATATGTTGAAAGAACATTGGCCCACTGGTCATTTTCAATTAATGCTACAGCCCTCGCCACATCAGTAGGAGTCAAATCTCTCATGTTGAATTTTCATTAATCAAATTTATGAATTGTGAATCGCTTGACTTTGACAATAATTAATGACATTAACAAAATAGCCAACGTTGATAAACAAAAATAGCATTTCACCAAAAGAACATTGGAGCAACTTTTATCACCCCTGCATATTCATGAGAGTATTCGTATAATGTGTCTTTAAACAGTAAACCGATAGGTAGAACTGTGAACAGTTCTCATCTCGAAGTAAAAATCCTCAAAGAAACAAGTTGAATAACGACACGTTCTCCCCAGTTCGAGTTTCGAGGTGGTAAAATTAATACCAATATCCACCTCTTCTTTGAAACTCTATATTTTCTTGGATAATTGAGATATCAAGATGAATAAAGAACGAAAATATTCGGGATAGATTTGGCTATAATTTGGTGTTGGAAAATCGTTTCAATTATCAGTGGTTCACTCCACAGGATGTCCGAAAAATCCATATATATGATATAAAGACGAATCGTTTGGAGGTGGTTATTTCTCAGATGTATTCGTGAAGAATGAAGCTACAATTCGTGAAAAACAAATTTGAATCGAGTGATCGGTTCGAGAGAAAATTGATGTCAAACTTAGTGTAAATTTTACCCGTTCCCCTAATTGTGCCAGTGTGTGTAGTTTGGGTGAGTTCTATCGAATTATGAAATAAAATTTTTTTGTGATATAAGCCTATTGGAACAGCTCCACCAAAGGACATACCGCGTCCTTTTGAAGTTCAAACAGTCAGACAGAATTCACTTACCTGTAATCCATAACTGTAAATTTCCCACAAAACAACCCCGTAAGACCACACATCACTTTCCGTGGTGAATTTTCCATACAAAATGGACTCCGGAGGCATCCATCTAACAGGTAACAGAGACTTTGACTGCACCCTGAATACAAACGCGCAGATTAGTGAAAACAACCGAGAAAAATGTCGAAAATTCTTCACCTGTAATAGTCGCAACTGTACATGTCCCTGCTGAGACCGAAATCGCTTATTTTAACAACTAAATCTTTGGATACGAGACAGTTCCTCGCTGCCAAGTCTCTGTGCACATAGTGATTGCCAGAAAGGTATTCCATACCTGTGGAACCATTAAAAATACAGAACACTCATTCCTAGAAGAAACACAAAAAACACAATGACGTTCAAGATAAAAAATAAAGACACATTGCATTTTTTATTCCTACTTATTTTCGTTCGAACACAAATAAAAACTGCTAGCGATACTATTGGTTGTCGAGAAAGATGGATGATTTGCTATTCAGTGACATAAACAACGTTGCCAACTCAGTTGATTCATCACTCTCAACCGAAACGATGTCGGCACATAAATTTCACTGGCTCGCAACCTTGCTCGATACTCGCTCAGAGTTCGAATTTTTACAACCGTGCTTGGGCGAACGAATCTTCGGGTGGATTAGGAATAAATCTTATCTCATTGAAGTTGATCTTCATTTATAGATTCTTCAGATACAAGTGATTAAGGAAAATCAATCAAACTACTTCCGCAATGAAGCAGTGCAGCTCCTAAAAAGATTACACTAATGATCAAGAAATATCTTCTATTTTGCGTCATTATGACACCCAAATGCGTATAGAAACAGTTGCTATTATGAAACGCTGAATTCCTTTTTTCAAAGTTGGTGATGGTAACTAACTTCAAACTTTCAGACACGATTGACACGAAGTTTGGTGCGATCAGGGAATGAACATTCTAATGCTTTTTTCATTGTTACCAACTACTTACTCCATATATTTCTAATATTTGAGGTTTTTATTGACAAATTTTTTTCGAATAAACGAGTACAAATGAATAAAAATTGAAAAAATAGTATAAACGTTTTATAAGACATAGTGTTAAACTTGTATATACTGTTTTTCGTTTACCTTTCGAAAATATCTATTTTGGACCATACAAAATAGGAGCGGGAAATACTTGTTTTCATTGCAGTAATAATTTGGTTTCATCGAAAGTAAAGGGGGGGGATCAAATAAAATGGTAAAAGTAGAAGGAAAACTACATTTCAAATAATACAAGTTTCACTTACCTTGAGCAATCTGTATGGCAATATCTAGGAATTGATTATGAGTCAGACATTTTCCTTCTTCTGGAGAATTTCCAATCAGAAATTCATGTAGATCGCCCTACGAAAAAAAAAACAATCTTCTGAAACGGTTTCCATGAATTCCGTGAGAAAATGATAATAATCTGAATGTTTGCCTTGTGAGTAGGGATGTGGCCAGATAGACCACCCCCCACTCCTTTACGCATATAAATCTCACAAGAAACGCCCCCAGAAAAAAAAAAGAGTGGGGGTGGTCAATCCTGTACGATCCCTACTACTCTCCCCGTGATATTTGTGTTATTTACCCCGAGAAAAAATCATGCATCATCACAGGAATTTACCTCGGACATATATTCAAACAACATACAGATGGGTTCTTGCTTCATGACTATACCCAATAGGCATATAATGTTGGGATGCTTCAATTCGGAAATCAGTTCAATTTCCCTTTGAAAATCCGCTTGAGTTTTCGGACTGGCATTTTCTTTCAACGACTTTACGGCGACGAACATTTTCCCCATTTTCATCTTGAGTTCGCCTTTATAAACTTTACCTGAAAATGATAAGGATTAAAAATAACAGGATCATTAACTATACTCTCAAATAAAACACAGTCATTCAAATTCGAATATAATTTTGTGGCGGTGCGACTTCTTGTTTTGATGATTTCTCTGGACAATTTCAACATTTTGAGGATCTCGGATATGTTTATAACCATTCAAAATGAAAGTGTCCAGCGGAGTTTATCATGAGTTTTAATACCATTACAAATTGAATATTCATAACTTTTTTATTTATTTATTTATTTAGCAAAAGCTAATATACAAGTCAATGTAATATAAAAACAGTCATGAGATCTAAACGAACAAGGAACATCTAGACACTTAATTCACAAACTTAAGATCAACACAAAAGGTACAATAAAATTACAGGACATTATAAATGAACGATTTAAAATCTTCAAAAGTTTGAGTTGGTTAGTTTCAATAAATGCATTTTCATCTTGGTCTTGAATGTATTGATGGAGAATGCATTATTCACGTCAGATGGCAAGTCATTATATTGTTTCAATCCTTTGAAAAAAACCGAATTTTCTGCCAATCTTTTACTCCTCAGTAAAATAAAAGTGTTTTTTTGTCTGGTATTATGATGATGCATTTCTTTATTATAAGTCAGCTTATTTATCAAATAATTTGGTGCTTCACCTCTTCATATTTCAAAAACAAATACCAATACCAAAAATTAAAAATAATCCTCAATAGGCAGCCAATTCAAACTTTTTAACATATCCCTTATGGGTGTGTATTTATTACATGCTGATATAATACGCATTGCTCTGTTTTGCAATTTTTGTATTCTATTCAAATCATTCTGATTCAGAAGATATAGAGAGGTAGTGTGAACATCTAGACAAATAAAATATTCCATGATTCATTTTTGATATTAAAAAGTTCGCATGTTCTCGGAATGATAGTTTACGATCTACTATGACTCCTTAAAAAACACAAATTTAGTTATTGAAACATTGATTTTCAGTAAATTCTGGCATGTATAGTTGGAAATCTCATCCAAAGCAGATTGTATTACAGATATTAATTTATGTAGATCACGTGAAAATGCATATATTAGTGTATCGTCCGCAAAAAGATGAATATTGATGTTGATGCCCAGATTCATAATATCGTTGATGTACAACACGAAAAGTAATGGCCCTAATATACTGCCTTGGGGTACACCAAAATCATTTACCGCTTCTGCAGATGAAAGGCCATTAAAATTAACTTTTTGTTTCCTATTTTGCAAGTAACTATCGAACCGCATGAGAACACTCCCAGTCAACCCAATTTTCTTCAGTTTTTCAATTAACATTCTCCTATCAATAGTTCCAAAAGCTATTTTATCACCTCGGTGCCAAAATCTATCAATTGCTTACCGAAAGCACCTTCTCCTAGTTCGTCTATCAACCTGACATCTTTGAAAGTGTACTGCGGCACCAATTGTATCCCATTTTTGTTGGACCCGTGATGGGACTTCTGGGGTGGCAAATGCGGAGGCAACAGGGTGTTCATCTCCATTTGTGGCACGCTCGGGCCAGGGTTGCCGTAAATATTTTTGTTCGCCTGGGGCAGGTCCTTCTAAATTATTATTTTAACCTTACATTTTCGTCAAGTAGGGTGTTTGGTAAGTCACTTCTGGGGATTTTGATGATGTACTTTTCAGGTCAAAATAAGAGCCACATTGTAGGTAGGTAATTTTCATTTCTGACTAGATGGAAACAAATGAGCGTTTTGATTGATATTTATCTGCCTAAATTTCGGAATTTTCTTCATACTTTTGAATTCAATGTGCAAAAATGATCTTAGTGAATAAAACTTGATCAGTGGTAAATCAAATAAAAGTGCCACAAGTAGCAAACAATGATCAGCAGTACCTGATAAAATCAAAAAGTCATTATTGAAGGTATTTTACTGGGGATTATAATGAAAAACTCGTTGAGTTAAGAAAAGTGAAAAAGGAAAAAATTAATAACTTACGTTTTGTAGATTTCTTGTTGATTTGTTTTTTCGTCTGCAGTAGCAGTAAGTCACGATGAAAATGGCAACGACAACTATCATTAAAATGATTATACCAACGTATGTTCCAAAAACATACACTGAAACGAAAATAAAATCAGATTAAATGGAAAGTTGACCTATAATATCATCTTACCGCATTTATTTATTCCACAAATTTCTCTCACACTCTGTTCCACATAACAGAAAGGTTCTGATTCCAATTCTCCAGGATTCCTAGAAGAATAGGATAATTTCAAGAATCAATGAGAATATAGGAAAATTATCATCACTATAGTGCAAAATCAATTTTTTTTCTATACCGGCAATAGTTGTGACCAGCCAATTCTGGATATTCTGATGGTCGTACGTTAAACTGATGTGACCATCTCAAACACGGTCTACCAAACAATGAGGTAGATTGATCACCCCTGTATAATTTTCCAGTGTCCCAGTAGCACTTCTCTTCTAAAAGAAAGTACAACAAAAATTGTAAGCGTCATAAGATTATCGTCAATTATTAGTAAAACTCTCGAATTTGTTTATAGATTTTTATAATTACCTCTATTCACGCTCAAGTCACCTACTCCCAATGTCAAACATTGTTTAGAACTCGGTTCTGTTTCCAAAGGCAAATTTTCGCAAACTTCCAACTCCATGATTTGACCTGAAGATAGAAAAACACACTAATTTTCAGATTTTCGCGGGTTCAACTGTCAGAATTGACAACCTCTATTTTTTTCTTCTCTTCCTGTACATCAGCAACAAGTTGTCAAAGCTGACACTGATTATCATTAGAATAATTCATAAAGTTGACATCAAATGGTAGAAACTTTTAATAATATTTTTTTTAATTCGCCTTGGGCGTTGAGCTTTGTTTCCGAAAAGTTGAAAAATTGCCTACTCGTTCGGAGTCACGTGACTTTCGCTACGTGTCAAAAGTTACATTTTTTCGAATAAATCGATGAAAATTGACTTATTTGGTGTAATTTTGAAAGAGTTTATCAAGAAAATTTGTTTATATTCCAATTTCACACGTGTCTCGAATTTGAACGTTCAATTGCAACTTTCAGTTCTTGATATTTTTCGATTTCTTCTAATTGTACCTTGTAGTTTGATGATAATTTGGTAGATGACTTTGGCATCATTCTAGTTCTGAAAGAATCAATTTGAATAAATTTCGCTCCAGAATGATAAGACGCTGGTTCAGATCCGGCTCGAAGGACCAAAATTATGTTTGATATGATGAATTGTATGAAGTATGATTATTGAATATGCTTCAATTATTTGATTGTAAGAAGTATGATAAGTTGAATATATTAAATGAGTCGATGAATTTCTCGTTCTTAAATTGATTCATTTATTTTTTCAATGTTTTTTATATTTGTTGGAGACATATTACAAAATATTCCATGCGGTAACATTTGTTAAAATATACAATGCATTAACACATACTTTCGAATTGCCGCCTGAGCGCTCTAGACATTTCCTGGGGCAGTGACGGTATTCTGATGCCCCTTTTTTTATCGTAAACCTACGTGGAAAGTTGATATCGATCGGTTGAGGATCGCGATATGGAACCTCGAACGGAAGGCACGATGCACACGGACGATCGCCTGACACCGCGTAAAACCAATGAAAAACCACTAACCTATAACCAGATGTCTTTTGGCGATGCTGTACTCCTTGGTGCACAGTTCGTTCTCCAAAAGGATACACTCGTCCCGGCATATCCTGCGCAAGGAGTCCGTCAATTCCGTCCGGATGTCCTTGAACATGTGCCTGGTGGCGTGTTGGACGGCGGCGAATTGTTGCCGGTGCTCGATCTGGTAGGCGTTGATGTTCTTGGGATCGAGGCATACAGGGAAGGCCGAAAAACATACGCTCGGCTGAGCGAATTTATTGCAACTAGCCGATATGTCGCTATTACAAAAAAAAAGTGTAAATTGCAGCATATAATAGTAATGATACACAGGCTAGTGAATGTCCCTCTTTCTTTCAATAAAGGACTCAATATCATGAAACAGATTGCAGTCAACAACGGATACAACGTTAATTTGATAGACAGTATTCTTTCTAAAAAACTTCATAATAAAGCTATTCAAGAAGTTTATCCTACCACCAAGAATAATAATCAAAATTATAGTACTTTAACCTATTTCGGATCATCAACTGAAAAATTAGCTTCATTTCTACATAAACAGGACCTAAAAGTAGCATATAGAACAAATAACACGTTGGGAAGGTTTATCAAAAATAACAAAGACAAAACTTCTAAATTCGAAAAATCAGGGGTATACAAACTCAACTGTGGATCTTGTCCTAAGGTATATATCGGTCAGACAGATCGTACGTTTAATCAGCGCATTTATGAACATAAGATGAATTTTTATTTGAAAATTGCATCCGATTCTATTCAGAATTGGTATGTAAGGATTTTTGAAGTCGGAGATTATGATGCTTTCAACAAAATTGGAAAATTCAAGATGGCAGACCCAATATGACGGACGAAAATTGTAATTATGATCTGATTCGGTTCAAAATTGGTATCTGGGGGTTTTCGGGTTCGGAGATTTATGATTCTTTCGTCAAATTTGGAAAATTCAAGATGGCATACGAGTTTATTAATTATGATCCGATTCTATTTGACACTGGTATCTGAGGATTTTCGGAGAATATGATTCCCCCGTTATAATTAGAAAATCCAAGATGGTGGATTCAATATGTCGAACGAGCTTTGTAATAGTGTTTCGAAAAACTAATGAAACATGCTTCCATAGATAGCCAGCTAGTCATATATAAATGTCACTTGTTCTTATTCTCTAACAAACCGGATTGTGACATAGATAGCCAGCTAGTCATATATAAATGTCACTTGTTCTTATTCTCTAACAAACCGGATTGTGACATAGATAGTAGAAGGATGTCAACAGATTTTGAGGTTCATCAAAATGGCAAATAGGTATATCAACATTATTTAGAGTAACACTAACAAGATGATCCACCTCCATGTGAAATGTTGAAGCCAAATTTCGCCTTATTTCTTGGCTGATTCTTAGCACTAGCGAAAAGAAGCCGGATATGAAGGAGGAGCCGTGTAGCTATCGTTCTCTGATACCTTGCCATCCTGCAGTGTTGCAGTGTGATTGGTCAGCTCAAGGACAATAGGCGTGTTGGGACTAATACGTCATTCCAGTCACACCAACGAATTGACACCATTTCAAATGGGGAAGTTTCCTTCCAATGAATTTTCATAAAATAAATTCGGAACTCTCCAGTTTTATGTCCACGCTGTACAGAATGGCGACCGATAAAGTCCAAGTCGTTTTCATTTTCAAATTAAAGCAATTTCTAATTTTCGGGGCCGCAAACTGTGACGTACATTCTGAATCTAGTCTGAAAATAGCTGATGATGAAGAATATAGCTAGCGAATAGCTAACAAATGAAGAAGAAGTAGAACTGGTAAACAAAAACATAAATAACCACAATTGCACTCGGAGCATGAATGCAGAGGGTAGTTGGCTTCATTCTGACAGGTTATGGTTTTGTTATTTATGCATTGAAATATCTTGAATAGAGCTCGATCCTAAACGAAAATATCATTGAATCAATCAATCACTATCGGCTACATCCAATGATACTATCCTTCCTAATTTACTGTCATCGGTCAGAACAGAATGAAGCCGACACCCATGGCGCCTTCCGCTTGTTGTGCCTGTCAGTATTTTAAGTGGTGTGGACGGACTCGAAGTATTAGGCGCTATTGCAAGATATAATCTGCAACTTTCCTAGAAAATAGATCCGTTTTATTAAGGAACGAAATCATTAGCAAAAAAATGACTGACAAGTTATGAATAACATATTGTAATATAACGATAGTGAAAAATTATAGATACTATCGCAAAATATCATAATTTATCTTTATTAGTGATCAACTTCATTCAGCCAATGAGAGATTTATGGGAAATTATTCATAATACTTGACAAAGTAGTATTGAAGAACCTTTTGTATCCCATTGACTGTTATGATATAGTTATTATGCATTCAAAGAATAATTTCCGGAAATCTAGACATATTGATGATGTCGGCAACGTCTTACTGGCACAGGAAATCGTATAGTAACTCTGTGTGAATGTGTATTTTCAGAAAGTACGTCATAGGAATGGTGGAGGAGCCAACTTCCTCTTTTATTTATATTTTTCTGAAGTGAAATTTGATCTGATTTGACGAAAAAAAAGAAATAAATCGTACTTATATATTGATTTTTTACAAACTTCACTGTGGAATAAGAACCTCAATATACGAAACTTCCCCATTTCACAGAAAAGGTGTGTTTTGAAATGAACATATTTAATAGTTATTTATGTATTAAGGGAATTATGAGGGCCTTAATTACCGATGGCAAAGTTTGCGTCCCGAGGGCCTCTGGCCCGAGGGACAGCAATTGCCTGAGGTTATTGAGGCTCAGTAATTCCCGTGATACATAGATAATTTTATTTCTGACTGATTTCATTCATTAGATACCTTCCCGATTGGAAGTTAGACATGTTTTTCCGTATAGTTTCAATGTCATCAGAACGTCAGATGATGATCTTGACTACCGCGAATAGGAGATTCTTTATTGCTACGTTACTGCGTGGTTGTTGCTATGCATTTCTTATTCAATTTTAGTTAGAGGGAATTATAGCATCTATAACATCCCAAGGGAGTTATGACCCTCATAATAGATATCGTAACTATGACGATATAAGCTTATAATGTCACTGTCAGAAATAAATTTATTTATTTTATCGTCCTAGTATGAATGAAAAATTAAAATTTTTTGGTACAGAGCTCACGATGATGTCATTCGAAAAAATCAGTGGTCTCCCCCATTATCCTACTAACACTCACTTGGACTGAGAAATGACCAAAAAGGAAGCCTCCAATTTATCTTCAATGCCCTTTTGTGTGTGCGGGGGTTGAACGAACACGTACTGATCGGACAGATACTTCCTGCACTTGTGCCCCCTGTACAATTGGCAAAACGGCTCCGAACTGTTATAGATTATCGGCACGTTGTCGGTCAGTTTACCGCTGGAATCCAAATCGAACTGGATGGGAGCCGAAAAAGTTTTGGATTTGGCATCCATAGTCGATGGGTAATCGTTTTCGCTGGACTTTGCAATGCCGTTAGGCGTAAAAGTTGACATCTCAAGGTGACTAGAAAAAAAACATAATTATAAATAAATACGAAAAGCTCAAATTCATTTCCACACAATGTTCATAAAATGAGCAACAATGGTAGATTTCGGGAGAAAAACAACTACTTTCCTGGCTAATACCACGCAGGAAATTGAATTACATCCTCCCGAAATATATGCATCGACTCGTATAGGTCGCGTGCACGATGACCGACCTTGGAGGTAAAATTTATATTTTTTTTATCGCTTGAAGAACACGAAAGGAAATCCCTATAATGTTCAAAGAACATCGTGCGTTCCTAGGGAGGATAGGGACAGGAGGTAGGTATTGGATTTTTTTTAAACTTCTGGAGATTGTATGTTGTTGGGAATACTTCCTCATGCAATGAAATATTCTTCAGATATGTATGATAATATTACCTGCCCGAATCTGAATGATCTGACTTGAAAGGATGCATATCGATGGGGGCTGAAACATAAAAAACAGGGTAATGAATTTACGATACAGGGTTTAAAAAATAATATTAATAGGTATGTAAAAGACGATTTTGCCGAATGCGATGAAAGCTTCATGAGGTATATTTTGGATCTCATCTCATATAGCAATTCCAGTGGTATGTCCACGGGACAAGCGGGTCAGTTTTGTGCACGAAAAATAAAACAGTACATTTTTTTCAACTTTTTTGTTTTTTGTTGTCTCTGTTTAAACAAAAAGAGTTATATTTTCAAATGGTTTACTTCTCAGTTCATCTAATGAAAAAATAAATTTACCCTGTTTCTTGAAAACGAAGCGTTTTAGAACATGAGTATATGACAACTACTCTCATTTTTATGGAAAGAATCTTTCTTGGGCTTTTTTTTCTCTTTGATTGTAAGGTATATTTTCGATAAATAAAATAAATACAGGGTGTATTTAAATAACACCGATTCAAGGGGTGATTCCTTCTGATATTTTAGAAAATAAAGTTTATATAAACATGTTTCCTAACTTGCCTCGTTTTCGATATACAGGGTATTAATATTTCCATGAAAAATCGTTCTTTTATTCATTACTCAATTGTCTTTCCACCGATTTCAATAAAAAGTTGTGTTTTTGTTAATAGTAATATGGAGCTTTTTCTGGGGCAATTAGATTCTAAATAATATTTCCAGTGGCGTTACATTGGGTGAATTTATCGATATGTATGGTGAATGTGATGGTATACCACCGGTTTTTCTGAGTTTCATATTTTTATTAGATTGAACTATTGAAGTAACAACTTTTTTATCCTCTGTGTGATTTTTGTATCTAGCTTAGTTTTTGAGAAAACAATAAAAAATCGATTTGACTCCAAATTTCAATGTAGGTGTTTTCAAGACTTCCATTGAGATCACTCAAAAACCCCAATTAGAATCATTTTGAAGTTTTGAGGCTTTCCCAGTCTCCAACCATACTGAATTTGGGCACCATGAAAGCTTAAACGAGGGGGTTATAAATACTTATTGATACTTCCAACGTCAACATCCTGTATCTCAAAAATGGAGCAAGTTAGGAGTTACCTCTTGAATTTTTTCGGTTTTTTTTCAGATACACCCTGTATAATAGAGTTGCCATATTTGAATGAAAATTCATTCAAGCCCATATACAAATAGTTTTTCACACATTCATTCGCTTGTTGATTGTGTTTGTTATTTAAATTATTTTTTACCGTATTTGTGTGCTTCTTGATTGACTTCTAGAAAACTCTCCGATTTTATTTTTTCTAATCCATTGCTAGCACTACATTCCACGAACCCTCTGTCGAAATATTCCAATTTTGATATTCGCAAGGTTGAAGTGAATACGTTATCTTTCCCCTGAAAAACAAAGTGTTGATATTACACCACATTAAAAAATAGTTATTTATTATACAAGGGAAAAAAGTAGTAGATTTTAGCTCCCGACGCATAGCGGAGGGAGACAAAAAACCGTGAGCTAAAATCTAATATTTTTCCCGTGTATAATACACTATTTTTTTCTGTGACAGAAGGAAGGACGACTCAATATTGAGAAGATATCACATTATTTCGAAATCTGAAAATTATGGACATAAAATTTCAAGTTTTTAACAGTAGGGACACCTGCGTTTTATAGGCATCTTTATCATTCTTTTGAAGTAATCAAATATCTGATGTCACTTCTGTCAGTTCAATTCTGTGATTTGATTTCAAAAAATTGCGAATTCAGTAGTTGTTTAGTAATATACGAAACCGCGAAGTCGAATGGAAGATAAAAGGACTTGCAGTTCTTTCTTGGAGACGGTATTATTGACTCATTTTTCGGAACTATAGCACAAACAAAAGCCATTAACAGAGTATATATGTGATATATATCCGGGAAAGAAGTACTCACTTTTTTCCCACGGGAAAAAAGTAATTTATGAAAAGTGACATTTTATAACCTGCCAACAGAGATGAAATGCCAAACTTTTTTCCCGTCACAGAAAAAACACTTTTTTTCACCAACCTTATTTCTTATTTTGAATCTATCATCAGAGATTGGTGTATTGTTATGCCTCCACTTGAAAGAGACTTTGCTATTGGTATTGTTGGTGTCCAAATTTTTCACTTCACACACCATTTTAACCAGTTTTCCTGGATCTCTAGTTAGGTTGTACAATTCACTGATGAAAACCAAAGATCCTAAAAATAAATGAATATTACAAAAAAAATCTTCTTGCCAACCTCTTATTGGGAATACAGGTATATCTATTTCAAATTTCAAAAGAAAAATAATTTAAAGGCCATTTTATAAAACAAATTTGATTTTCTATTTATTTAATGGACATGCATTCAAATTGCCTTAAATAGATATTTACGTAATCAGTTAGGAAACGCGTTGTTTTGTGTAACAATGGGATTTTGCGGGACGAGCGAAGCATGAACAAAAATAATGACCAGTTTTACATGAGTTCTGCCGACTCTTCACACAAAAACTGGTGTTGAAATGAACATTACATCACCAGTTATGTAAAATTTTACTTTACGCAACTGGTTACGTAAAGTAAGACGTTTCAAAACTTCCGTCAGTTTTGAAAAGTGTCAAATTATATGTCGAAATTAGAAAAATTATGTTATTGACAACATCGAAATGGAAAATTAAAAGAAATCATAAAAATAGCTACCATTGGAAGTGGAATTTATGTTGGGAAAATCATCATCGACTTCTTCATCCTCGTAGTCTTCTTCATAATCATTTGACACTGTCGAAAGAACTGAAACAAAAATAAAAAAACTAACATACAAGAAGTTCCACGTTATTGTCTTCAACTTGAATCAAACGATAAAAACAATTACTGACGAAATATTACCTACGTACTAAGAAAAAAACTAATGAAATCGGTGATTTTTTGAGATCTACATGGAAAATTTCTAAAATGTCATCAAGACTATCATTTCCTTGTGATATGAAATTGTTGGTTAGCATATGTTGAATTTGTCATTGGTCATTTGGTGTTCTTGAATGCAGTTGTTGAACGTTCTACCTGTCTGACCAACATATACCTTAGTACAATACCCACAGTACATTTTGTATACTCCTAATTTCTCGAATTTAGAAGTTTTTTCTTGATTTATTTTAGATAAATCTTTCCAATGCGTTATTTGTTTTATAAGCGACTTTCATGTCCTGTTTTTCTACAAAGGAAGCTGATTTTTTTGTGTTCGATGGTAGTACTGTCTTCAATTTCAGCTATTGGTTAATATCAAACGATGTTGACCAAATGTCAATTCACTTCATTCTATTTCAACCATAGCTAACTTGGACCAAATATTAATATTTAATTTTGCTGATATTTCGTCAAGCCCTCGATAGAATATATGAAAAGTATATATCTTCGAAATCAGGAAAGATAGTTCTTTCGAAATATGCGATAATATACAGGGGGTTCCATTTGAAAAAAAAAATTGTTTTCACGAACCCTGTATATGAAATGATAAAATCAAGCAGAGAACACATTTTCTAGAAGGAAATGACATCTCATTCAAGTACCTTTTTCCAAATTTCAAATATCTTTTTTCGTTTTCGAGATATCAGCTGTTGAAGTCGAGAAATCCATAGTCAATCACCCTGTACAGCGTTCCTGCAGACAAGAATATAAGAGGAAGACATATACAGGGTATGTCACGAGGAGCTCACACTATACAGGGTGTTTCTCAAGTACGTGTAGAAAATTCAGGAGCATCTTGCTGACGTCAACATAAAGAGAAAAGTTCGTATAAATATATGTCCGAAAGTTATTCGTTTCTGAGATACAGAGTGTCAAAGTTGAATGCTCATTTTTGTTTTTTGTCAATAAATTTCATAATGATGGTGGTATTCGAATGAAGTTTGGTATCTCGGGGTATTTTTCGATGACAATATCAAATTTTTTGTTAGTTTGTCTCTTTCGTGGAGGAGTCTTTTGAAAAGTCATAACTCTTTTGTGCGTACCTGTATCACGTTTTCTAGTAGAAAAATAGATTTCTAGAACACTTTTGTGTGAAAAATATATTCCTGGTGAAGGTCGCTGCAAGCAACTGTTTTCGAGTTATTGGGATTTGAAATAATCAATGCAAGTAATTTGGAATGACAAGAAGTTGGAATTTATAATTGATTTATAAAGTAAAGAATAGTTATTTGTTTAACTAGGCAGCAAAGTAGTAGATTGACTGCCGTGGCTGAATTCATAGCCGAGCGTAGCGAGGCTAGGAATCCAGCAAAGGCAGTCAATCTACTGTGCTGCCGAGTTGAACATATGATTTTTTCTCCGATTGTTCATAATGATATGGGAGAATATTGTATCTGCGAATTAATACAATTCCCACAATCTCTTTATTCTTCCTGTATAGTGTTCAATTAAAATAAAATATTATAGAAATCGCAGTTGTTGGTTTGACAAGTCATGAAATTTCTGACAGTTGTGCGAAACAATATTGGTATATTCAAATTATTATACAGGGTGTTTCGAAATTCGACCGACAACGTTTGACAGGTGATAGCCCTCGTGATTTCATAATCATTGAGATAGGAACATTCGGTCTTCAAGTGTTCAGTTCTCGAGATACAGGGCGTTGAAGTTGAGAAATGAAAATAGTTGTTTCGCAATATCTCAAGAATAATTGAATATAATGCATTCAACTTCGGTATATGGTTTCATCTTTGAATGGGCCATTTTTTGACCTGGAAGCCATTCCGGACATTTTGTCCAGTGGTGCCCTACAGGGGGTTGTGGCATTTTTTCCTTCCATATTTTCTACGCCACTGATTGAATTTCGATTATTTCCAATTCCTCGAATTCATTGTTCAATTTTGTTCAGAAAATGCATCACCTTCAACTGAGCTGAAATAAACAGTTTTCGAGATATTCGACCCAAAATAGAAGATTGCATAGTAATATTTCATCATTTTCAGTAGTAGAAAATTGCAAAAATATTTTTCTGGTGTTGAGTAGATTAGATACTATTCAGATCTCATGCTATAGCTGAACAGAAATAGTTATTCCACGCATAAAGAGAGAACAAAAATGTTCGTAATTTTCTAATACTGAGGAAGATGAAAAATTACTATGCAAACTTCTATTTTGGGTCAAATATCTCGATAACTGTTCATTTTAGCTTAGTTGAAGGTGATGCACTTTTTCAACATAATTGAACAATCAATTCGAGAAATTAGAAATAATTGAAATTTCATCAGTGGCGTAGAAAATATGTGCGGGAAAGTTATCACAACCCTCTGTAGCGCACCTCTGGATAAAATTCTCGGAATGTCTTTCTGGTCAAAAAATTAACCATTGGAAGATCAAACCATATACCGAATTTGAATGCATTTAATTCAATTTTTCATGAGATATCGAGAAAAAACTATTTTAATTTCTCAACTTCAACGCCCTATATCTCGAGAACTGAACACTTAAAGACCGTATGTCCGCATATCTCAGTGATTATGAAATCACGAGGGCTATCACCTGTCAAGCGTTGTCGGTCGAATTTCGAAACACCCTGTATAATGGACAGTGATAGCGACCTGGAAGTATACTTACACCTCCATTAATAAGGGAGGTGGCAAAAAATATAGAGTTGAATTTGTTGCCGGAGAAGCATCGGATGAAATATGAAGGAAATTATAAACGATTTATGGATTTTTAATTTTGCTGATACATATCAATCAGCAAAGTAATCACTTTGCTGCCTAGGCAGAAAAAGTAATACTTTGCTGATTGATATGTGTCAGCAAAATTAATATTTGCTGCCAATCGGAGGAAAACTTATTTTTTCTTAAATTCATTTTGAAATAGGAATTGGGTGTGTTTACAATTCAATACTAATAATAATAACAGTAATTGAGACCAAATTAATACTCAAACTGTTAGTTGAGGGAATTGATTAAAGTAATTGTTCAAAGTGGCCAAAAAGTAGATACAAAGAAGTAAGAATCATCATTGGCCTACTAGAATATTGAACGAAAGAAGAAAAATGCACTGGCGGATCTTTTCTGATATTTACTACTTAGAGGCGACTTACGAGCTCCATGAAAATAATTCAAATGCATCCATTATTTCAAATCCCAATAACTCGAAAACAGTAGCTCGCATCGACCTCTACCAAGAATATATTTTTTACCCAAAAGTGTTTCAGAAATCTATTTTTCTAATATAAAACGTGATACAGGTACGCACAAAAAAGTTATGACATTTCAAAAGACTCAAAAGACATGTAGGTGGCACCACCCCCACGAAAGAGACAAACTAACATAAAATTTTATATTGTCATTGAAAAATACCCCTAGATACCAAATTTTATTCCAATATCACAATTATTTTGAAATTTATTAACAAAAAACAAAAATAAGAATTCAACTTTGACACTCTGTATCTCAGAAACGAATAACTTTCGGACATATATTTATACGAACTTTTCTTCTTATTTTGACATCAGCAACATGCTCCTGAATTTTCTACACGTACTTAAGAAACACCCTGTATAATTTGCTGAGGACTCACTCTCAATTCAACGCGCGAATATATTCATAAACCCCGAGATAAACCCACTGACACTTTCCCAGTTGTAAAACTAAAAAAATTGCGTCATTGCCAAAGGAGTAACATAAAACGGCAAATACGAGAAATTATTAAAATACATTCGAATTTTGCACGGCATTAACCAATTTTCCAGCAGTCAATCACTGCCAAACCAGCGAAAATTTTTGTTGGCCCATAAAAGAATGATGGGAAAACTTCGACGGACCGTCGCACGTGACCCAATGCCCTGTAGATATAAAGTTGAAAATCGCGATACCGTGATTTCCACGCGATCCTAAAATAATTTTCGATATATTTAGAAACGAGATTTCAAAGATATAAACATTTCGAAGGAGGAAAACCACTTCCATTTCGCCCGAACTTGATTGACCAACATATAATAGCCATGAAGCAAATGTTGAACGCGACAATGTGACATTTCAATTTGAAAAGTTAACCTATAAGTTGATAAAAGGGGCCTGTTCTATAATTTTTTGTGTTTCATCTGAGGAAATGATGGATTGTAAAACCTCCATGTTGTGTTCCGTTGATATTTACTCAAGCTGTTTTATCCTTTAAATATATTAGTCATAATGTAACTACCGTTTATAAATATTGTGCATCGGATCAAAACAGTTTTTCTGCAACATTCATCGGATTTATTGTCAGCAAAACAACTGATAGCGCCCGTGAGTTTCATTTAAAAAAAAATCATTCTATTGGTAAGTGAAATTCAATACTATATAGATTGTAACAACATCCTGTATGTGCTGTACTCTGTTCGTCGTGATAACAGCGTCAGCAAAAATCCAACTTCGCATTCTCTTTTTCCCACAGAAAATTTGTTATTTCAAAAATCAGTTTCGGCAGAGCAAAAATATAAAATCTTCTTCGACACATTAGTACCTAATCAGGATCGAATTTATAAAACAAATGATCGAAATGTCGCATAGAAAAATCAATATCACCACGTTGAATCTTATCAAAAGTTGCGATAAAATAGTATTTTCAGTTTCTGGATGTATTACAAATTGATATTCATCATACAGGACGTGGACAAATTCAGATTCGAGAAAACCTAATCACGAATCTGCGATTAAGGGTCTACAGTGTGTCCCACTTACCATGCTCACCATGGGTATCTTTTCAACGGTGAGAGATACGAGGTCGGTTAAATGACACCAAATGTGGAGTTTGTCAAGGCCAACTATAATGTGAAAAAATATTTTGATAAAATCTATTCGTTTTTGTTTTGAATGCAAAAAACAGATTTTGATCATTTTCATGTCTCCTCCGTAACTTCTTTATTTATGAAAATATTCAAATAGGAATTTCACATTCTCATGACAGTTTTTCAAAGTGATGTGAATGTGAAATTCCTATTTGAGTATTTTCATAAATAAAGAAGTTACGGAGGAGACATGAAAATGATCAAAATCTGTTTTTTGCGTATAAAACAAAAACGAATAGATTTTATCGAAATATTTTTCACATTATAGTTGGCCTTGACAAACTCCACATTTGGTGTCATTTAACCGACCTCGTATCTCTCACCGTTAAAAAGATACCCATGGTGAGCATGGTAAGTGGGACACACTGTATGAAAATAACAAATTTCAATCGTTCATGTTTGAACCCCTGAAATCAAAATGATTGTGCAGATTTATGTTCAACTTGAAATATCTCGAAAAATAATGACTTTATCGCCATGGAGAAAGAGTACAATATCTACGTCAAAATTGTTGGAGAATCGAAAATTTGTGATAGAATTGCAATTCCGCCAGTGGCGTAGAATTTGGGAGGGATCAACCAGTTAATTGCCCCTGTCGTACGCCTCTGGTATTAGCTAGAAAAGTTCATTTCACATAATTCAGTTGGGTGTATATTACCTAGACTTCCCTCCAAATATGAAAGTGATACGTCAGATAGTTTTGAAGAACTGGGCAAAAAACATTTGAAAATTTTTGAATAAAACACCCTGTAACTCAGACAGGAGACATATTTTATCTAGGTGATTTGGGTTAAATCTTCATATTTTGAGTTCGGGATTCTATGGTTGAAATATTTCCAATTAGTAATGAAACACCCTGTATAGGAGTGATTTTTTTTAGAAAGGAAGGACTATCTTTACTACTTACCAAAGAAAATTCCAGAATAATTATTATTATTTTCTTTCTAAAATTGTTGGACGACTTGTGGGATATAACTCAAGGTTTAATTTCATTGTTCTTGACCTATAAAATATATGGTATTTATTTTTATCATTCCCCAAGGGACGTTTTGATCAATAAAATGAAATTAAACTATAGTGAAAAATTGAAAAATTAACAGCCAGAATAGAAAGAATGTATCATTTTCTATTTTCAGATTGACCCCCAATACATTCACACTGGTTTACCTGAATGTAAATAAACGAATCGAAAGAAAGACAAGCTGAATGTTCAGAAAATGTTTATGAGAAAAGAAATCTTCAAACAATCGATATATTACTGCCACTCTACGTAAAAGACTGATTTCCAAACGATTAAGATTTTTTTGAAAATCAAAGAAAAATGTCTCGACCCATGAATATGCTAAGGACCAGGCGAAAAGATACAAACGTCAAACCAAATAGGAGGTAAGTAAAATTTACTAAATAATACGCAGATGATTTAGTTGCCAAAAAATCACAGCATTTTTAGTACCAATATTCTTCACATCTTCAAATACATGACAAAAATAAAAGAACAAAGATGCCAATTTTCAAGCCCAGACTTCAGAAATAAATTCTTGACAATTAAAATTCCTTTATTCTGGAATAGATACTCACCAGAATAGTGATTTTCCTAACATGTGGGGAAAACACTTTCTGCATGAGTTAGGAACAATATTTCTTCTACAAGCGTAGGAAATTGATTGATTTGTTCAATTCATTATTCCTGCAAATAGGAACAACTAACAATAGTGATATATTCTCTATCTTCTGATAATTAGTGATTTATATCTATTGTGTGTACCGTTTGAAGCATTATGTAGTTAAGCTTATTGCGGAAGCCAGCATGCCCATGGTGTTTGGCCTCTAGGTTTCAGACATTTCTAGGGAATGAGCCAAAAATACTTTATTTGGTGTTTTCACTTTTATTTCTATTGCACCATTCAATAAATCCCGTGTAGTGCTTCTCATACCTTTGTTAAGACTTCGTTGGCAATCCAATAACTCATCTGTATTGCATCTGTAGCTGGAAGTTTTTCATCGCAATTCCACTGAATCGAAAATGACAGTAACGCTCTGTCTGTCACTCTGAGAATTACACTAATTATTTCGTATTTTGATTGACATGACAACAATTGTTTCCCACATCAGATCACCATACCTTTGAAGACATCCATTTCGAGCTTGGTATTACTGTCAGCAATAACTTTTCTTGGGAAAATCACGTGAGATCAATTGCTAAAAGTGCATCCCAAAAACTTGGTTTTCTGTTTCGGACCAGGAGCTATTTCACTTCCAGTCAGCTGCTTATGATCTGCAAGGCACAGATCCGACCTGTCCTGGAATACTGTTCCCATATTTGGAGTGCAGCACCCAAACATACCCTGAAACTGTTGGATTCTGTCCAAAAAAGGGCAATTCGTCTCGTGGGTGATGCCTCGCTCACAAACTCGCTCACTTCTTTGGAACACCGTAGCATAGTTGGCGATCTGGCTCTATTTTATAGATATTTTCATGGACGGTGCTCTTCTGAAATATCAACGATTGTTCCTCGCTTGGCAGTCCCCGCGAGATTAACCCGTCGAGTTGAGGCTTCGCACCCCTTCGTGGTCACGTTGGAGACCTGCAGAACATCTCTTTCCAAAGGCTCGTTCATCCAACGAACAGCGAGGCTCTGGAACACATTGCCAAGGGAGATGTTCCCCGAGGCATATAACCTTCAGAAATTTAAGAAGAACACCAATTCCTAACTTATTTCCCTTGGTTCTCACGATTAACCTACAGACAGTATGTTCTCTGAACATTACAGGATATCCCTTTCAGTGAGTGTTCCAGAACATAAAAAAAATTAAAGGCTATACAGTGTGTCCCACTTACCATGTTCACCATGGGTATCTTCTTAACGGTGAGAGATACGAGGTCGGTTAAATGACACCAAATGTGGAGTTTGTCAAGGCCAACTATAATGTGAAAAAATATTTTCATAAAATCTATTCGTTTTTGTTTTATACGCAAAAAACAGATTTTGATCATTATCATGTCTCCTTTGTAACTTCTTTATTTATGAAAATATTCAAATAGGAATATCACATTCTCATGGCAGTTTTTCAAAGTGATTCCGAAAAGAATATGAAATTTATACCAACTCTTCTAGAATTTGAGATATCAGCACCAACTTTAGTTTTTCGAATGTAGGTCATAGCTCACTATGACTTAGTTACAAATAACTTTTTTTTTTCTTACAGATGATATGTCGCAGTAATAGTTTGGTGTTGATAACAACGGAGTTATCGTCATTTATACAAAAACAAAAAAATATTTGGAAGCCGCCATCTTGAATTTATAAATTTTAACAAAAAAATCATGATCTCCGACCTCAAAAACCCTCACTTATCAATTTTGAATGGAATCGGACCAAATCTTGTCCGCCATCTTGGAGCAGCCATTTTTTTTAATTTCAACAAAAATTCCATAATGTATTGTCACCGACATTATGAACACCTGCCAAATTTGAAGTTAATCGGATTTATGGAATTTTTGTTGAATTAAAAAAAAAATGGCTGATCCAAGATGGCGGACAAGATTTGGTCCGATTCCATTCAAAATTGGTAAGTGGTTTTTGAGGTCGGAGATCATGATATTATTGTTAAAATTTATAAATTCAAGATGGCGGCTTCCAAATAATTTTTTGTTTTTGTACAAATGACGATAACTCCGTTGTTATCAACACAAAACTATTACTGCGACATATCATCTGTAAGAGAAAAAAAAGTTATTTGTAACTAAGTCATAGTGAGCTATGACCTACATTTGAAAAACTAAAGTTGGTGCTGATATCTCAAATTCTAGAAGAGTTGGTATAAATTTCATATTTTTTTCGAAATCACTTTGAAAAACTGCCATGAGAATGTGAAATTCCTATTCGAATATTTTCATAAATAAAGAAGTAACGGAGGAGACATGAAAATGATCAAAATGTGTTTTTTGCCTATAAAACAAAAACGAATAGATTTTATCAAAATATTTTTGCACATTATAGTTGGCCTTGACAAACTCCACATTTGGTGTCATTTAACCGACCTCGTATCTCTCACCGTTAAAAAGATATCCATGGTGAGCATGGTAAGTGGGGCACACTGTATAGCAATCAATTATTATTTTTCAATATTTCTTCATTTTCACAATAAATAGTGCAATTTGATGGCTGATTTTGTACAAACTTACTAAATACTGCGATATAAATGTTTTTCCCGCACTAGGGTGTCCCAAACTGAATTGCGTGTGGGTATAGGGTGAATCACGCACGCTTGTAGAAAAAGATTTTTTATGTAAAACTACTTATGAAAGATATGCTATAAATGATAATAGGTTTTGATCACTCAGTTAATTCACCAATAATAACTGTTTCGATGTTTTCTTACAGCGGTTTCAGATTCTCGAGGTAAAAGAGTTTTTGCAGTTTTCCGAGTTTTATTCTGCTATATTCATAACATTTTTCCTGAAATAAATCCACAAAAGTACTGGAAAAGTGTGCAGTTTGAAATTCATAGTATCTTCTCATTTCGAAAAAATCATCACTCATATTCCATAAATCATCCAACTGCAGGGTTTGGCATTATTTTCAACTTATCATTATGATCACTATCTTGCAAAATTATCGGTAATTTCGATGCACTAGTGCAATTATAACCGAAAACATTAGCTAACTTTCAATTCTGATTGGTCTATCATCGTTGATGGTTTCAACATTGTAATCATGGATAGCGAAGCAAAGTCTGTCAGTTTGGCATAAAATAATTAAAGCTGTACTTGTCAGAAGGAATCACTCATTTATAATAAATGCTTTTTATGCTTCCTGAACGTGAAATAATCTAACAAAATACCACTCTGTTCTGATTATCTTCTTATAATCCTGTCTTTCATTTTTAACTCATTTCAGAACATCTTGATATTATTTATGATAATCTCCCGTTGCTATAAGCAACGTGAACCAAGAAGAGCCTTCTAATTGGTTGAAAATAAATTTATGAAATTTTCAACAATATCGCATGGTTTTTAAATTTCATCGTCATTTCAATATCCTCGTCTCGATGAACTTTATTTATCCAAACCGAATTTGAAAAAATTGAATTGTGCATCTCTGCTTCGAGTGTGTAGTGGCTATCGACAAAAAAACAACCTTCATTTTCACATGGTCCTCGTATATTTTTTACAGGTTGGACAGAAAGTCGTCACGTGGTATGATCTACGAGAACGAAGATTTGCGTTTGAAAACCATCAATATCAATGCAGAAGTAGAAAGCCGTGAGTAAAATAAAAATATTCGTGAGAATATATACAGGGTGAGCTGAATTTGACGTCTCAGCTTCATCATAAGAGAAGGAAAAACGCGAGGAAAAACGGTAGAAGAGTGGTTTTAAAATAGCATCGAGTACGGTACATTTGGAGCCAAAATGCTTATTTCTTTTTACTTGAAGTAATAACGTCATCATCGAATCCTTTTTCCTGGAAAATGTGGATAAATCGGAAGTATTCAGATTCTCAAGGCTTACTATTTTTTGTTGAAGAGGTCAAAATGTCAAAAACGACTACCTATTTGGAATTTTTTATTCGAAAAAGTAAGGTTGCTTTTTCAATTCACCCTGTATCAAAATCTAAGGAGTTGAAAAAAACGGTGAAGTAGCCATTCAATGGAAGCAAACATCAAATACTTGGATACGAAGTTTTATCGTTATAATTTCTACAGGAAGATCTCCCTAGGTCAACCAAAAATTGATGAAATTGAAGTAGAAAAATGTTTTCTCACCCTGTATAATGTTAATTTTATTATTTGGGCATTCCAATCGTTCGCTTTGCATTCGACCATGTTTGCACTGAAAATGTTTGCTCTTCAAAGAAAATTGGGGTTACTAGGATAAAAATACAATGTTGAAAGTATCCATTATTCCAGAAAATTACCCATTTCATTTGGAATTCCCAAAAAAAAATCATTCTCAAATGTATTCTGAATATCTAAGCCAAATTGCATTCCGTTCATAAAAAAATTAATTAACACTGTTTTCGCCAAATTTACCTATACTACTGCATGGGTTGCATCGTCTTGACTGCTTTACTTTGTTTTTTTGTTTTGGAATTCAGGCAGATTTTGAATAACTGAACCCAAAGTCTAGGTAGCTTTTTCTCGATCATTATCTGAATTGAATGATATTGAATGAAATGGAATTAACACGTTTTATGTATCTTCTAGGACAATCCGACATCAAAAAATTGAAAAGAGAAAACGAAATGTTGAAAAAAGGCCTCTGGTACCTCCGAGATGAATACGACAAACTGGAAAAACTTGTCAAAGACAAAAAAATCGGTTTCTCCTCCTCATCCACAACATGTTCCACATCCAGTGACTCAGTAAGTAATAACAACAACACTGAATGAGAAAACATATTAGATGATAACATAATCGATATTAGAGAATTTTTTTTTCATTTCAGATACAATAATTCCGAAGTTGAAAATTTGGGACTACACATTGCTAATAAAAATAGATTTAGTGACATTTTGATTCCACCACTGACTCGGGAAATTCCATCAGGCTCATACATAAGGTCGAAAAATATTTCTTCCTGATTGTCGTATGGATCCCCAAAAATTCATAGAAATTAATTCAGACCCATAAAGAAAGATTCATATTCGGTAGAAGACTCTTCCTTCAGATTTTCAAAATCAGCGGTTCACGTAATGAAGTAGGCTTCATACAATTCGATTTTTTTTTCTGATTGCCCTGAAAATCTCGAAAAATTCATAGACACTAATTCAGACTCATGAAGTAAGAATTTGATATCAGATTTGATAAAGAACTCTCCCTTTAGATTTTCTAAATCAGCGGTTCAAGCAATGCAGTTGGCTCATATACGTAGAAAAATATTTTTTTCCTGATTGCCCTAAAAATCCCAAAAAATTCATAGACACTAAATCAGACTCATTAAGAAAGAATTTGATATCAGATTTGATAAAGAACTATCCCTTTAGATTTTCGAAATCAGCGATTCAAGCAATGCAGTAGGCTCATATACGTAGAAAATTAAATTTTTCCTGATTGTCCTAAAAGTCCCAAAAAATTCATAGACACTAATTCACACTCATTAAGAACGAATTTGATATCAGATTTGATAAAGAACTCTCCCTTTAGATTTTCAAAATCAGCGGTTCAAGCAATGCAGTTGGCTCATATACGTAGAAAAATATTTTTTTCCTGATTGCCCTAAAAATCCCAAAAAATTCATAGACACTAATTCAGACTCATTAAGAAAGAATTTGATATCAGATTTGATAAAGAACTATCCCTTTAGATTTTCAAAATCAGCGGTTCAAGCAATGCAGTAGGCTCATATACGTAGAAAAATATTTTTTTCCTGATTGCCCTAAAAATCCCAAAAAATTCATAGACACTAATTTATACTCATTAAGAAAGAATTCGATATCAGATATGATAAAGAACTCTCCCTTTAGATTTTCAAAATCAGCGGTTCAAGCAATGCAGTAGGCTCATATACGTAGAAAAATATTTTTTTCCTGATTGCCCTAAAAATCCCAAAAAATTCATAGACACTAATTCAGACTCATTAAGAAAGAATTTGATATCAGATTTGATAAAGAACTCTCCCTTCAGATTTTCAAAATCAGCGGTTCAAGCAATGCAGTTGGCTCATATACGTAGAAGTAGAAAACTATTTTTTTCCTGATTGCCCTAAAATCCCAAAAAATTCATAGACACTAATTCAGACTCATTAAGAAAGAATTTGATATCAGATTTGATAAAGAACACTCCCTTTCGATTTTCGAAATCAGCGGTTCAAGCAATGCAGTTGGCTCATATACGTAGAAGTAGAAAAATATTTTTTTCCTGATTGCCCTAAAAATCCCAAAAAATTCATAGACACTAATTCATACTCATTAAGAAAGAATTTGATATCAGATTTGATAAAGAACACTCCCTTTAGATTTTCAAAATCAGCGGTTCAAGCAATGCAGTTGGCTCATATACGTAGAAAAATATTTTTTTCCTGATTGCCCTAAAAATCCCAAAAAAATCATAGACACTAATTCATACTCATTAAGAAAGAATTCGATATCAGATTTGATAAAGAACACTCCCTTTAGACTTTCAAAATCAGCGGTTCAAGCAATGCAGTTGGCTCATATACGTAGAAAACTATTTTTTTCCTGATTGCCCTAAAAATCCCAAAAAATTCATAGACACTAATTCAGACTCATTAAGGAAGAATTTGATATCAGATTTGATAAAGAACTATCCCTTTAGATTTTCGAAATCAGCGGTTCAAGCAATGCAGTAGGCTCATATACGTAGAAAAATAAATTTTTCCTGATTGCCCTAAAAATCCCAAAAAATTCATAGACACCAATTCAGACTCATTAAGAAAGAATTTGATATCAGATTTGATAAAGAACTATCCCTTTAGATTTTCGAAATCAGCGGTTCAAGCAATGCAGTAGGCTCATATACGTAGAAAGTTAAATTTTTCCTGATTGTCCTAAAAATCCCAAAAAATTCATAGACACTAATTCATACTCATTAAGAAAGAATTTGATATCAGATTTGATAAAGAACTATCCCTTTAGATTTTCGAAATCAGCGGTTCAAGCAATGCAGTAGGCTCATATACGTAGAAAAATATTTTTTTCCTGATTGTCCTAAAATTTCCAAAAAATTCATAGACACTAATTTATACTCATTAAGAAAGAATTCGATATCAGATATGATAAAGAACACTCCCTTTAGACTTTCAAAATCAGCGGTTCAAGCAATGCAGTTGGCTCATATACGTAGAAAAATATTTTTTTCCTGATTGCCCTAAAAATCCCAAAAAATTCATAGACACTAATTCAGACTCATTAAGAAAGAATTTGATATCAGATTTGATAAAGAACACTCCCTTTCGATTTTCGAAATCAGCGGTTCAAGCAATGCAGTTGGCTCATATACGTAGAAGTAGAAAACTATTTTTTTCCTGATTGCCCTAAAATCCCAAAAAATTCATAGACACTAATTCAGACTCATTAAGGAAGAATTTGATATCAGATTTGATAAAGAACTCTCCCTTTAGATTTTCGAAATCAGCGGTTCAAGCAATGCAGTAGGCTCATATACGTAGAAAATTAAATTTTTCCTGATTGTCCTAAAAATCCCAAAAAATTCATAGACACTAATTCAGACTCATTAAGAAAGAATTTGATATCAGATTTGATAAAGAACTATCCCTTTAGATTTTCAAAATCAGCGGTTCAAGCAATGCAGTTGGCTCATATACGTAGAAAAATAAATTTTTCCTGATTGCCCTAAAAATCCCAAAAAATTCATAGACACTAATTCAGACTCATTAAGAAAGAATTTGATATCAGATTTGATAAAGAACTATCCCTTTAGATTTTCGAAATCAGCGGTTCAAGCAATGCAGTAGGCTCATATACGTAGAAAATTAAATTTTTCCTGATTGTCCCAAAAATCCCAAAAAATTCATAGACACTAATTCAGACTCATTAAGAAAGAATTTGATATTAGATTTGATAAAGAAGTCTCCCTTTAGGTTTTCAAAATCAGCGGTTCAAGCAATGCAGTAGGCTCATATACGTAGAAAAATAAATTTTTCCTGATTGCCCTAAAAATCCCAAAAAATTCATAGACACTAATTCAGACTCATTAAGAAAGAATTTGATATCAGATTTGATAAAGAACTATCCCTTTAGATTTTCGAAATCAGCGGTTCAAGCAATGCAGTAGGCTCATATACGTAGAAAATTAAATTTTTCCTGATTGTCCTAAAAATCCCAAAAAATTCATAGACACTAATTCAGACTCATTAAGAAAGAATTTGATATCAGATTTGATGAAGAACTCTCCCTTTAGAATTTCGAAATCAGCGGTTCAAGCAATGCAGTAGGCTCATACACGTAGAAAAATGAATTTTTCAAAATGTTGTGGAGATGACTTTGGGATTTCATCTATGCACTACACCACTCCACTTCGAGTTACCATGGACTTCTTCCAAAGATTAAACAAAGACATATTTTCCAGGAGAGCTGCAGCTCTTTCAGCGAAGCCAGCGAGGAAGTGGAAACGGCCCAAAACATGAAGAACGTCCAACGCACCAACATGAAGAACATCCACGAGCACTTCGACCTCCTCTCCGTAGTTACGGAAGAAACTAGCGCCGAAAACTCCGAGCTGCCATCCAACAGAACCTCCTTGGCCTACCAAGAGACGGTCCTGCAACCGGACCAGAGCTACCCGGACTACCAAATCTCCAGATCTCACACCCTACCAGCCTTGGAAAAATCCCCCACACACTTCTTCTCCCCCATCCAGACCTCCAAAAGCTTCGACGACAACAGCTTCAACCACCAGATCCAGGGCCAACTCTTTCCCGAAGAAGCTTATCCAGAGGAGCCGACCCAGGACATTATGTATCCAGGGGAGCGAGCCCAGGACACCCTGTATCCAGAAGAGCTGTACAGGAACGGATTCGGGAGTGCCTCAGGGAACCTTCCAGAGGATTTCCAGAGCAGGAAGATAGTGAGAACGGACGCGAACTGTTTTTACCAGAATATGGTGTTGGTGTCGAAGCGTTTGGAGCCAGAGATTGAGGTGCAGGCTATGGAGAAGTCTTCCAGCGATTTGATCGTTAAATTGGATAATCGGGATTTCGGAAATTCTGCCAGTCGTAGTACGGTGTCGAGCGGGGGGAATTTGGAACAATTGCTCAATGATATTGAATCGATTTCGCAAGTAGGTGTGCAATCAAATAAATCAGATTCAGACTTTTCAAAGATTCTTCATAAAAAAATTCCGAATGGTTTAAAACTACCATATTGTACAGTTTGTCTAATTTTCGATACTTTGGCGAGATATCACAATTGTCGTTGTAGATATAGAATTGCAGTTTTTTGCTGTTTGAGAACACAATAATCTGAACAGTACGAGGGGGTTACCACTTGTTTTCCAAATAATTAACAGGGTAATATGGGACATTCCTTTTTAATTCAATTTTTGGATTTCCCATGCTGATCTGTTTCCTAAAATTCACAAGTTTGTAAAAATAATATAAATGGAATTACGAAGTTATGCAATTACTGTAATACACAGGTGCCAAAAACTGAGAAATTTCAATTATGCTCTGAATCAGGAAAATTTCTGATTGCGGCATGTTGAGAAAACTGAAGAAATATCTATCAAAAGTACCTACTAAAAATTAAAAAATAGATAAAAATTGTCTGAAATCAAATATATGAATGGATAGATAATTGACATTTGATTTTCGACGTTGAGAAATTGCGACCGACTTCATGATTGCAAAATGTTGATAGGAAATTCTGAGGATATCAAATTTGCAGAGAGGGTCGAACGAGCATGCCGAATTCAACGGCCTTTCTGAGGGGATCAATACGAAAACAGAAATATTGCAGGACCCTTCGATGAAGGAAAATGGAGAAGATCCGACAGAAAAACCGTTCAAGAGCGAACTCAACGTTGTCCTCATGCCCAATCCGATGCCGTTGATCGGAATCGACAAATACAGGAATATTCAGAGGTACACAAACTGAAACCATACCATAAGAAACAATATCAACTTTCAAATTTTGATTATCAAAGTGGGTCATGTGACCCCTCGTTTTGAAGCTCTTTCGACACCCTATTCGAAGGTCACAATTATTATTGATTTCAGGCATTCGAAGGGACTACCATGAACTATTTCTCAATTTAATTGTTCCAACTAGTAAAGGTCGAGTGAAACCTAATTTCAAAAGCTTTTCAATACTTCATCCAACGGTCATGCTCATTTTGAATCACAGTTGCCATGAGAGACAAATTCAACTTTCAAAATTCGATTACCAAAGTGGGTCATGTGACCCCTCATTTCAAAAATCTTTTAAAGCTTCATTTAACAGTCATATTCACTTTGATCATAGGTGCCACGGGAGAAAATAGCAACTTTCAAATTTCAATTATTCAAGTGCTTCATGTGACCTCTCATTTTGAAGGTATTTCTATACTCTATTCGAAAGTCACAAACGTCGTTGATTTTATGCATTCGAAGTGACTACCATGGATGAACTTCTCAACTTACAAATTTCTAATGGTAAAGTAGATCATGTGACCCCTCATTTGAAAGGTCTCTCGATACCCTATTCGACGATTACGACCATTTTCGATTTAATGCAATTGGGGAGATTGCCATGGGAGACTGTCAACTTTCAAATTCAGGCAAGATAAGTAGGTCATGTGACCCCTCATTTGAAAGGTCTCTCGATACTCTATTCGAAGATCACGACCATTTTCGATTTAATGCAATTAAGGCGACTTTCATGGGAAACTCTCAACTTTGAAATTCCGACAAGATAAGTAGATCATGTGACCCCTCATTTGAAAGGTCTCTCGATACTCTATTCGAATGCGCAAGTTTGAACTTTCTGAGAGTAATTTTTGTGCGTTTTATTCTATAGAGCTATTTTTAGGAGCCTGGAAAGTTTGAACGCGAAACCTCTGGAGGAACTGTCAGTTTCTAATCAAAACCTGTGCGTCATTCCCCCTCCCAAACATCTTCTGGACTCTCCTATCATTCCGAATAGTGCTCCGGCGATAGGAGTTCACTCGGGAAATCACGATCCAGAAGCTAATCCATTCTTCTTCGGAAATTTCAAGAATAACTACGTTGATTCCGAACAGTTCGGCATGAAGTATGGCAGCGATAATTTCTTCAGGGAAACACACCAAAAACTGGATGCAAGTAGGTACAATCTAGTGGTTTGGCGTTGTTTTAATTTGAAAATTTCACACCAGTGATTTTTCAGTTAAATTGGGTTTTTATGACAGATTACCATAGCAACGTATGTATTTTAGTGAACATTTTTTTCTCGTGAGTACCCACCAGCGCATCAAATCGGATTTTTTTTATGACGTTTTAATGACAGAATAATATTTTGACGTCCTAAAATAGTGATTTTGTGCCACATCAAAATCACTATTTTCATCATCGAAATCTCTGGAGCTGATACGCTTCAACAGGAAGATCAAATTACTAAGGTGGACGGACATACTGACCTTCATCAGAAATTCACAGAGGTTCGAAAAGGAGAATTAGGAGAAGGAATATGGGGCCTACTTGCTAGGCTAACGCCTCACCTTTCTCTACTACTACTATTATGTACCTATACCTATGAAAAATTAATTGACAAAATTATAATTTCTTATCACTTGTAGTATCCCGAAGTCAATATAAAATTTGAGAATATAATATGTTACAATTTAAACCAGTATTCTCATGCAAATATAATAGGTAGAAATCAGGAATCTATTAATGGTGCCGAAACTGCGACCCAAACTAAATTTATCCATGAACCTGTATGCAAATCAAATGAACAAATACATTCTAAAATTATTTAATTTCCAAACACAATCTGGTGTGAAATTTTCTTACCGAATACCACACGAGGTCAAATTACTTTCCGGGAATTTTTTCCAGCTCATGAATATTTCGAAAATTCCGGAAATAATTTGACCTCTAGTGGTATTACAAGTGATAATTTTCCCAATTTTTTCAGGTAGACTGGAGAAAAATTGCGGTTCCAGAACCAACCTGATAGACATAATTTCGCCGGATCAAGCCTTCACAGAAAACGAAGAAAATCTGAAATTCAAAACCACCAAAACGCAGAACTCCGATTCTGAGAAACCGAAAGAAGAAGCGAAATCGGACAAGTTAAGCATCCGCAAAAAGGTCTGCATCCATTTCAAGGGCAAAAAGGACCGCAGCAAAAAACCCTTTTTCAATTCTGATTCGTCCATCCCCAAAACGCCCGACGAAAGAAAACACCCGCTATGGAATTCCAGGTAAAACATCATTCATTGCATTAGAGAGAGGACAATTTGAAAAAATATTATTTTTCACATTTTCGAATTCGTTTGTCAGCTCAACATTTTCATTGTCGAAGTTCAATTTGGACCTTGATTTATTTTTTGATGGATGTGATATATACTTTTTTAATAATTAAATTCGGCGACTTCGAAAAACGCCAGGTTCGATGTCGGCATGCACCGAATTCTGGCTTTGTCAAAAAAAGTAGGACCACATATTCCGACGCTGCCAGATTTGTAACTTTATGAGATTCAATATGAAAAATCACAATAGTATTCACATTCACAGAAGACAATAGTTCGACCTAGTCCCTAATAATCACTTATTGAATACTTATATACTTGCAAAATGCTTCAGTACCAATTAAAATATCCAGGTATTCCTAATAATAATCGAGATTTTATATAATCCCCAATTATTTTGTGGCACGGGCAACAGTGTAATGCCTAAGTTCCTAGGAATACAAAAAAAGAAGAAGAAGATAAACTACATTGTTAACCTAACTTTATCGACTGTCACCTTCATCGTCAAATCCTTGTTTCATCTTGTCAAGATACGAATATTCAAAGATAATCTTCATGATCTGATTCTTCAGTTGTGTGTTGTGTTCTCTGTTATCTGCAGTAAGTATCAAATCCAGAAAATTGATTGCATATTCGGATTGAAATGACAATCAGAAATATTTTTGCACTTGTCTATCAGAAGTGGAGAATCGATACGTACGTCGAATCTTATATGGTGTTCTCGGATGATTACATCATGCGTTTTCCCGCGTTTTTTATGTTACGAAATATTGTGAATTTCAATAATTATTTAAAAAAGTTAACTTAGTTAGGGTTAGTACTTCGAAATAATGAAATAAAATTTTTCACTGAAACAGGTTCAATTAAAATTTTAAATTCACAGCATTGTAAACGTCCCGTAAAAAGAAGCCAAAGTAATAAAAAAAAGAGAATAGTGAAATTGTTCCATAAAAAAATCGAGATTTCAACAAATATGCTAAGTAAATTTGGTATAAGTATGGCATGCAATTAGAACAGAAAACCACTTTTTCAGGTGGAACTTCTTGAAATTTTCGAAAATAAATAAAATGGAAATTCTTTCGCAAAATACGGGGCAAAATATTTAGGACAGAATGGCATAACTTCGCATCTTTTTTCAACTTGAAAACAACCCCATAACCAAACATTGCATAAACGAAAAGCATACTTCTATGATTACCTCCTGTAGATGAATCTGAATCTGTTAAGGGACAAGATCGCACCACCCGAAACGCCCAGTACAGAATCGAGAAAGTTCGTCCTGGAACCGAAAACAACTAGCAGCTCTGACAGCAAAACGAGCAACGACAAAAAAATCGGTCAGCTCGAGAAAAAAGACTCCGGAAGTGACAAAAAAGAGTCGGGGAACGAGAAAAAAACTACGAAAAGCTCGTCGGCCAGTCCAGAGAGAAAACACGTCCAACTCAAAGAAGATGGTAAGTACATTCTTATACTTCCACACTCCCTGTATAGTTCAGAAAAAAACATGCACGCTTGATTTCTCTAATCCGCCATACTTTGGATGATTAGTTTAGTTTAGTTTAGTAAGTCAGTACATATCGAATACAGTTTTTGTTGACGTGCAAGATGTTCTTCGAACCTAGTTGTAATGGATCACCTAGTTTGACCTACACAGTGTTTCCACCTTAATGGCTTACCACCCCTGTGAAATCCTTTTTCAAATCACTTTTTTTTGTTGGATATGTATTTGAAATGTCCATCCAACAAAAGAATGATTTTATTCTTGAACTGTTATCATGGCCACCTGCGACCAACTTTATTGAACTATATTTCAGAAAGTTCTATTAGGGATTTTTCTTCTCAAAAATTAATGATGGATTCTGAATCACGATCACTTGTTACATACCTTTACCGATTTGCATCGTCATAAAACACAGGGTGCCCAAAAAAATTATTTTTCTTCTGAATACGTGATCAGAAAATATACTGCATTGTATTTTTGGAAATAATTAATGACAAATTAGTATTGAGGACTACTTCGAACATATCTGTACCGATTTTTAGCATTCAAATATACGCTGTGTATGAGAAAAATGAATAAAAATAATAAATCAATTTTTCAGTCACGGTAGGCGGAAAAAAACACCGGAAGCACAAAAGAACGACCGACAGAGCGCGCCTGCGTAGACAGAGCACCCTAGCGGACCAAGGTCGAAGCTTCCGCGAGCGATCGTACAGCGTGTGCACAGACAGATCGAACATGCTCGAACATCGCTTGGGCTTCGGTTCCAGCCTGTATTTCGACGAATTCTCCGATGACAGAGAAAGGACCAACAGCCAAAGTAGTTGCGAAACGGCGGAAAATGCGAGGAAAATGTCGATGATGCCGAACGTACCGCTCAGCGGAAAAGTACCGTGGTGCGGCTGCTGGGGAAACGGGTGTCTGTGAGAGGGCTATTCGTGAACGGATATTATTCGTGAACAGAGTTTATTCGTGAACGAAGGTTATTCGTGAACGGAGATTATTCGTGAACGGATGTAATTCGTGAAGAGTTTATTCGCGAACAGGTTATTCGTGAACAGTTTATTCGTGAACAGGGTATTCGTGAACAGTTTATTCGTGAACAGGGTATTCGTGAACAGGTTATTCGTGAACAGAGGTAATTCGTGAACAGATGTTATTCTTGAACAGGTTATTCGTCAACAGAGGTTATTCATGAATAGAGGTTATACTTAAACGGGGGTTATTCGTGAACAGAGGTTATTCGTGAACAGAGGTTATTCGTAAACGGAGGTTATTCGTGAACGGTTTTAATTCGTGAACAGTGTATTCGTGAGCAGAGGTTATTCGTGAACGGGGGAATTTATGAACGAAGGTTATTCGTGAACAGATGCTATTCGTGAACGGGTTATATTTGAACGAACTGTATGGACACGTGCTCGGGGACATGTGATTCGTGAACAGGGTCAGTGTGATCGTCTGTCCTTCGAATGGGATATTCCTGGGGGATTCCCGAACTGGTGCCTTATCAACAACTACTTTTCAATACTTATTAGGTTATATGAAAAGAAGTTTTCTGGAAATATAATGTCGACTATAAATATTCCATAAACACGTAGCTATATGTATTTGTATGAAACTAGAAAAATACAACATAATTTAGACTCCAATAACTATTAATAGTCCCTATCATAGATGAATGCACAATCCTTACAGCGCATTAATCCTAGATTTCGTCTTAATATCTCATCAAAAAACTCAATCAACCTGAATTCATATGATAAAGTGCCAGAATCATTCAAAAAGTCAGCTAGTATCATAAACCATAAATTATTGTTGTGTAATTATGTATACGTGTTTCTTTTATGTTATGTTCACATATTTTTTATTGTTGAAATTTTTTTATAACAAGATATTTATATCTAAGGTCGTGTTCCGAACTGAGTTTCGAACTATTTGACGTGTGTGGTGAAAGAAATTTTCAGACACCAATAAATTCTATTCTATTTTAATGTGTGTCTATGAAAATATGATTGCCCCAAATATTACGAATTTTCAAAACATTCTACCAAATATTATCCAAAACCTTTTCTAAAACAGAACGCAAACTTCTTTAGCTCTGAAACCTCGTCTAAAACGATGCTCAAAGAAAATAAATCATTAGAAGAAACTCCCTAACAGAGTAGAAAACATGTTTTTCTGCGACCGACTTTAAGACGTCCATTTTAATACCAAAATTAGCTCTTGAATTGACGTTTCTACTACTGACACAAACATAGGTTGCCAGGCAACACTTTTAGTTCCTAGGAGTTAAAGTTGAACTTTAGTTCCTAGGAGCTAAAGTTGAACTTTAGCTCCTAGGAGGATGTACTAAAATCTCGTGAAAAATATATCTAATATAAATATAAAACTAATATTAATTATAATTTGTGGAATAGTTTTTATTGAACGGGTTGGTGTTTTGCGAGGTGTTTTGTGAACAGCTGCTTGTCCATCACTATTGGATTCTATGAAAATACGTTTGAAGAAAACCGAGCAGAAAACATATCCAATATAAACATTCCATACATCCATTTTTTCATATTGATCTATAACTTCAATATTTATTTGCCCCTATATCCATGATATCACAAATCGCCTGTGTATTTTTAGTCATGAAAGTATGATGTATGTACTTGATTATGAATGTTCTTCAGTTGCCTCAAATAATACTAGTTTATTTCCCTCCAAATATCATTAAAAACTTATTTTAAAACTTAACGACTTCATTAGCCCCAAGACCATGTCTAGGACAATGTCTAATGGAAATAAATCAACAATTCAGAAGAAACACCCTCCTAACAAAAAACAGAAAACATTTGTTAGTCATTAGACGATTTGTAACAACTTTTTTAAATCTTTTTGTAGTCTTCCGATAAAAGGTGAATGTCTTCATTTTTTCCTACGATCGAATGTGGTTGGAAGAAACAAAAATAAATCAACACGAAATGACAGTTCAAAAATAGCGAAGAGGAATTCGTCCGGATATCTCTGGCTCGAAGTCGGAAAATAACCACCAAGAACCATAATATCCATTTATAAATAGGGTAACTCACTATCGGCACTACTCATTTTTTCGCAGGATCTCTTGACAAGTTCAACAGAAAAAGTAGTAATGAAAGTTATTTTATAGTTCTTTGGTTACAGTAGTACCCAGTATTAATGAGAATAATCCCAACATCGTCTTGTCATGGAATAGCTTAACAATATCACAATTATATCATAACGACCACCGTTAAACAATCTTAACGGGCTGAGGCTGTTAACATTAACTTTCCAATTGTCATCTGAATACCGTTAAATTAAGATAACAGTATGGGATTACGAAAATACATAAACGCATTCGCCTACACTGTGAAAAAAACGAATCATTAATCATTCCACCCTTATCTTTCTATTCTGAGCATCTCAGTTTGAAAAATTGATTGGCAGGGTCAAAAAAAACTTCGAGAAAACCGAGGGAAAAACGCGATTCCAATCGAGGACAAGTGTTAGAAATAAAGAACTAAAACAATGGCGACGTTTATACCGTATGGATAATGGGCTTATATCACATAAAATTTGTATTTCATAATTCGATAGAACTCACCTAAACTAGCTCACCACCGCAAACCGTTTCTTGCTGTGAGCTCCCTACGTTTTATAAAAAATTATTGAAATCCCCGATTTTTCGGACCTCTGAAAACGAGGCGATGATGTGACGTCAGAACCCTAATACTGAAACAAGTTTATTCCAGACAGAGAAGAATGATAAATGATTTCTGACAGAGTGAATTAGCGCGAGATCACAGTTGAAAGAATTAATCTATCAGTTGCCTCAGTCTCCGTCGGGCGTTTGGTATTTTCTTTTGACTATGGCGAGATGAGGTTTCTACGTCATAAGAGGGTCCGCTTTCAGAAGGTACTATTATTTATGTCCAAAAATGAAACTTTCCAGTTAATTTTTCGATCGAATTATGTCGTCAATCATTATTTATGTATAAAAAGATCATTATAAACATGGTTTGAGTTAAAAGTTCTACTTAGGTGTACACGCCCATTGGTATGCTTACCAAGGAGATCTAACTAAATTCAGACCCAATGCCTTAGTTAAAACTCATGTTTACACCATGTATCTTCAGTTGACTAACGTTATCAACTTTGTTTTGATTTGATTATTTGAGGTTAGATTGTGGAACTCTACTTGAATTCGTAAATTAAGAATAAAACCTCTTAGAAGAATGAGAAATTAGCTGGAATATTATTATGAGAAATCATGAAATAACTGCCACTTGCACTCAAGTCAATTCAAGGCTATACAAAAGTAGACCAAAATGTTCACACCGTCTTGGTCATCATACTATGCAACAAATTTCGGTACCAGGCCAAGCTGGCAACTTTACCAAGTATACAGTTTATACCAAACTGAGCAAGAGTATTTAGTTGAAATAGATATTTACGTAATCAGTTAGGAAACGCGTTGTTTTTTGTAACGATGGGATTTTGCGGGACGAGCGAAGCGAGATCCCGCAACATCACAGAGTTACACAAAATGGCGTTTCCTAACGTGTCACGTACAATATTTTTTCTAATTTTGACGAAACATTTCGCATGAACAAAAATAATGACCAGTTTTACATGAGTTCTGCCGACTCTTGTTGTGTGAAATGAATGAATGAAATGAACATTACATCACCAGTTATGTAAAATTTTACTTTACGCAACTGGTTACGTAAAGTAAGACGTTTCAAAACTTCCGTCAGTTTTGAAAAGTGTCACATTACATGTCAAAATTAGAAAATAAAATGATTAGTCAGCTTAACAAGACACGGTATAAACGTGGCCAATGAGAACTATTTTTTTCATTTCGGAACTTTAGAGTTACCCTTCCAATCGCTAGACATTATGTGCCATAAACACAAATAAAACCTCGAATAAAACGCTCTGTTGATGATAAAACCACCCTTCCTCCTTCATTTGACAGACCACCCGTTGTCACCCAAAATAAGTAATTTCTATTGGTGAAGATGGTTCAAACTTTTATCCGAACAAACACCAGAGGCACATTGGGGTGTTTAATTTTTGATTGTGTTTATCTTTGCTTCCCTCGTGGATGGTGGGATGAATTCAGTTTGCAGAAGTGCACCCTCCAATATTGCGTCACTAGCAGCAACCAGTAGACTTATGGGAAATCATATGAAATGAATGGGGGTTATTGCTCTTCAATTATAGGTCCCAATAGGTAGGTGAATTAATGGATCTCAACGATTTGGCGATAAGAAATGAATGAACTTGGGAAGGGGGACACATTGATCACAGCCAAGAGAGAGTTCCTAGAATTTTTCATCAAAAAAGTTGTTTCACTCACTTCATCTCTTGGACCAAACAATAGGGAATCCCTACCGTGTCCTTGAAACACTCAACACTGAGAATAAATTAATGGTGCTTGAAAGTTGTGAATAGGTACAAACCCCAATTTTCAATAGAACAATCTTAAAACAGTTAATAAATGATAGTAATCAGCATCAGTCACTTATCATAATTATTATGATGAAAAAATACATTCATTGTGAGGTACAGAATGTGCGGAAATAGATTTTGAACAATTAACCACAAGTTTAGAAACCCATCCATCAATTCTAGTAAAATTTCTTTAGATCTTTGAAGTCAAAGGCTGCTGTTTATGCCCAGATGATGTGGAAAGCCATAAAGAGATCTTAAAACCAAGTTAATGTAAACATTCAAAGGAATTCTACCTACAGAATAAACTTGAAAATTAAAAACCAGAAGCCTGACATAAATAAATTTCTGATAAGAGAAAACAAAATATAAGTACAATAACAATAGGTGATTAAAAATAAAGAAATGTATATATCAAAGAACCTATTGAAAATACCTATCCTATTTAATTATTGTCATCTATTAGATTCCTATGAGATTCTTATGAAACTGATAGAAATTATTGGTACTTGGGTGTCAACATAAATTCACCCTGCCTGATTGATTTCTTGGTCTATATACAGAGGTAGTTGAAGGATATTGTTCTAGCTAATGCATAAAGGAGGGGATTAGGTTCAGGAACTGATAAGTAAATAATTATCAATGGATATGCATAACATGGTTTGTCACTTACCCAATACATTCAAAACGATAAACACTGCAATGTAAATAGTTCTATTCATCTTTGGGTAGTCTCTTGAGGAGAAAATTCCTGATATTCTCTGTTTTCACACAAACATTTTGGCTATTCGAATGGGAATTAAATCACATCGAGATTCCTAAGTTCAATGAATATAGACATAAATAGGGATTTTAGAGCAAAAGTTCATCGAGTACCGGTTTGATGATTTGTTGCAAAAAATATATCCCGATTTGACTAGAACTTCACTAGGCTTGTTCACTCACAGAAGGAGATTCATCCTCAAACTTGTGAGTAAATACTATGTAATGTCTATTCAACCACGACCATTGATAAATAATTTGAAAACTAAATATTTACACAAAGGTTGTCACTATCATCAGAATCAGAAATAACAGCATCACCCAAGTCCCAAACCCAACCTAAACAAATGTCAGTTTGGAATTTCTTTCAATGATCTGTCAATTTTTTTTTCAGTAAGCACAGAGCACAGACACAGAACCACAGACACAGAACCACAGACACAATGCACAAACTCACTGACAGAACATTTAAAAGGCAGGGTTATTAAATATCATTGTCTGCTAAATATGAAGAAAAAATCTAGTGAGCTGCAGTATTTAAATATATACAGAGTCACGGTGGGAAGCAAGTGTCTAGCTAGACCAGCGAAAAGAAGAAATAATATGTGTCTTGGGTGACGTCACTTGACCTCGATGTTTGAAAGATTCGCTGGTCTAGCTAGACGCTTGTTAGGGCATAAAATCAGCCTGATTCTCCTCTTGCCTAAATTTTGTTCCTACACTCCGGATATCTGTTCTGCTGAGCTGAATTCGAGTTTTCCGCCATGAAATGAAGCACACTGATTGGTCTACAAATTCGCCGATGGAGGAAATCATGTTCATCTGAATTCTTACACTCAGCTGTTCTATGTTCGACGTAAGGTTCGACGCAAGCGCATTTCGTAACTTATCCATTGATCTCCTTCTCCCTTCTCCTTCGCCTTCCTTGTTTTCACAACAAAATCAAAATACGCCATTTTAGTTTTACATTTTCGAGTTTCGACGGGTCACGGGTGAGATTGAATAATCTTGGGTGTTTTTACTGTTTTTGTGAGAACTTGTGGAAGGTTGAAAGATGTCGATTGAGTACTTGCAAGTAGCTGAGGACGAAGGGGAAGAGCCGATAGAACTGCCCACGGAAGATGATGGTACTTTACTGCTAAGTACTTTATCAGCTCAGTTTCCAGGGGCGTCGGGGCTCAAATTTAAGGCCCCCGAGAGCAAAACGTTCAGGGGGGTCCGCTTGACCGAGGGGAGGCTACATCCCCCTTCGGACAGTGGATGGGGGTCGCAAATATTTTACTGTTCCTTTCCCAAAGGTAGGGCACGTTATGACCAAAATGGAGGTACATTTCTTTTTTAGCTTCTATCATTAATATTAGTGGAGCTTACGAATCAAGAAACGATTTTGGCTCTGTTTTTTTTATGTGTGAAGTTTGCTGATGTTTGTTTTAGAAAATAAGAGAAAGAGTGATGATAATTTGGAAAATTCAACTGCAAAAACAAAACGTATGGAGACAAGATTACGTTGTACAGATTTGATAGTTCTTGGCCTACCATGGAAGACCACAGAGCAAAACCTCAGGGAGTATTTTGAGACCTTTGGAGAGGTTTTGATGGCCCAGGTGAAAAAGGACCCAAAGACAGGTCAATCCAAGGGATTCGGATTTATCAGGTTTGGATCGTATGAGTCTCAGATGAGAGTTTTAGCGCAGAGGCATATGATTGATGGAAGGTGGTGTGATGTGAAAGTTCCAAACTCGAAAGTAAGTACTCTCGATCAAATGAGGGTGGAAACACTGTTGTTCATTGAATGCTGATTTGATTCAACAGTTTTGGCAAGAATACTGATTCCTAGATCCCATAGGCATATCTGTTTTTTAGTCAGAAAAATTAAACAAGGCTGTTCTGGGTTTAACCAGAGTTTAGTAGTTCTTGCCTATTTTGGATGAATTGATCACAGTATTCCTGAATAATGAATGAGATTTTTTTGAACCCTTTTGGGTCAATGCTGCTCCAAGCACAGATAGCTGTTGATTGATTTGAAAGTTGTATGCTGAATTACCATCATTAATTGTAAATTTTTGTTGTGAAATTGTCTTTGGAATTGAATCAGGTTAGATTAGGTTTTACTCTGAAAATCTAACTGGAACTCTAACAGCAGACTTCCAATTTTTAACCAATTTTTTGTAAATTTTTGTTCATGTGAAAAATTCAACTAGGTATAAACTGCTTGTTGCTACAGTGATCCTTATTTGCTTGGAGTTTTGAAGTTACCATTTGATTTGCTAATGAATGAAAATTCTGCACTAATCATTCTTTTTTTGCTTAGACTTTCAACAGAAGTTCCAGGTATTTTTTTGCTTGTAAATGACCAAACTATACATAAGGTGTGCTATAGAGTTTTATTTTTCAATCATAATAATATGAAATGAAAATTTGGCAATGGTTCAGTATCTTTCTAGGGTTATTGATATGCCTGTTCTTGAATATTTGATAGTGAAAACCCTTGAGTTGGTATGAAACTGAGTCATTTTGAAAAATGTGACCAGAATGGTTTGTTTGGAAGAAATCAGCTGAGTATTAGTGTGCATTCACTGGGACTGTTCAAATGTTGATGAGTCTTGTCATGTGGATATGATATGAAATAAGAATGCTAATGCTATGGAAAATTTTGAAATACTAAATAATTACAATGATTTATCATGTAACACACTTGAATTGATTCAAGTATATCTCTAATGAAAATTCAAATTCAAACTAGGAACATGCAACATTTTTACTATTTTTATGATAGATACTAAAATTTTGTGAAAAAATTGTTTTGAATGCTTGCAACATTATACTAAAATTTCAGACAAAAATATTCAATTTTCCAAAAGAAGAACAGTAAGAAGGAATTAAATATTAATTCATGAATAATGTCTAAGAGAACAGCTCATCTTTTGAGTGGTTCAAGAAGAAATGTATAATATTTTGACAGATTGAAATACCTGAAATATCACATTTCACACACATATCACAATTCAGTTTGTTTGATGTCTCCTGAAATGACGTCAACTGTCCATTCCTAATAAATCACTCTGTATAGTTCTTCATTTTTTGATTCAACATGTCATTTAACATACCTACTTACTGACATTAGAATTTAAAATATTAATTGAATATTTTTGATTATTTTTAAGTGGTAATGACAGCCATGAAAAATTTACATTTGGTCTTGAACCTCTCAGTTGTGGCACTGTTCTCCCAGCTACTCGGTATATATCATCAGTATCTTCAAATGTATACTGACTAGATGATTTTTTCTTGAAAAAAAAAAAACAGTCCTGTATATCTTTTAATACTGTATTTATCCTATTGGTTATGTGGAATATTTTTTTATACTAAACAAATCATACAAAGAAATAAATATGCTGTTCCTCTGATTACAAAGAGTTCAGATTATACACTCAGTTCCAAAAAAAGTGACGCACTTGATATTTGACCTATCTCCTTAAAAAAAAAAAATAATAATAGGCCGATTTTTTTTTATTTGTTGGTAGGTAATGCATTTGTCTTTGAAAAAAAAAAATAAAGAGGTGAACATTTTTTCAAAGCCTCCTTGATGGTGGTGGAATAACTCGAACCATGATTTATTCTTAATTTTTGACTCACCCTGTGTGTTAATTGAGTAATGGCATTGAAAGTGCTTACACCCTATACGAAAGAGGCTTCTTTTGCGAGCATTTTGTTTTTTTTTAATCATTGATTTATCTCTGAAATTTTCCGAATTAGACCTTTTTTTGCTGAATCCTTGCAGATTACCAACTTTCTGAATTTATCGAGAAACAATTTTCTAATGAAATAAACTGATACATACCAATAATTCTGATAAACATTTTTATTAAACACAACATTATATTGTATTGCCTCCTCTAGCAACTCTAAGAACTTCTAATCTACGAGGCATACTGGAAATTGAGTTGCTTATCGTTTCCATTGGTATACGATCCCATTCTTCCACTAATGCATCTGCCATTTCTGCGAGACTTTCCAGAGACCTCTCGCGAGAACGTACCCTTCTCCATAATTCATCCCACAAATGTTCTATAGGATTCATATCGGGGCTTCCCGCAGGCCATTGTAATGTGGTAATACCAGTCGCTTTTAAGAAGTTTCGCACTATTGCTGCGGTGTGTGGTCGGGCATTATCCTGCATCAATATAAAATTATTGCCCACTAACTCTGCATAAGGTAAGACAAACTGCTCTAAAATGTCAATGTAAATTTAGGCATTCATCGACTGCCTCACCGGAAAAACATGAAGGGGTGTCTTTCCATTCATTGAAATCCCTCCCCACACCATAAGTTTTTACAATTTCCAGGAATTTTTGCGATTTTTGCAATTTTCAGGAGTTTTTGCAATTTTTGCAATTTTCAGGCATTTTTGCGATTTTTGCAATTTTCAGGAATTTTTGCGATTTTTGCAATTTTTCCGATTTTCAGGAATTTTTGCATCTTTCAGGAAATTTTGAAATTTTCAGGAATTTGTACAATTTTCAGTAATTTTTGCAATTTTTTCTTATTTTCAGGAATTTTTTTAATTTTTGCTGTTTCTGCAATTTTCAGGAATTTTTGCAATTTTCAGTCATTTTTGCGATTTTTGCAAGTTTCAGGCATTTTTGCGATTTTTGCAATTTTCAGGAATTTAGGAATTTTTACAATTTTCCGGAATTTTTGCAATTTTTGCATTTTTCAGGAATTTTTACAATTTTCAGGAATTTTTGAAATTTTTACAATTTTCAGGAATTTTTCCGATTTCTGCAATTTTTGCAATTTTCAGAAATTTTTGCAATTTTCAGGAATTTTTGCAATTTTTGCAATTTTCAGGCATTTTTGCGATTTTTGCAATTTTCAGGAATTTTTGCGATTTTTGCAATTTTTACAATTTTCAAGAATTTTTGCAATTTTCAGAAATTTTTCTTATTTTCAGGAATTTTTGCAATTTTTGCTATTTCTGCAATTTCAGCAATTTTCAGGAATTTTTGCGAATTTTGCCATTTTCAGGAATTTTTGCAATTTTCAGGCATTTTTGCGATTTTTTTAAATTTTTGCAATTTCCAGAAATTTTGGCAATTTTTGCAAATTTTCTGATTTTCAGGAATTTTCGCAACTTTCAGGAGTTTTTGCAATTTTTGCAATTTTTAGGCATTTTTGCGATTTTTGCACTTTTCAGGAATTTTTGCGATTTTTGCAATTTTTTCTAATTTTCAGGAATTTTTTTCAATTTTTGCTATTTCTGCGATTTTCAGGAATTTTTGCAATTTTTTCTGATTTTCAGAAATTTTTCTTATTTTCAGGAATTTTTGCTATTTCTGCAATTTTCAGGAATTTTTGCAATTTTTCCGATTTTCAGGAATTTTCGCAACTTTCAGGAAATTTTGCAATTTTCAGGAATTTTTACAATTTTCAGGAATTTTTGCGTTTTCGCAGTTTTCAGGACTTTTTGTAAGTTTTGCAATTTTCAGACATTTTTGCGATTTTTGCAATTTTCAGGAATTTTTTCAATTTTTACGATTTTCAGGAATTTTTGCAATTTTCAGGAATTTTTCTTATGTTCAGGAATTTTTGCAATTTTTGCTATTTCTGCAATTTCGGCAATTTTCAGGAATTTTTGCGATTTTTGCAATTTTCAGGAATTTTTGCAATTTTCGCAATTTTCAGGAATTTTTGCAATTTCTGCAATTTTCAGAAATTTTTGCAATTTTCAGGAATTTTTGCAATTTTTGCAATTTTCAGGAATTTTTGCAATTTTTGCAATTTTCAGGCATTTTTGCGATTTTTGCAATTTTCAGGAATTTAGGAATTTTTACAATTTTCCGGAATTTTTGCAATTTTTGCATTTTTCAGGAATTTTTACAATTTTCAGGAATTTTTGAAATTTTTACAATTTTCAGGAATTTTTGCAATTTCTGCAATTTTTGCAATTTTCAGGAATTTTTGCAATTTTCAGGAATTTTTGCAATTTTTGCAATTTTCAGGCATTTTTGCGATTTTTGCAATTTTCAGGAATTTTTGCGATTTTTGCAATTTTTACAATTTTCAAGAATTTTTGCAATTTTCAGAAATTTTTCTTATTTTCAGGAATTTTTGCAATTTTTGCTATTTCTGCAATTTCAGCAATTTTCAGGAATTTTTGCGAATTTTGCCATTTTCAGGAATTTTTGCAATTTTCAGGCATTTTTGCGATTTTTTTAAATTTTTGCAATTTCCAGAAATTTTGGCAATTTTTGCAAATTTTCTGATTTTCAGGAATTTTCGCAACTTTCAGGAGTTTTTGCAATTTTTGCAATTTTTAGGCATTTTTGCGATTTTTGCACTTTTCAGGAATTTTTGCGATTTTTGCAATTTTTTCTAATTTTCAGGAATTTTTTTCAATTTTTGCTATTTCTGCGATTTTCAGGAATTTTTGCAATTTTTTCTGATTTTCAGAAATTTTTCTTATTTTCAGGAATTTTTGCTATTTCTGCAATTTTCAGGAATTTTTGCAATTTTTCCGATTTTCAGGAATTTTCGCAACTTTCAGGAAATTTTGCAATTTTCAGGAATTTTTACAATTTTCAGGAATTTTTGCGTTTTCGCAGTTTTCAGGACTTTTTGTAAGTTTTGCAATTTTCAGACATTTTTGCGATTTTTGCAATTTTCAGGAATTTTTTCAATTTTTACGATTTTCAGGAATTTTTGCAATTTTCAGGAATTTTTCTTATGTTCAGGAATTTTTGCAATTTTTGCTATTTCTGCAATTTCGGCAATTTTCAGGAATTTTTGCGATTTTTGCAATTTTCAGGAATTTTTGCAATTTTTGCAATTTTCAGGAATTTTTGCAATTTCTGCAATTTTCAGAAATTTTTGCAATTTTCAGGAATTTTTGCGATTTTTGCAATTTTCAGGAATTTTTGCAATTTTTGCAATTTTCAGGCATTTTTGCGATTTTTGCAATTTTTGCAAATTTCAGGGATTCTTGCAATTTCCAGAAATTTTTGCAATTTTTGCAATTTTTCCGATTTTCAGGAATTTTTGCAACTTTCAGGAAATTTTGAAATTTTCAGGAATTTTTGTGATTTTCGCAATTTTCAGGAGTTTTTGCAATTTTTGCAATTCTCAGGCATTTTTGCGATTTTTGCAAATTTTTCGATCTTTCAGAAATTTTTGCAATTTTTGCAATTTTCAGGAATTTTTGCAATTTTTGCAATTTTCAGGAATTTTTGCAATTTTTGCAATTTTCATGCATTTTTGCGATTTTGCTATTTCCAGGAATTTTCGCAATTTTCAGAAATTTTTCTCATTTTCAGGAATTTTTGCAATTCTTGCAATTTTCAGGAATTTTTGCAATTTCTGCAATTTTCAGACATTTTTGCAATTTTTGCAATTTTTCCGATTTTCAGGAATTTTTACAATTTTTGCAATTTTCAGAAATTTTTGCAATTTTTGCAATTTTCAGGAATATTTGCAATTCATGCAATTTCTGCAATTTTCAGGAATTTTTGCAATTTTTGCAATTTTCAGGCATTTTTGCAATTTTTGCAATTTTCAGGAATTTTTGCGATTTTTGCAATTTTTGCAATTTTCAGGAATTTTTGCATATTTTGTAATTTTCAGGCATTTTTGCGATTTTTGCAATTTCTGCAATTTTTACAATTTTCAGGAATTTTTGCAACTTTCAGGAAATTTTGCAATTTTCAGGAATTTTTACAATTTTTGCAAATTTCAGGAATTTTTGCAATTTTTACAATTTTCAGGAATATTTGCGATTTTCAGGAATTTTTGCAATTTCTGCAATTTTTGCAATTTTCAGGAATTTTTGCAATTTTTGCAATTATCAGGAATTTTTGCAATTTTCAGGAATTTTTGCAATTTTCAGGCATTTTTGCGATTTTTGCAATTTCTGCAATTTTTGCAATTTTCAGGAATTTTTGCAGTTTTTGCAATTTCTGCAATTCTTGCAATTTTCAGCAATTTTTGCAGTTTTTGCAATTTCTGCAATTCTTGCAATTTTCAGCAATTTTTGCAATTTTCAGGAATTTTTGCAACTTTCAGGAAATATTGCAATTTTCAGGAATTTTTACAATTTTTGCGATTTTCAGGAATTTTTGCGATTTTCAGGAATTTTTGCGATTTTCGCAATTTTCAGGAGTTTTTGCAATTTTTAGGCATTTTTGTGATTTTTGCAATTTTCAGGAATTTTTGGGATTTTTGCAATTTCTTCTAATTTCCAGAAATGTTTGCAATTTTTGCAATTTTTCCGATTTTCAGGAATTTTTGCAACTTTCAGGAAATTTTGCAATTTTCAGGAATTTTTGCAATTTTTACAATTTTCAAGAATTTTTGCGATTTTCAGGAATTTTTGCAATTTCTGCAATTTTTGCAATTTTTGCAATTTTTGCAATTTTTGCAATTTTCAGGAATTTTTGCAATTTTTGCAATTTTCAGGAATTTTTGCAATTTTTGCAATTTTCAGGAATTTCTGCAACTTGCAGGAAATGTTGCAATTTTCAGGAATTTTTTCAATTTTTGCAATTTTCAGGAGTTTTTGCAATTTTCACAATTTTCAGGAATTTTTGCGATTTTCGCAATTTTCAGGAGTTTTTGCAATTTTTGTAATTTTCAGGCATTTTTGCGATTTTTGCAATTTTCAGGAATTTTCGGGATTTTTGCAATTTCTTGTAATTTTCAGACATTTTTGCGATTTTCGCAATTTTCAGTTTTTGCAATTTTTGCAATTTTCAGGCATTTTTGCGATTTTTGCAATTTTCAGGAATTTTTGGGATTTTTGCAATTTCTTCTAATTTTCAGGAATTTTTGCAATTTTTGCTATTTCTGCAATTTTCATGAATTTTTGCAATTTTCAGGAATTTTTGCAATTTTTGCGATTTTTAGGCATTTTTGCGATTTTTGCAATTTTCAGGCATTTTGCAATTTTCAGGCATTTTTGCGATTTTCGCAATTCTCAGGAATTTTTGGGATTTTTGCAATTTTTGCAATTTTCAGGAATTTTTGCAGTTTTTGCAATTTCTGCAATTCTTGCAATTTTCAGCAATTTTTGCAACTTTCAGGAAATTTTGCAATTTTCAGGAATTTTTACAATTTTTGCGATTTTCAGAATTTTTGCGATTTTCGCAATTTTCAGGAGTTTTTGCAATTTTTAGGCATTTTTGCGATTTTTGCGATTTTTGCGATTTTTGCAATTTTCAGGAATTTTTGGGATTTTTGCAATTTCTTCTAATTTCCAGAAATTTTTGCAATTTTTGCAATTTTTCCGATTTTCAGGAATTTTTGCGATTTTCAGGAATTTTTGCAATTTCTGCAATTTTTGCAATTTTCAGGAATTTTTGCAATTTTTGCAATTATCAGAAATTTTTGCAATTTTCAGGCATTTTTGCGATTTTTGCAATTTCTGCAATTTTTGCAATTTTCAGGAATTTTTGCAATTTTTGCAATTTTCAGGAATTTTTGCAATTTTCAGAAATTTTTGCAATTTTTAGGAATTTTTGCAATTTCTGCAATTTTCAGGAATTTTTGCAATTTTTGCAATTTTCAGGAATTTTTGCAATTTTCAGGAATTTTTGCAATTTTTGCAATTTTCAGGAATTTCTGCAACTTGCAGGAAATTTTGCAATTTTCAGGAATTTTTTCAAGTTTTGCAATTTCCAGGAGTTTTTGCAATTTTCACTATTTCCAGGAATTTTTGCGATTTTCGCAATTTCAGGAGTTTTTGCAATTTTTGCAATTTTCAGGAATTTTTGCAATTTTTGCTATTTCTGCAATTTCCAGGAATTTTTGCAATTTTTGCAATTTTCAGGAATTTTTGCAATTATTGCGATTTTTAGGCATTTTTGCGATTTTTGCAATTTTCAAGCATTTTTGCGATTTTTGCAATTTTCAGGAATTTGGGAATTTTTACAATTTTCAGGAATTTTTGAAATTTTTACAATTTTCAGGAATTATTCCAATTTTGCAATTTCCAGGAATTTTTGCAATTTATGCAATTTCTGCAATTTTCAGAAATTTTCGCAATTTTCAGGAATTTTTGCAATTTTTGCAATTTTCTGGAATTTTTGCAATTTTTGCAATTTTCAGGAATTTTTGCAATTTTTGCAATTAAAGGGGACACCCTGTATATTATTCCATTTTCAGATTCTCCCTGAAGAGCTGATTGTATTGACCTATTACACTTGGGGTCTAGCAGTAATAAATACAGAGTTATAGGGTGTGAAAAATCGAGATTTTTCAACTAAGATTAATTCTTTGATATTTGGTCAAAACGGTTTCCATGTTCTTATCTCAACTTTTGATGTACTATCAATTGATGTTTAACTGAAATAGATACAGGGTGGTTCAGAATTAAGATTTTTGACCACCCTGTGTCTATTTCAATTAAATATCGATTGATAGTACATGAAAAGTTAAGATAGGGACATGGAAACCGTTTTGATCAATTATGAATAGTTTCGACACAAAAAATTCTTAATGTTGAAATATTTCGATTTTTCACACCCTATATCTTTGATATCATTCCCTCTAACCTAACCTAACCTAACCTAACCTGACCCCAAGTGTGATAGATCGATGGAATTAGACCTTTAGGGAGAATCTGAAAATGAAATGATGTACAGGGTTTTCCATTAAAAAAATCAAAGTTGTTGCTACTTTTCAATGTAAGCGGCAACGTCGCAACGCTGAGAATATTTTAGGTCGATAGAACACAACTAATTATCCAAGACACCAACTTCTCAGAATAATCCTGAGTTGCGTTCTCTATAATAAGACATAACATATAAGTGGAACATTTTCAAGACAATGGGTTTTTAATGGCTATTTGAGAAAATTAGCAATATATAAGTGATTGAGAGTATGAATTATTCGAGAAGTTATTGAATAAATAGTTTTTCTAATACGTCAGTATTTATTTGCGGTAAATTTCTAGCCCTTTGAAAATAATCGTGACAATATTGATGATTCTATAGCACCTTAAAATCCACCGGAAACATCCAAAAAAATATGGAATTGAAAGGTAATTGAGAAAAGATTCTATTTAAGAAATAAAAAAAAAATCCACTCGCCTATTTCAGAATGTTCCAAAAACCCAATGGGCTGAAATCAGTATCAAGGATAATACAGTGCTGTTTTCCCTCGAAAAAAAAAATCACAAGGTAAATTGCTTTCCAGGAGGGTTTGATTCAACAAGTACCTTGCAAAGTGTTCATTGGTAGGTGTACAGAAGACATCAGCTCTGATGATCTCAGAGAATACTTTGGGAAATTCGGAGAGGTCACGGACGTTTTCATACCGAAACCCTTCAGGGCGTTCAGTTTCGTCACGTTCTTAGACCCCGAAATTGCTCAATCGCTTTGCGGAGAAGACCACATAATCAAAGGTGAAACCTACTACACTCGCCGGCGAAACAATTATTGATTCACTAAAAATATCGATGAAGTTTACCGACACTAGTTGTTGCTTTCAAAAAATGTTTGTGTCACCCTGTATAATAAAGACATACAGAGAAGTGCACAAAAAACGGCCAGCATTGTAACTTTTGAATTGATCTAGATAGGGTTTTGAGAATTTGTGGGTAGCAAGTATACCAAATCGCTCATTGATTGATGAAACAATTTCTTCACCATTGGCGTGCAATGTTCAGGGGTACAAGAAAGGCCAGTATTCGGAAAAAGTATATCGAGACTAATTTCAAATAACTGTTTTCATCAGATTCAGAATCAGCATCCCCAAAAACCCCCCAATTCATATTTTCAAAATAACAGTTAATAATGATGCAATTTTTTCGAAAATTTCAAGAAAATCGCATCCTTGATAACTGAGATTTAAGGGTGTAGTCATGGAAAGCAGAATTTTGAAATATTTTATTTTAGCTCTTGGGATCTTGAAAATATGAGTTGGGGGGTTTTTGAGGATGCTGATTATGAATCTGATAAAAATAGTATATTATGTAACAAGTGTTATAAACGTCCTTTTAGTAACGAGCCTAGTGAAAACTGTAGTAGTTGTACAAGAAAACTATAAAAATGAGGAGTGGATGTTCCTTGAATTCCTTTTTAAATTTTTCAATCTTATTAATCAGCTTCAAGTTATTTGGTAGTGAATTGTATTGTATCATTCCATTGTGATAGATGGATTTTTTACCAATATCTGATTTAATTTTCTTGACAGAAAAATGATCTGCTTGTCTAGTTGTATGGCTGTGGTGATTACTATTAATTTGCAAACTTCATCAATATTTTGAGTGGATCATTATGCTTCACGTCTCTTTGAAGCACCCCCGTATCGTGTGTAGTTTTTGAGCTTATACACTGCTCACCGGTGAAATAAAATTGGATTTTGCAGATCTGTAAATTTATCCTCAAAAAACGGCACCGAAATTGTTTAACCTAGCTTGCCTTCTATTAGAATTTTTCGGAAATTTCAGTAACTGGTAAGCAATGTATATCATTTAAGATGAACCCCCAACTTCACTGAGTATATTATCGATATCTTTCCCGCTCCGATTTTCAGTAACCTACTTTAATAATTAAAAAAGATACGAGGGTACTTCTATGAGAAGTGATAATCTCTGTTTGCATTGAAGTACAGGGTGGTATTGTTTGAATGGACCAAATTCGCAAAACTAAGTGTTACATTGGAAATTTCGTATGGACATTTTCAAACTCACTATCGCAGCTGCTTTCGATAGTTTATTGCGATAACTGCAACCAAACTTTCAAAAATCAAAACGTCAACTAATTTCATGTCAAAAAGCTGTCAGCCGATATTTCGCTGCATTTATCAAAACCATATCTACCAAGATTTTCATAGTTACAGTGACAACAACGATGTGAAAATTCCCGGCCTAGTCGTTACCATCCAGACAATAAGGCCTGCATGCTCCGTGGTGACGTCACCTTAGTGAGGCCTAACCAGCGGCTTGAAACGACAAGCGCTTATGGCGCTATAAGGCGACCGCGTATTTCAATTTTAGTTTTAGATCACTATTGAGCCAATTTCGCTGTTTTTTGAAGGGCTTCCGGTTAAAAAAGGATGCCAGTCGTCAACTGAGCCTTCTTCGCATCCCATTCGATTTTATTATGGAAAAACGAAGTTTCAAAGTAAAAACCAGAATAAAACACAAATGGCCGTTTTCAGAAAGAAATTTGAGAATGTATTGAGTTGAAAATGCCCGTTTACTATGAACATTCAAGAAAATTTCCCAGAATTCAGAGACGATTTTGTTGAATATAATATACGAATACAAAACTAACTGCACAATCAAAGCTTTTCTCTTTTTCCTCTACTCTACTCATACTTTTTATGAGAGAGTAATTGTCTTCTATTATTAATTCATCATTATATATTGAGCCCTGTTTACGACTGTACTTAGATGGAGTAAAATCCACGCGGTGAATTGCATATACCCACTTTTTCGATAGTTCCTCGTCCAACGGGAAACTAAGAGCATGAACTTTTGGACCACCCACATAATTCCCCCGACAAAAGGAACACAACACTTGAAAGACATTGTTATTTCGCCTGTCAATCACGAAATATTTCACAAAACAGTAACTTTTTCGCCAATTATTTTGATGAATAAACAATAAGCAAGAAAAGAATTCGGGACCGCTTCAAGAACATACGTGAACCACCGAACATGAATTAGTTAGTCGTTAGTCGACAACACATCCCTACAAGCGATAAAACACTGGCCTCTCTTAGGTGACGTCACGAGCTGTTTACGTCAGAGTCTGTTGGCCTTCTAATCTCGATGGTAACGGCCTAGTCCGGGAAGTACGTTCTCGATTATTTACCTATGCTTACACCAACTGTCACTCCTGAACCGAGTTCGGTCCTGAACAAACCAAACCACCCGGTATACATTTATCTCATTTTCTATTTTTATTTTTCTGACGCATGTGCACTCCACAGGCGTTTCCGTGCACGTGTCGAACGCCGCCCCCAAATCGGACACGCGAGGCGGCGGCGGTGGCGGCGGTTTCAGGGGCGAGAGGGGCGGCGGTGGGGGCGGGCCGCACGGGCCCAGCAGAGGGGGCGGCTCGGGCGGAGGACCGGGGGGGCCGGATGGGGGGCCGCCCGGCATGTACAACCAGAGGTATGCGAGGGGTTGGGGGGGTTATTTAGAGAGGCACTGGTGATTATTCGCCTGGCCTTTTTTTTTAATGGTTTCGTCTCACATTATACAGTGTGTCCCACTTACCATGCTCACCATGGGTATCTTTTTAACAGTGAAAGATACGAGGTCGGTTAAATGACACCAAATGTGGAGTTTGTCAAGGCCAACTATAATGTGAAAAAATATTTTGATAAAATCTATTCGTTTTTGTTTTATACGCAAAAAACAGATTTTGATCATTTTCATATCTCCTCCGTAACTTCTTTATTTATGAAAATATTCAAATAGGAATTTCACATTCTCATGGCAGTTTTTCAAAGTGATTTCGAAAAGAATATGAAATTTATACCAACTCTTCTAGAATTTGAGATATCAGCACCAACTTTAGTTTTTCAAATGTAGGTCATAGCTCACTATGACTTAGTTACAAATAACTTTTTTTTCTCTTACAGATGATATGTCGCAGTAATAGTTTCGAGTTGATAACAACGGAGTTATCGTCATTTATACAAAAACAAAAAATCATTCGGAAGCCGCCCTCTTGAATTTATGAATTTTAACGAAGAAATCATGATCTCCGACCCCAAAAACCCCCTCTTTCCAATTTTGAATGGAATCGGACCAAATCCAATCCAAATTTTTTGATTTCAACAAAAATTCCATAATGTATTGTCACCGAAATTATGAACACCTGCCAAATTTGATCGGAGTTATGGAATTTTTGTTGAAAATAAAAAAAATGGCTGCTCCAAGATGGCGGACAAGATTTGGTCCGATTCCATTCAAAATTGGTAAGTGGGGGTTTTTGAGGTCGGAGATCATGAATTTCCTGTTAAAATTAATAAATTTAAGATGAGGGCTTCCGAATAATTTTTTGTTTTTGTATAAATGACGATAACTCCGTTGTTATCAACACAAAACTATTACTGCGACATATCATCTGTAAGAGAAAAAAAAGTTATTTGTGACTAAGTCATAGTGAGCTATGACCTACATTTGAAAAACTAAAGTTGGTGCTGATATCTCAAATTATAGAAGAGTTGGTATAAATTTCATATTTTTTCGAAATCACTTTGAAAAATTGCCATGAGAATGTGAAATTCCTATTCGAATATTTTCATAAATAAAGAAGTTACGGAGGAGACATGAAAATGATCAAAATCTGTTTTTTGCGTATAAAACAAAAACGAATAGATTTTATCAAAATATTTTTTCACATTATAGTTGGCCTTGACAAACTCCACATTTGGTGTCATTTAACCGACCTCGTATCTCTCACAGTTAAAAAGATACCCATGGTGAGCATGGTAAGTGGGACACACTGTATATGGCAGCATTCAGTAGTCATGGAGAATATGTCATTAGAAAGATTTCTGAAAAAATGTACTTAGAATTGCAAAAGCATTGTCCATGTTTGCTAGAGTAACAATTTACAATTCTATTATTAAACCTGACTTTGACTATTGTGCAACAGTAATTTACTTTTTTTTTTGGGAAAATCACGTGAGATCAATTGCTAAAAGTGCATCCCAAAAATTTGGTTTTCTGTTTCGGGCCAGGAGCTATTTTATTTCCAGTCAGCTAGACCTGTCCTTAAACACATCACCCAAACATACCCTGAAACTGTTGGATTCTGTCCAAAAAAGGGCAATTCGTCTCGTGGGTGATGTCTCGCTCATAAACTCACTCACTTCTCTGGAACACCGCAGAAAAGATGGCGATCTGGCTATCTGGCTCTATTTTATAGATATTTTCATGGACGATGCTCTTCTGAAATATCAAGAATTGTTCCTCCATTGGCAGTCCCCGCGAGATTAACCCGTCGAGTTGAGGCTTCGCACCCCTTCGTGGTCACTTTGGAGACCTGCAGAACATCTCTTTCCAAAGTCTCGTTCATCCAACGAACAGCGAGGCTCTAAAACACAGTGCCAAGGGAGGTGTTCCCCGAGAAGAACACCAATTCCTACTTTATATTCCTTGGTTCTCACGATGAACTCTGAACATTACAGGATATCCCTTTTCGTAGAAATAATTGTTTCACTCCCTTGATTCTTGATTATTTGCCCTGACAATAAAATACTTTCATACAATTAAACATGTATGTATCGATAAAAACATTATCTCTGTAATCACCCGCGTGAGGTGTAGTATGCCTTCTGTTTCTGTTTTTTTGAAAGTTGAATTTTCTGTAGGTACAACGGTACTGGGCCCAATCAGGGCGGATGGGGCAACCAAGGGGGCCCTAGGGGGAACATTGACATGCCGAACTTGCAGGCTTTAGGTGAGTGTTGATGTTTGTCTTGAGGTTTTTATGGTATAGGTGTTTGTAGGGATGAGAAAATACACTGAAAGATATAAGGTTCCATCCACCACCAGCAATGTTTTTCAATCATCATAGTGCCGTAGAACTGAGGAAAACATATCGCCGTCATAACAAGTTTAAAACACAATTCTTGAATATTATTCAAGGTTAGGTTAATGTATTCTGAATTTCCACTGATCTATCAAGTTTCGGGAATGTTCGGGAATGTTCATCAACAGTCTGTGATCCTAGCTAGAGTTGCTAAATGTACTTGACACTGCTGTTTTGACATTGTATATAGGTCGCGTGCACGAAGACCGACCCTGGAGGCAAAATATTCAAACACAACCTCATTCTTCTGTGAATTATTGAAACACAACCTCACTTTTTTATTTGGTTACAGAGGAATCAAAAGGTTGAAATAGTTTTTCACAATATTTTGGCATACGAATCGTGTTTCTTGCGTTATTCATTAATTCAAGCATGCCTTCGCATTGTGCTGTTGTACGATGCACAAAAAATGCAGCAAGAGACTAAGGAATATGATTTTTCAGGTAAATAGTAATCTCACATAGTTAGCATTATGAAATGTTGTCATTCCTTATTAAAATTCCTTCTGCCTTCTGCCACTTCTGCAATACAAGCTAATGCTGCTAATAGATTGAAAATGTCTACAACACACACGATCGTCAGCATGTCAGACCAGTCCTGCTACTGATTGATTGCATGAATCCAATCTTCTTGCATTATATTCTAGAAATTTCAGGTATATTTCTATTAGCTGATCCTATTGCAGAAGGAATTCCGATGAGAAATCAGAGAAATAACCAAATTTCAAAAATGAAAACTATGTGAGTGACTATAGTAGGTACTTACTTTTGAATCATAATGTACCATCCGAATTTCTTCACCTTCTGCTGCAGTTTTTGTGCATTTTACAACAGCACAATGTGATGGCATTAGCGAATTGATGAATAGCAGAAAAATACGATTCATATGCCAAAATAATTGTGGAAAACTATTTCGATCACTTGTAAACAAATATGTTTTGCCTCCAGGGTCGGTCATCTGACAGTTCTTGCACGCGACCTATTAGAGTACGGACACTAGACAAGCAGTGACAATCAAACATAACCACAAACGATTTTGAAGCAAATCACATGTGTTGCCAGATAAGGATAAGAATATGTTTTTCGCTTGGATAAAGGATCCTCGCATCTTCCTTCCTCCACAAGTCCTGGGAAGAGTACATCCATATATCTTTCTCTGTCTTTAATTGTAGTATGAGAGTGCAAAGCGTCTCCTCGAGTGGGTAAAAGGGTACGATAAATTGATTAGAAAATTATTTCTTCTCGAAATATTGAATGATAAGGCTGAAGGACCTCAATGGAGGTCGATATCAAGTTGAAATGTACATATATACCAACGAAATACATCTATTCCTTTGAAATAAGTCTCTTATATGTAGGTATATATTGGAATAAGGTTCTTTTCAATACTCGCTCAGTTTATAAATTGTGGGTTCGGCTCTTTCTCTCAATAGGATCCTATTCTTCAACATTGAGTCTTCCATTCTGAAGTGTACCTGATAAAAATGCGTTGAAAAATGTTCTATATCCTACCAACAAATGTGAATACCTCGCAAATTTTGTGGCCTGAACCTATTTTCCACGCCGGCCTCATCATATTCTTCCATTTTTGTAGAATTATGTTATCCGATGTAAATTCGAATAGAGTGAATTGATTTCCCGTGTTCTCACAGTTGGAAAATGCAAAAACTTGCATCGTTCTCCTAATTCTCTCAATTTGTCAAACCTTTGGAATTTATGTTATTTACGTCCATAGTGGAAGGAGAAGATGGTGTGCCTACGCGCATATTATGTGACGTCATCTGGGATACCAATATCAGCTGCTAGTCACAGACAGATACCGTTGCCATGGGCGTGCGCAATGAATTCAATCATGTTTATTGAAATTTCTATAAGTTTCTCGATCTGTTTAGAAATAATTCAATTTATATAAACAGGTACCTATTCCTTCGATTTTACTATTTCATTGATTCTGGAAATTGTGATCTTGAGGTAATTCGCAATCACGAATAGCAAATACATACGAATTATCATGCATTGCCAATCCCATCTGAATGATCCACTACTGTGTCGATTCTGACAGATTAAAATTCAGCAGTTAACGACGTTGACGTTGCTTCTGCTCCGACATCGACAACAGGAGTATCAATTTTTGCCGTTTTGTAATTCAAATCCTTGCTGCAATTTATATTTTGTGAGATATGAAGAGTTTTGAATTCATTTTCAGTTATTTATGACTTGATATTCAGAAGATGTTCTGTAGGAATGGCATCTTGTTCAAAATATTCGTGATTTTTTGGAAGTGTGTAATTCAAGAACCGTACTTTCGCACTTGTTTGGGAACATTTTGCATGGAAATGTTTTGAAGAAATACGTGATGTAATATGAATGTGATGATAATATGATAGGTATGAATACTTTGGAATGAGGATATAAGGAATATAAGGTAGGTACCATTATTTGAGTTTATATTCTGTCGGCAGCAAGCTCCCATCGTTTCATTTGGTCTCCATTCTTGGAAAAGCAGAAAAATTCAATATCTGTGCGTTTTGTATGTTAGTTGGAATTTCCATAACCAGAAACGAAATAAGTGGGGATTTCGAAATTATTTCATTCAATTTAAGTACTTATATAAATATCTAAAGTTCGAGACATCAATCACGAAAACAAATAATATCAATGACAGTTACATCCCAGCTGACGTCATGCGCAGAACAAGACGAGTTTGAGCTTTCTGTTGAGCACACCATCGTGTACTGTCAGTTCTCGCTTTTTCCATCAATTTATTTGTGGTTATGTCTGATAGTCAGTGCTTGTCATAGTGTCCATACTCTGATATACAAAAAACGTCAAAGCAGCAGTGTCAAGTACATTTAGGAACTCTAATTCTAGCTACTTATCTAGCTGTTTGTGATATAAGGTTATGAATCTGTTATCTCTTGTCTCTTTCTATGTCTTTGAACCATACAGTAATGGTAGTCTAGAGCTGGTGATGGAAAACTATGTTTAATAGACTTCTACCACGGATTGATGATGATGATGATCAAAACAAATGTTCAGTGTGTTTTCTCAATACCCAATCATTAGGTGATGGTGGCATGCGAATTTAACCTCATCCTTTTCCACCCCTTAGTCAACCTCCTAACCCCAGCCTCCTTCTTGAATCGAACGAATCCTCAGAGTGCGAAACCAGCAGCAGGTAATTGCAGTGAAAAAATGTTCAGAAACGCCAATCATGGAAAATTATGAATGTTTTCAGGTGGTGCAAGAAGGGGTGGATATAATATGTGAAAGAAAAAGTGACTGGGGTGGTGTGGCATCATCGATTTTTTCGTACTGCTGTTTCATGTTTTTTTTTTCGGAGTATTGATTGTGTTGAAGTAGAGAAAATAATTGCGTCTTCATACTTTGTTCATAGCATAGTAGTAAAATATTTTTGATTAGTATATAGCTCTTACTTCTCTGCATTTCAAGATGATTTGACGTTATGTTATCCTTTTTATCCTGTCCTATCCACAACTGCAATTTTTGTAGGTTAATATAGCAATCATGTTTTTTAGTTTGTCATCAACAGTTCACAAAATTAATAAATAAGGATAGGTCGAAAAATCAACTTCTTTTGGCAAATATTTCGATATCTTGCAAAATTTCCATGCTTCATGGAGTGAAATAGGTGATAGTGACAAGAAAAACTACAATAAAACATTAAAATCATTACAGGGTGAGTAGAAAAAGTGATTTTGGGTTGTGAATAAATATTCATGAGAGACAGATCAAAAAAATAAATACAGGATGTTCGGGAAAATCCAGGAAATCTCTCGAATTTAGATAGATTTTGAAATAATTAAGTTCCTATAAAATTTGAAATATTTTTATAAATACCTTTTTCCTCTCCCTATGTTCCCTATTTTCCACGAACACAATAGGGGTTTCCTCCCGTCCGCTTTAATGGTTTAAAAAAAGAGAATTATCATTACTAAAGGGCATTAATCCTTTCCCTAATATTCAAATGGACTGCTAAGACGCAGTGGATTAACTTCAATAGACAATTGACAACAGACCTTAAAGAGATCTTTGAGTGCTCTCTATTTAGCGTGTATTAGTGAATCTTTGACATGTTCTCAATGATTTTCTTACATCTTGACAAGAAATTTGCAATAATCATTCGATAATTGGATCATTAGCTAGCGCAGTTTTCAGTGCTCTCATTCACAAAATCAACATTCATTTTTTCCTGAAGTAAAGTTGAGTGATTGCAGCCATACGATTTCAAAATTTCCGCCTCATTTAACTGCTTACATGTGCTGTAACGATCTTGGACTTTCTGAGAGATGCAAATATATTGCCCTCCCTGTTCAATACTATCGTATTTTCCACGCAAAATAATGTAATATCTTCTCAATATTGATTCGCCCTTTCTTCTTTCATAGAAAATGATAGTATATTATACACGGGAAAAATATTAGATTTTAGCTCACGGTTTTTTGTCTCCCTCCGCTATGCGTCGGGAGACAACTGGAGCTAAGATCTGCTACTTTTTTCCCTTGTACAATAAATAACTATTGCTGGGTCGCGATTTTACTAAATATACTGCACGCTAGCACAAACCACGCCCACCATAATACGTCATATCTCCAAACATTACCGATATACTCGGAGTCAGCACATCGCACTAAATATACTGTGCTCCAACGCAAGAATACACTTTTTATGATTTTGACACGAATTCGACTGAAGCTCTCTCGTTGTCAATCTCTTGTACGCAGTAAATTCATACACCCAAATGGTCTACTGGTTAGCGCTGTCGACTTTCAGTCTGAAGGTCCATGGTTCGAATCGCTGTGAACTTGAACTTTTTTGTGCTACTTTTTTTTTTCACCAATGTTTTTTTACTTCATTCTGGTTTTCCTTCTTCATAAAATATTTGAAGTCAAATAGGTTAGTGCGTTTAGGATAAACAGTCTCATTTTATTCAATTTTGTTGAAGAACTCAACTTTTGAAATATATTATTAATCAATGTGTTTCTACACTCCATTCGGTTTTCCTTCCTCAAAAATATTGCAATCAGGGATAGGTTAGTTCGTTGAGGATAAATAGTCTCTGAGTTTTGCCTAAGTAAAGTACTTTGAAGATGAGATATAACGGTGGGCGTGGTATGTGCTAGCGTACAGTATATTTAGTAAAATCGCTGCTGGGTCAGCAAGTAGTTGATATAAGCGATTAGCAGTCCATTTCTGAATGGTCCAAGGACCTTCAACTTCCTAAGTGCATTCCACCTAACATCCCCGCTTTTGCTTTCAACAAAAAAACAACTAACCTCTAACCCAACCACGGACCGAATCTCTCCCACCGATGTCGAAAAAGAACGTCTCCATCCGCACATTTATCCCACTTAGGTATCACAGGTCAGGGCCAGCAGGGCAACAACCAGGCCAACTGCAATCCTCTAGGCTTGGGCCTGAACGCGCTGGGCGCCCTGCCGATGAATCCGGCCCTGGTGGCGGCCGCGCTCAACCAGGCCGGCTGGGGCCTGATCGGGAATCTGCAGACGCAGCCCGAGCAGAACTTCAACCAGGGCTTCGGCAACGGGCCCAACAATGCTAACCGTAAGTGTTGTTATCACGTGAAACTTTTGAGTAAAAAATTGGCGTCTGGGTATGCATTGCGGATAGTGTCTTATCATAAACGCTGGTGTTCCGCAAGGATCAATTCTAGCACCAACACTATTTCTACTCCATATCAACGATTTGTTGGAAGCAACTTCATGTCCAGTACACAGCTTCGCGGTTGATAGTACCCTCCATACCGCCTTCTCTTCCAGGGCTCCAATACCAGCCAGGCAAATCAGAAACGAACGAGGAAGAAATGTTGACAACATAAATATGGACTTGGCAACAATTCTCGAAGGGGGATCCAATAACTTGGTAGATTTCAATGCAAACAAAACACAAGCATGCCTTTTTCTATAGAAAAGCCGATCTCACTGTGCCCAACATAAGCTTGTCAGGAGTAACCATACCATTGAAGACATCCATTTCGATGCTTGGGATTACTATCAGCAATAACCTTTCTTGGGATAATCACGTGAGATCATTTGCTAAAAGTGCATCCCAAAAACTTTTCTGTTTTGGGCCAGGAGCAATGTCACTTCCACTCAGCTGCTCATGATCTATAAGGCACAGATCCGACCTGTCCTGGAATACTGTTCCCATATTTGGAGTGCAGCACCCAATCATACCCTGAAACTGTTGGATCCTGTCCAAAAAAGGGCAATTCGTCTCGTGGGTGCCTCGCTCACAAACTCACTCACTTTTCTGGGACACCGTAGAAAAGTTGGCGATGTGGCTCTATTTTATCAACAATTGTTCCTGCATTGGCAGTCCCCGCGAAATTAACCCGTCGAGTTGAGGCGTCGCACCCCTTTGTGGTCACTTTGGAGACCTGCAGAACATCTCTTTCCAAAGACTCATTCATCCAACGAACAGCGAGGCTCTGGAACATATTGCCAAGGGAGGTGTTCCCCGAGGCATATAACCTCCAGAAATTTAAGAAGAACACCAATTCCTACCTTATTTCCCTTGGTTCTCACGATGTTCTCTGGACATTACAGGATATCCCTTTTCGTGGGAATCAGAACATAAAAAAAAGAGAACTAGGCATGGCCACGTCCAAATTAGTATACTATGACCATAATCAGCCCAGTAGGACAGATAATTTTTGAGATATCGGTACTCAAAATCAGCTTTTCGCTCTCTTTGCCAATAGGAGCACTCCGGTAGACTAATACGTCTCTATTTTTCGAAATTTCCCGATTTCCACCACTGATTTGTTCATTTCAATATCCAGTGTGCCAGAAAACGGCAGAAATTCACGAGAATCTTCGCTTTTCCAGTAGAAAATGACATGCTGAATCGAATGAGACCATAATCAGCCCCGTAGGACAGATAGTTTTTGAGATATTGGCGCTCAAAGTCAGCTTTTTGCTTTTTTTGCCAATAGGAGCACTCCGGTAGGCTACTACGTCTCCATTTTTCAAAATTTCCCGATTTCCACCACAGATTCGTTCATTTCGATATCGAATCAGTCTATGTGAATTTTTCCAGATTTTTAATAGGCCAAATAAAAATTTTCATTTTCCCACCTAACACTTCAGTACGATATAGTCACCGAGCGATCTTCGGACGGCCGAAAGTGCCAGAAAACGGCAGAAATTCACGCGAATTATCGCTTTTCCAGTAGAAAATGACCTGCTGAATCGAATGAGACAGTTTTTGAGATATCGGCGCTTTTTGAGATATTGGCGCTCAAAGTCAGCTTTTCGCTTTTTTTGCCAATAGGAGCACTCCGGTAGACTACTACGTCTCTATTTTTCAAAATTTCCCGATTTCCACCACAGATTCGTTCATTTCGATATCGAATCAGTCTATGTGAATTTTTCCAGATTTTTGATTGGCCAAATAAAAATTTTCATTTTCCCACCTGAGACTTCCATACGATATAGTCACCGAGCGATCTTCGGACGGCCGAAAGTGCCAGAAAACGGCGAAAATCCACGCGAATTATCGCTATTCCAATGAAAAATGACACGCTGAATCGAATGAGACTATAATCAGCTCCATAGGACAGATAGATTTCGAGATATCGGCGCTCAAAGTCAGCTCTTCGCTTTTATTGCCAATAGGAACACTCCGGTAGGCTACTACGTCTGTATTTTCCAAAATTTCCCGATTTCCACCACAGATTCGTTAATTTCGACATCGAAATAGTCTATGTGTCTATGTTGATTCCTTCAAATTTATAATAGGTCAAATGAAAATTTTCATTTTCCCACCTAAGACTTCAGTACGATATAGTCACCGAGCCATCTTCGGACGGCCGAAAGTGCCAGAAAACGGCAGAAATTCACGCGAATTATCGCTTTTCCAGTAGAAAATGACCTGCTGAATCGAATGGGATCATAATCAGCCCAGTAGGACAGTTAATTTTTGAGATATCGGTACTCAAAGTCAGCTTTTCGCTTTGTTTTCGCACTCCGGTAGACTATTACGTCTCTATTTTTCGAAATTTCCCAATTTCCACCACAGATTCGTTGATTTCGACATCGAATTAGTCTATGTGAATTTTTGTCAGATTTTTAATAGGCCAAATAAAAATTTTCATTTTTCCACCTAAGACTTCCATACCAAATAGTCACCAAGCGATCTTCGGACGGCCGGATAAATCTTAAAGTATTCACTATGCATATACAGACCGAAAATATAGGATTATTGAAATTCATAGAATTAGTACAATTTAGGAAATGAACGAAAGGAAGAGTGCATATTTATATAATATTGATATCACAGAACGGGGATGAGGATACAATGCTTGATGCTAGGTAAATGAACAATCTCTGTTGTATACAGAGGCGGTTATGAATGATTACCCTGTGTTTCATGTTATTCATGTTGTCTTTTTTGAATTCATCCGGCATACTGAATTTTGGCACCATGAAAGCTTATACATCCTGTATCTCAAAGCTTTTGTCATTGCTTTTACATCAAGCCCTTCAATTGTAAAATTTCAATGCAGAGAACAGCCAAAACGGCAGCGGCAGAGGCAACAACCCTGGCTTCCTGAACTGGATGAGCCAAGGGGGCGGCGGGGGCCAGGGCCAGGGTCAGGGCCAGGGTGGCAGCCAGAACAACCCCGATGGCGGACAGTGGAACCGAAACGCGCCGCAGGGCCAAGACAAGGGTTTCCTCAAATACGACTAAATGCAGTGATTCTTCCAAAGGTAATGAACATTTTCAATCAAACAATTGAAGTTTTATAATTAATCTGGTGTCCCCCAAGGAACTGCTTTAGGTCCCATTATATTGTTTCAATTCTATACAGTAGCGGAGAGGTGAATATTTTTTCTAAAATTTCCCGACATACGTTAACGAAGTATTTACCTACCTTTTGCAAGCAATATCGAGAATATATCCCTCCAGGGGTAGCTGAAACCACCCTCAACATGATTTTTTCAAATATAACCCTATGGCTTGTGACCCCTCATTGGAAAGCTGGTGGAAAGAGGAATCCTGCGTGCTAGTCAAATTTCAGTTTTTCATACGTTCAAAGGTTGCATAAAATTGAAATGTAATTTTAAAATTGATCTTTTTTTCAACGTATCAATCGCTCAAAATGTGTGTTGAACAATAGGGTGTGAAAATTTTACACTAGAATATATTTTTGTTCCATTACTCATATGTATAGATTTCGAATTATACATCCGAAAAACATTATTAAGCACCGAATATTTAATAATTTCTGATTGAAAATCATAATATTTGCAACTTTCCGACCAACAGCCGAACTGCAGCGATGATTTCCGACTGGATGTGGCTGTTTTTATTTGTCATGTCAAACATTCATGTCCGAAAGATTGAAAATAATATAAGAAGAGAAAGTGAGGTTATGATTATCTGAGCTTGTAGTTTCTATAATCTATCTCAATTATATGATCTCAATATTCTGAATGATAATAACTGAATAATAAGCAAATATCTACAATAAGAATGATCAAACAGGACTTCTTTTTGCATGTTGTTTCAAATATATATTACCACCTATCAATTTATATCTCAAATAGTTTTCCATATCTTCTTCAAGCTGAAAACGAAATCACATATTATATTATATTCTCCTAATAACATGAGGAACATAATCATTGATATATAATGGGTTTCACTAGGACATACTTGAACGTATACTCACTTTGAAATGGTCTTCACAAACAAATCCTCTGGTTTTCTCGGATAAATCATTTCTATTTATTTTCATTTCTTTATTTTTATCACTCGATCCCACTGGCAATGAAAGGAATATTTTTCCTGGTGATACTTTTGTTGATGAAAGGCTTTGCGGCACTAAACAGTATTTGGTATAAACATCATTTTCCATTTTCAAATTTCTGGCGTTTAAAACTGTTTTCTTCTCCTACCTCTTCTTCTTCTTTTTTTTTCAATCTGAATCTTGTCATTCTGTCGCGCTAGTCTATGGCTGTGCGGCCTAATACTATGACGTCATAATATTAGTGATGGCCACTAACCCGTTTTCCTGTGACTTCATATTTAGCCTCATTTAAATGAAATTATTTAGAGTCACAAGCAAATTTGAGATTAATGAATGATATCCAATGTTATTATAAGGAAGAAGGAATATAATTTCGATTAAACAAAAAATCATGCGTATTCCTTGATGACAATTTTTTTACACAACTGCTATCTGCTATTGTATTCCAGTGTTTTTATAGAGTCACAAAAAAGAAATTTTGCTTTTTTGCCGTATTCGCGGTTCGAAACGAAGTGTTTATTGCAAACTGGTGGAGATGCCATATATCACTGTCACTAAAAGTCGAAATTTTTATGAAAATACGTTAAAAATATATCAAACTTATGTATTATGTAACGGTACTATGAACATAATTCCCAATGTTATTTCCATACAAATTTCAATGGATTGAACTAAATTGAAAAATATCTACTTTCTCAATATATGCCACACATATATCTCCGGACAACGATTGCTACGAACATCTCAAGTGTTTTGTATTCCCCTAGCCACCGTTCCTATTGTTTTATCATTTCTGAATATAATTATTTGAAAAAAAAGAAAAATCTTTGGATGATTTGTCATGATGCAACATGATCAAGTTTCTGCATGTAAAATTCCGAAATTCTATCAATATATAGTTAGCATATGTGCTTGTTTTATATTTCAAAGAACGCACTTGATGTTCTTTGATGCGGTGGTTAAAAATTTTACATGTCTGACCAATATATGCCTCTGAACAAGATCCACAGTTCTGTTTGTATAACCTGTACAACCTTGTGTAATTTCGAATATATGTAGATTTACATAGAGTAACTCCACCAATCAGAAATTTAGAATTATTCCCATTTCCATAGTAACCAATTCATATTGTTACTACTAAAGAAATAATCGCATCAAATACAATTCGAATTTCAAAGTATTCAAGGTTATACATCTCAAACTTCCTGCATAATTACAAAACGTGTCACTTCAACAGAATAATCCTACCTCTTCGCGGTCGGATTATTTCAACTGTTATACTTACAGTCTTTGTGATTATTCAACAAGTTATCAACGTATACATATCCCGAAAATTTTGAATTACTCATAATATTACTACTGATTATTGTTTCTGATATTCTGATGGTAGTACCTACGATCAGAAACAATAATCAGAATTGACCTATTTCAGATCATCAGCTGAAAAATTAACTTTATTTTTTCATAAACAAGAGTTGAGAGCTGCTTTTAGAATTGATAACACGTTGTGAAAGTCAAAAATAATGAAGAAAAACATCTCAATTTGAAAAATCAGGAGTAAATAAACTGAACAGTGGATCTTGTCCTAAGGTATACATTGGTCAGACAGGCAGAACGTTCAACTACCGCATTCACGAACATTGAATGAGTTTTAACGATTAACTCGACCTCAAATTTCTTCTGTTTTTGAATTTGGTTACGTTCAATTTATTGAACATTTTGTGGAAATGACTTCCAAGTTTTTCACTCTCTGTTTCAAAAGAAACGCCATTGATATGAAATAATTTTTTTTTAGAAAAACTGCTAGAGGAGAGGAAGCAAAAGATTCTGAGCGTTCACTTGGATTTACCTGCAACTTGTTTTATTTTATTTTTACAGTTTTACTTTAGACACAACCTCTAAAACAACTAGAAATTGGGCGCCGTTTTTGAATGTGCAAAAATATTTTAGTTACATTTTCTGTAAGAATGTGATATCCTGTTTTTGGGGTTGCGCCTAATCATGTTTAGTGAATATTATAATTAAGTTAGATGAAATATGGCTTAATGTGAGAAAGTGTGTAGAGATATAAGAGTAAATGGAAAGATTGTTGTCAATCTTAGTGAAATGTAGATCAAGCCTGATCAATATATGTATGAGAATGAACTATTTATTTTAGTTTCATTAACCCCAAATATAGGAACACTCTTGGAAAAAAAAACGAAAAAGTCTTCATAAATTATTCAATCAAAGTTCTATGAATTTGATGCTATAGAGAGTAAAATCCAAATATGGTGCAAGAGGCTGTAGTTTTCTGAACTCTATGTGAAAGAAAAGAATTCTTTCCTTTCTAAAATTGTAGTTGGAGTTGTCATGAGTGTAAAAAACTTCACAAACGATATGATTCTCACAAAAAATAGTTATTTTTGTATCTAGAGCGCGAAATGATACTTTGGTGATCGAGATCTGATTTTTTTAACGAGGCGTAGCCGAGTAAAAAAATAGTCGAGATGACCAAAGTATTTCGCGCTCGAGTTGCAAACAACATTTTTTCTACAAACGTCAAAAAATATAGTTCTGAAGTAAAAATATGCTTAGCTCGATATAAAAAATAGTGTTGAACTGGCTTAAAAGGCCTCCCCCTATCCTCCCTAGATACACACGATGTTCCACGAACATAATAGGAATTTCCTTTCGTGCGATCCAAGAGATGAAACAAAGTTATTGTAGAACATTCAGAAATAAATGAATTCGTGGATGTTTGCTCGATTGAGGACCATAAAGCTGAAATATAAATATTTCATATATTTTACATAACAATGCGCGAAGTAGGTACTTCGCGCACTGTTTTACTTCACGCATTGTTTTGTGCAAGGTATCATGGTAACGTAGGAAACTGAAAAAAGTGTCACTTCGCAATTTGTTATCAATGCGCGAACCTTGTCATTTTATGACGTTTGTAGAAAAAAATATTTTAAGAATACTTATCGAGAATTTCGCGAAAATCTTCTATTATGGATTTCCATCAAGTATTAACGGCCGAGTCAATTGAAAAGTTGATGAGTTATCCTTTTCAAGAATGCGGGTTCTGTGCTTTGTTCTATTGTAGAGAAATTTGTGGAGCGTGTTTGTTGTGATAAACGAATAAAGTGTTTGATCAATAATTTTGCAGAGCAGTGTTGGAGAGAATGGTAAGTTCTTGTGCAAAAATTGTATGATTCTGAATATATTATTGGTCAAAACGACTCACATGTCATATCTTAACTTTTGATTTACTATTTACTGACATTTAGTTGGTACAAATTCCTCTGGTGGTTCAAGGTTCAGAATTCTGATCACCCTGTATTTGTTCCAATTATTAAATGTCAGTAGATAGTAAATCATTAGTTGAGATAGAGATTTGAAAGCCGTCGTTTTGACCAATTATAAATAGTTTCGACACGAAAAAAGTTGAAAAATCTCGATTTTGAACACCCTATATCTCTGTATAGTCATTCCCGCTAGACCCCCAAGTGTGATATATTGATGAAATCAGCTCTTCAGGGAGTTCCATTCAAAAAAATCAACAAGTACCCTGTAAATCGTTTTATCCGGGCACCTTGTATTTTTTTATGTAGTGGGAAAAAATTGATCAAAAATCAAAAATAATTGAGCTAGGACCATTGGCGAATCACCCTGTACATTGGAAATGATGTAAAATCACAAAAACATTCCGTTATGTATAATGTCATAGACTTTCCATCAGAAAAACATTGAAAACATAAACATATACAGGGTGAGTCACTCGGTGAGTCATAACTATTCGTTTTATTGGGACATAGAATAAGGGCGGATAGTTTTGACCAAAATATGGCGATAGGATCCTAATAAAGATATTGCTGTGGAAAATGATACAGGGCGTCAATCGAAAGAGTACTGACTAAAAACTCGCACCAAAATCTACCTATTCACTGACAAAAAATGATGTATTTGAAATCCCCTTCCAAGACTTTGAACTGTTCGATTGCGGATGAATATATCGTGTTTGAATACCAATATTACGTAGAAATGATGTTTCTGTCATATTTTCTAATCAAAATCACTAGAAAGTTTCGTCAAAAAATGTCCCCAGTCGATTTTAACATCAGGATTCATTCACGTGGCGCCATCTGTAACAATAAGCTGTAGAATTATACATAAAAAACTCGTAAAATGACATTCCCTGTGACCCTGTATAAAGTTATGCCTCTGTGCCGATTTGAAAACAGTTAATGAATAAAAAACTAAAAAAAAAATCAAAGGACCCCGCACTTTTAGTACGTAAAATGGTTCTCGGTGAAATTTTCTGAATTTTCAGTATGTTGTAGAATTCGATGAACTGATTGAACCTGCGGAATCGTAAAGTTCTTTGATGAACAGATTCTGAGATACAGGGCGTTGAAGTTATAAATCGGTATTTTTCATTTAATTATTTTCTCGAAATTCAAAGATGCCAAGTACAATTTTTTTCGCTCATATCATCAACGAACCTTCATATTACTCAACATAATTCAGATGGTTCGGATAATGTAATTGTTTACAGAGTGAAACATATAAACATTTCAGTGATGTCTGAAAATTCGATGTAATAATGAAATATCGAAAAAATAATTTAGGCATGCAATATACTATTCTCATTCCATCATGAATCACAATTCATACATTTCATACAGGGTGATTTGAAAAATTGGTGACACCTAAGACCGATTAATTCATACACATCCTGTATATTCGAGTGAATTGTTAACCTCCCAAGATAGCTGATACCGTATGAACATGATGTCGTTGAGATATATAGGGTGATCATGAAGATTTTCGATGATGAAAATGACAAAAAATCGTGTTTTTTGAAATCACCCTGTTATTCATGATTATCTCGGTGAAATTCCCTAATTATTTTTTAATATATTCATCATTCTCTCCTCAACGCCGTCCTGAAAATTCAGTTTCCCATCATGACGGGTGTCATAGTTATGGATTCAGGAACTTACCATTTGCATGAAGAGTTGAAGAGACCTGTTCACTTATATTCGCTAGTGGCCGATATTTTTCACAAATAGTGAAACGTGAGAATGTGGAGATGAAAATGAGTTTAGTATTAATATACAGGGTGAACATTAGAAATTCAATAACAATAGCAGATATATGAATTTGATAATATTAATATAATGTACAGATAGTTAGGCGAATTTCGTTGGTATACAAGCTCTGCCAAAATGGGCCTTCATAGATCATTTATGTTACACTTGATCTCCACATTCTTACGTTTCACTATTTGTGAAAAATCTCGGCCACTTGTCGAATGTAAATGAACAAGTTTCTTCAAGTCTTCATAAATTGATGAACAATAGATTCCACAAAGGGAATATTCTAAGTTACAACACCCAATCTGAAATCAATCAGTAGCCGCGTGACAAGTTCAGTATTTTTTTGTCATTATGTCCCGTACAACACCTTCTCATATTTATCTCTGCTATTTCGGAAACATCCAGTATAATAGGATTATTTATATAACACCATCATACGTATTGAATTATATCATTGGAATGTGATATGAATATGAATCTAATGATATTATAATAATTACTGATAACAAGCAAATATGAAAATAATGGAAACGCCTGATTCTGAGTGAAAAACAAATGTGAAAAAATCTGTCGATTCCAGGATTCAACTCACCCTATTGGAAATGAAAGCGTGAAAGACCGAATCATTCTCCCATCTCCTAGGTATTGTTCGTTTTTCATTTTGGCAGAGCTTGTATACCAACGAAATTCGCCTAACTATCTGTACATTATATTAATATTATTAAATTCATATATCTGCTATTGTTATTGAATTTCTAATGTTCACCCTGTATATGAATACTAAACTTATTTTCGTCTCCACATTCTCACGTTTCACTATTTGTGTGTCTCTTCAACTCTTCATGCAAATGGTAAGTTCCTGAATTAATAACTATGACACCCATCATGACAGGAAACTGAATTTTCAAGACAGCGTTGAGGAGAGAATGATGAATATATTAAAAAATAATTAGGGAATTTCACCGAGTTAATCATGAATAACAGGGTGATTTCAAAAAACACGATTTTTTGTCATTTTCATCATCGAAAATCTTCATGATCACCCTATATATCTCAACGAAATCATGTTCATACGGTATCAGCTATCTTGGGAGGTTAACAATTCACTCGAATATACAGGATGTGTATGAATTAATCGGTCTTAGGTGTCACCAATTTTTCAAATCACCCTGTATGAATTGTGATTCATGATGGAATGAGAATAGTATATTGCATGCCTGAATTATTTTTTCGATATTTCATTATTACATCGAATTTTCAGACATCACTGAAATGTTTATTTGTTTCACTCTGTAAACAATTACATTATCTGAACCATCTGAATTATATTGAGTAATATGGAGGTTCGTTGATGATATGAGCGAAAATAATTGTACTTGGCATCTTTGAATTTCGAGAAAATAATTAAATGAAAAATACCGATTTGTAACTTCAACGCCCTGTATCTCAGAATCTGTTCATCAAAGAACTTTACGATTCTGCAGGTTCAATCAGTTCATCGACTTCTGCAACATACTGAAAATTCAGAAAATTTCACCGAGAACCATTTTACGTACCTACTAAAAGTGCGGGGTCCTTTAACGCCTGTATTTTTTCCACAGCAATGTTTTATCAAGGTGTAATTGGTCCTATCACCATATTTTAAATGTTTAATCCAAACAATCCGCCCCTAACCTATGTCCCAATAGTTATGACTCACCCTGTATAAATATCATCAGTGAGATTACCCCATAGTGTTATCTCACTGATATTTTTTTCATTCATGCAGTAGATATTTTACTGCCATTTTCATAACACTGACACCGATTGATGGATGTCAAAAGTATAAAAGTTTTATTGAAAAAAAATTAAATGGGCAAGAAAAAAAAATCTGATAAAACCGCAACCGCGGTAGAAAATGCTGAACCTGGCATTGAAGAGATACCAGATGGAGATCAAGTACCAAAGAAGTCGATGGGCAAGTATAAATGAATAATAATAAACTGGAGAAAACTTATACCTAAGTATATGTTTCTGAATCACTACTCATACACGGTTTTTCTGCAGATAAAACTGCTTCCAAAAGC